GCTTGCCAGTCTTCGAATAGTCTGGCGCCGGCGGCACGCTTCAGTACAAGAGGTGGTTCCATGGTAGGGATGGGAGGTGGGTTTGTGTGGGGGTCGTGATGTGGCTGCGTGGGGCCTGGTGACGCGTCAAGGCCAGTAGGCGATTGATAGCTGTTAGACAGTGCCGGGACAGAAGCAGATTCTTGGTGCGAGGTGATATTTGCACCTATGTTGGTGGTTTGTCTCTTTCCTTCTGTCTCGCGTGGGAGTCTCTTGGTAGAAGTGATCTCGAACTGGGAAATGAAGTCGACGAGGCCTTCAATCTGGTCGCTGGACATCTATAGCACAGGTGTCTAAGTTGCATTGCTTTAGAGCCAGGGGTATGATATACTATAATAACATAGCAAAAAAAAAGATATTATTGAATCTATGTGACAATCAGGTCTGCAGCTGCGCTGGCCAGGGCTGATGAGATGAAATATCTAGATTCAACGATCTCTAAAGAAGAAGAGGCAATGTTAGAAGAGAAAGGGGAAGCTAGGGATATATATGTACATAAATATGTGGAGGTATTATGTAATATTGTAACAAGCGGCACGCATCCCATTTACGATATCTGCTCGCTTCTATTACTCTCTATAGGATGAGAGCTTTGCAATGAGGCTGCACTACGTGACATGTAACCATGCACTGTGCAGATAAATATCCAAGTGAAGATATTCCATTTTCGGTTCACCAAGATTCTACCCTCCTTAAAACCGGTGAAATGCATATACGTCACACACAAGACGACTGAATTTTTCCAAACATGCTGAAGCTTTACGACTTCTAAATTTGAACTAATATACCGCGGTTTTAACCAGAGTATAAGGTATTTATCGTTTTAATAACATATAGATATTAATCCCTTCCAGGACATAGATGTTCCTATTATAACCCAACCAATCAATGGTTTGCCCAACGTATAATGCAGCAATTATTAGGAGAACTGAAAGACATTTTGCGAGTATGTGCCCTTAAAAGGCATAAGGGGGGAGAGATAATATGTCTAGATGATAATGAAGATTGTCCGGGCTTAATACTACAGTAACTATAAGCCAGGTGGACGATCATTGACACCGAGCTCGCCGAGTTACTTCTTTTATTTGCAGCTTAAATTTCAATTGCCTAGAAGTGACATAACAAACGACGAAACTCCCGGTACAAAGCGAAAGCGGTAGTCCGTCTTTAGGAGCTATATCCACGAGGAACTTCATGCAGCAAAGCAAGGTGAGATCGACATGACTGGCTGGAATAGAGGTTGGGAATAAGCATCTCACGTCGTTCTAAGAGTTCCAACAGTCTTTGTACATAGCAGTGACTTCAATGGTGTCAAAGCGTATATGGCAAGTGCGAACTGCTAATCACCGTCTTGCATTTAAGGGTGACAGCTTTCTAAGGCAAGCTCGCAAACCTGAGCCCCCATAAATCATCACCCTTTGGTCGGAGAATCTACCACAACCGGTGTCATAAACCAGTCTCGGCAATATTATGGATACAGAGTGACATGAGCTCACCGTATGACTGCTGACCTGTAAAGCGCAGTAAGATACGATGAGACGTTGGAACCAAGAATTTGGTGTTTGCAAATGAGCGGAAGTATACAGGCGATAACCGTCTGGTTCAACTATGTGTGATAGATCTGACATCCATCCATCCATTCACGGTGGTACGTGCGCTCATCAGGTGATCTGGTGGGGTGGACGCGTTGCCCCGCTGCACTCACTATAGATAATTGTGGAGCGGGATTGAAGATCTAATCCCCCACCAGAATTGGCTGGTTGTTCTGATCCTTCTTCCCTCCTCACCAGTAGATTCTTATTCATCTGGAGTAATAGATGGGCATCTTCGTCCTGAGCTGCCAGCTGTTCCGTGACACTATGCCGGAAGGCGTCCCAAATTGCGCAGTATCTCCAGGTATACCGGTAGGATCTGCTGGTCCTTCCTCTGTTGCAGCATATCAAGTGCGTGCTTGGCTCCGATGATTTTAGTTTAGTTTAGTTTATTTAACGCCATAGGGGCTCTAGGCTCCAGATCCTTGTGGATGTTTGGCATGCAGGTGACTATCTCAGGGGCTAATATACAAGCCTTACTGTATGGGAAGCAGGGCATGACTCCCTGTTTCCCACGATAACCTGCAAATCGAACCTCGAGGGCACACATGTTATTCTGTCAGTTTCTGTTGGCCCCGTTATTTGGGCTCGTGCTCTGTGATATCTGGTTCGTAGTCGGTAGTCTGAATAGCGTTAAGGAGCTCCTCTTGCTTTAAAAGTTAATGTCTTGCGTTTAAAAGACTATAAGCTAAAAGAAAATAAAAACATAAGGAAAGATAATAAAAGTAGTAAAGAGATGTGGTAACAGGCACAATTATACCTAGTGGTCAATGAATTGATGTTCTGTAACCCTAGGACAGATTTTCGTGTAAAATTCTGTCCACTTGCAGAAGTCTCTGAATTCCTTCGGGTGCATTATCAACCATTTCCAATAGGCTCTCCCTTCTAGTTTGGGTTCTCCGTTGTGTCCGCGGTTTCTTTGTGGCCACTTAGACCGTTTCGTAAGGGCTCTGTTACAGAAAGCAAAGTAGGCTCGCGTTTTGATTCTCCCGCAAAAGCAGTTTTAGTGTTCCTTGTGTTTGAACCTCCTATGGTACCAGCTAAAGTCACTATGGCCAGTTCTAGATGCGATAAGCCTGTGGAGCGTTGGCCTGTCAAGCTTGAGCTCTTCTGGGCACTTGAGTGTAGTTTTCTGAAGGCTGAGACTTTTGTATTTATTAGTGATATTCTTGTCCCACCATTGCTGGTGTTCTTTTCGAGTCTTTTCGTTAAGAAGGCCTAAGACGCCTATAAGTGTGGGTTTGGCCCCAATAGGGATTGGCAAGGTAGTGCCTTCCTTTGCCTTTTTGTTAGCCTCTTTGTTGCCTTGGATGTTCATGTGCCCTGGCACCCACCGGACCTGTACGTCGGCGTACGTGTCCCAGATTTCGTGGAATTCTAGGAAAGCTTCTTGGGAGCTCTGAGCTGGTTCCCCCCATAGTCCGGAGATGACTGCTGTATTATCCAGGCACCCGTGGATGGTAGCGCCGCTGCTGAGCCTCAGGGCCTGTCTGAGTGCGTGGCGGGCCCCTTCGACCTCACTGTCAAAGACCTCAGCTGGGTGGCCCAGTCTGCCACAGCCCAAAACTACGTTTGTCCGGCCTCTATAGATCACGTATCTATAGCCTACCGCCCCCTCTAAGGATTTCGAGCCATCAGAGTAGGCGACTATATATGAAAACAGAAGCGATTTTAGCCAGTCTGTGAAGACTTTGGCTTTTTTGGCTTTGCTTCTTGTTATAATAGCTTTGCCAGCGTTCGTTACATATCTTGGTTCCGTTAGGATTGGTCTTAGAAAATCCGGTGTGAGTTAATATGTCCTTTGGAGCCATGTCCTTGCGGTTATCCTAACTAGACCCTTCAGGCCTCTGCTCACGGTAGGGTTCCGGGCTGTAACACATCGGACTAACGGATGCATGTTATCCATAGCTCTGATTCTCAGGCTGAACCGCATCCGGATCTTGCTGAGTATGGTTTGTACTGTTGGTAGGTCTGATTCTTTGAAGAATACTTTTTTTGGTATAGTTCTCCAGATTAGGAGAATCCCTCTGATGGCCTCTGTAAGGACTCTTTCGAGGTTGTCCGAGTGGCCGTTCTGGCGGGTGCTCACGTCCCGGGCCTGACCGTTTCCTGCTCTCTTGTAATCCCCGCCCCCCCAGACCTCTGCCCCATAGGTCATGGTAGGAATCACGCATGCAATTACCGCCTTGCGGAGGGCTGCTGCTGGTGCCCTCTGACAGTGTTTGCAAGACTTCGAATATGTCTGGCCACGACGAGGCCCTTGGCTGCCCGTATTTTGACATGTTCCCGGAACTTCAGGGACCTGTCGAAGAAAATCCCCAGCCAGCGGACCACCGCCCCTTTTCACTGGCTGCGCTGGTTTGATGGTGAAGCCTCCGGGGGTGACTATTTCTGGTGTGAGAGGTCTCCTCCCAGTATCAAAGTAGATGGCTTCAGCCTTGGAGTCTTCAAAGGTGACCTTGTTGTCTAGGCCCCAGCGTAGAATATCGTTTACCATGCTAGCTGTGGCTCCGGTGATTGTCGGGCTTGTTGTCTAATTTTCCGGTAAGCCTCTTTCAACATAGCTGGCCGGCCATGGCAGCACGTAACGTTGATGATCTCGGCTTTAGTTTGTTGAATATGTTTTGACTTCTTGCCAGTTCTCATAGCGAGACATCCGAGCAACTGGCTCGTAGTTACCACGAGGAAATCCAGTATTAAGGAAACCCTCACTTATACGCTCGCCATACCTAATTAATCTCCTGTCTTAATTCCCTCGGGCCTTTATGTGCAAACCGCGTGGAAAGCCAGGCAGAGCCAATAATAGTAGCGACCTATAAACGCTTTATTTGTCCTGCTGAAGAGAATGGTACTTAAGTCGGTAAACCCGAAGTCTTTGACTATGCAATTGCCGAAGGAGCTGAGGTCACCACTTAGGGATTATGGCGTTTCACAGTTTCAGTGACCGTCAAATCCCTATGATAGATGTGACGCAACTCACGCGATAGAGGTGATAAGGAGGAACCACAGGAAGGTCTTAATATCCACGAAGATCTCTTTGACATGATCCCGACTGCGCTTGCGATTAGCTACACCTATTTGATTAGCACGCAATTGCTTGCCTACAATGTTTTGTTCGCGCTCGATGAGATGGCGTCCATAGGTAAGTCGGGCACCAGGAAGATGAAGGCGACGCCAAAGATGACTGTTAATCCTCCGCAGAAGATTAAGATCGTCTGGTAGCGATAGATCTGCTTGCTTACGATGTGGCCGAGGCCATAACGTTATGTGACGAGACTGCCGAAGGTGAAAGTGAAGCCGTTCAACTCATTCTAGTAGGATGTTCGAAGGGTCTGATCAGATCGTTGCCACTACCTCCAGTGCGATGCCATGGATAAGACCTTCTCTAAAGCGGAGATCCCGGATCGTCTGCTCCAAGGTTACGGCATCAACCCCGACCTCGACGATGACACAGCTTCCACCAAGGTTCTGGAGGTCCTGAACGACGTCGGCTTCTACACGCCCACTGTCGCATACGCAGAAGGCATGGCAAGCAAGGGCGTAAAGACTTTCATATACCGCTTCAACGAAGGCAATCCCTGGGACGGGCCGTGGAAGGGCAGGGCGAATCACATCCTGGACGTGGCGTTCCTGTTTCAGAACTTCAATGCTTACCTGGAGAAACCGCAGCGGCAGCTCGCTGAGGCCTGGGCAGAGGACGTGTTCAAGTTTTGTTATGGGCAGAGTCCGTGGGACGAGTGGAAGGGTGACCAGAGGGTAGCGAAGGTGCTTGGACCGGAAGGGAGGGCGGAGGTGGTGGTAGATGGGCCGGGGGAGAATGGGAGGAGCAAGGTGCTGTGGGAGCTCGCGGAGATGGATGCGGGCGGTATGGATCATTTGAGCAAGGTGCTGAATGACTTCTTGAGGGGACCGCCCGTGACCTGACAGTCTCTCCGGCTTTGATCAGGGGGTACTTGGCTGGGTTATCGGGCAGGCTACGCAAAGTGGTTTTGAAGGCATGGGTTTAGTGTATCGAGACCCTGGAGGCAAATGTACACTCAACCCTCATCAGTCCCAGTACACGCGTGATGGTAAGATTCCAAATTAACAGTGGCAAATTTCGATACTGGAATAAGCGCACAGGAATAAGCAGCTTTAGTTTGATGAACTACTGCTAATGCTTATTGCAGTGTGCTTATTCCAATTCGATAAATATACCGTTGTTCCTCTACTCCTTTGTGCCCTTCGCCTTCACAGTATGCGTCACCATCTCAGCATCTACCTCGCCATCATCTCCCACTTTCTGCCCAAGCAGCACCACCGCCGGCGTAGCCTCGAAGAGCGACGACAGCTCTTCCAGGGAGTAGCCCTTCGTCTCCGGGAAGCCAAAGTAGATCCCAGCGAGCCAGCAGCAGTCCAACACCAAGAAGACAAAGTAGTAACGCCACTCTATCGAAGCGAGCGCGATCGGATTGACGTACATGTTAATTATCAACGCTACCTGGCCGACCAAATTTTTGACAGCGAGACCTCGGCTGCGCATGAAGAAGGGCATGATTTCTGTCGGGTACGAGTACAGCAGCGGGTTGCATGCGACGTTGTACATGATGTCGAAGCAGAAGAGACAGACGACCACGCCGTAGCCGTAGCTTGCTTTTGTCGTTTGCGCGTAGACAGCGCTAAGGGCGATAAAGGGCACGAAGAAGCGATCATCCCGACGAAGGACGTCATCCAGAGCTTGCGGCAGCCCATGTGGTCGGAAAGCATGGCCCCGATGAGCGAGGAGATGAGGTTGGCTATGTTGAGGCCGCCGTTGATCGCTGTCCTACGGCATTGTTAGCATCATCCCCCTGTAAGATGATTAGGCGTGAAAGCGACGTACTGTCGGGTTGTCCCTGTGATGCCGACACTCTTCAGGATCGGCGAGAAATAGTAGGTGATGATGTTCTGACCACACCAGAGCGCCATCAAAGTCATGGTCACGACAATGCTCAGCCTGTGCAGGTTCGGCTTGCGGGTAAGCAGCGCCTTCCACGTTATGCCCTCCTGAGCTTGATTGAGCGCCAGCTCGATCTCAGCGAGCTGGGCGACGACGACAGGGTGCTTTCGGTCTCCGTTGCCGTGATACTTGGCAAGCACAGCTTCGGCGTCTGCTTTGCGGCCTCGAGATACGAGCCATCGAGGGCTCTCCGGCGCGAAGTAGATGCACGGAAGGACCAAGCACGGAAACAGCGCCTGCAGCAGCGATGGTATCCGCCAGGCCCAGTGATCCGTAGCAGCCATGAAGCTTGTACCGAAGCACGTCCATGCGGCGATGATGGATCCCAGATACCAAAACGGGTTGAAGAAGCTCACCAACGTTCCACGCATGCGCGAGTGTGCCAGCTCGCTGAGGAAGGTTGGCCCGGCACAGGTGACGAAGGCGATGCCGAAACCCAGAATGAAACGAGAGCCCATGTACTGGCCGCGTCCGTGAGAGCCGGCCTGGAAGCCTACCCCAACGATTGTGAGGAACTGGCCAGCTGCGAGACCCCATTTACGACCGCTAGAAGACGAGTCAGTGGGTGTCCACGCAGCTCCGATGATGACGTTGGAAGGAAAGCACACACAATCGATCAGTGAGCAAAGCTGCTGGGATGCTGCCACATAAGCAACCTATGAAGTATATGGCGCTGATGAGACCGAGCTGGGACGAGGTTGGCGAGCCCATATCTGTTCCTCGGTCAGCTATGGCCCGGCCAACCAATCAATATCCAAGCGAAGAGACTTGCCTTCTTTCCATCTGGTAAAGCTCTGCAGGTTCGAAGTCAACGTGGCATCGTAGCCCGTGCAAACCTGCGTCAGATATATCATAACCATCAAAAGCATCATCTTCCACATGCCGGCATCTTTGTACCACGGGAGATGGTCGTCGGCAGCGTGCATGACGGTCGACGGCTGCTGAAGCGCATGGTTGCGTGCCCGACGTCGTAACATCTTACCGGCGAGACGGTAGGTTTCTCTACAGTATGGTCTCAACTAAGCGATCAATGACCGTCGTGTTGATAGACACCGCGCTGGAGAGATGAACAAGGTGTACAGATCAATTAATGGTTTCGCAGGTGAGCGACTCTTGAGATATATATCCCCTTCCTGTTATCTTCATGGCTATTCGTTCGAGCACCAGTTCCATGCGACCGTCGCAACAAGCTTCTAGCTCGAAGATTTTCGCTCGACGTGATATAGCTCGGGGTGATGATAGGAGATGAATCATGATAGGTGTAGAATAAAGCGATCTTATCGTACCGAAGCAGCCATACTACTACCCCTGCTACCCCTTACCGGTATATTACATCCCCGGTCAAGTTGTTGGCGCTAGATGTGAGCTTCAACCAGGGCTCTTTCGCGGATGTATCAGGGGTCACACCCGGATGCAGCTGCCCCCTGGGCCTCTCTTGCCAATCACAACATAACGTTGCATTCCCAATTTGCCCGTAGGTGTTGACCACGTGGCTCTTTCAGATGCTTCAGCTGAAGTAGGTAAAGCGCTGAAAAGATACATAAACATGGGATATTACTTTGGCCTGCAACTGCAATAAGCCGCGAGGCGGCGAAGCGTGTGAAGCAGATGTTGTGTGCATAGTAGCATTAGGTCGAGGGATAGTATGAATGGAGGCCGCAAGTACTGATCCGGCGGGATATGTATGCGTAGAAGATCAACGGGCAGGGTGTGCCACGTGAATCCTCTCGTGAGTCGTAGATCTGTTGCGTTTCTGGACCTTATCCGAGCATGTGTCTGGCGCGATAAGTCGGTGTCTGCTATACGACGGGATAAGATAAGGTATCGTCCCGACGGCTTATCATACGACGGCTTTCGGGCTGGTTCTGAATACGCCACCCGACCTTGATAGATGGCTTTCATCGTTGGACAACATTCTGTCATATATACAGCGATTGCGCTGTAAGTCCGTTTGTTCGTCCTCCTTGCTCACAGCCGAAGATCTGCTCAACACAGACCTCCATAAGACGACAATGGCGCCAATCGCAATAAGCCCCCAAACTTCGCCCCGACTCGTTCCAGCGCCGGTCAAGGATACGTCTATGTTAGTACAGACGAACACTGTCTGTGAATCGCGCTGACTTCGGACAGACTGCAGCACAGCGACTGGCGAGCCGACCTACAACGGGACGGCTATGCGATCGTCAAAGGTGCTATCCCGCGAGCGAGAGCCCAGGAGTACCAGCAGAAGGCGTACGAGTGGTTGACGTCGTTCGGTAACGATCTGGACTTCAACGACCCTTCCACATGGGTGAAGGAGAACTTGCCCGTGCAAAGCAAGATCAACACTTTCCACACATATGGCGTCGCTCATGAGAAGTTTATGTGGGATGCGCGAATGGAGCCTGGAGTCCTAGACGCATTTGCTCTCCTGTGGGGTACGGATGAGTTGTTGGCAAGCTTCGACAGCCTCAATATTACCTTGCCGAACCGAAAGGATGTGCCCAGGAAGCCGGCTTGGGAGCACATCGACCAAAGCCCGTTGAGGCGAGGATTACATTGTGTGCAGGGCGTCATCAACCTATCTCCGTCCGGACCTGAAGACGGCGGATTGGTGGTCTACCCGGTTTCGCACAACCTGAATGACGTATTCTTCGACAACCAGACCAACCCTAAGACGTGGGAGCGTCTTGACCGGTATCTCTTTTCTCGCGAACAGCTCAGTTGGTATGCCGAAAGGGGCATCACACCGCACAAAGTATGTGCAGATGTTGGAGACCTCATCCTGTGGGATAGCCGGACCCTTCATTATGGAGCGGAACCGACAGAGCTCAGCAACCAGATCCGGACAGTCATATATGCCGCCTTCACGCCGGCGAAATGGGCGAGCGAGGAGCAACTGAGGCTGAAGAAGGAGGCTTTCGAGAGGTATGGCGGAACGACCCATTGGCCGCATGACAACATCGTCACTCGGGAAACGAGAACATTCCTGGAGGACGGCAGTAGAGACCCACGCGATCGTGAACAGCCATTGGAGCTGCCACAGATGAGCGATGCATTGCTGAAGCTTGCCGGAGCCAAGCGTTATTGAGCACGTGCGAACGTTGCGAGAGGCTTATGTCACTCTGTAGGAGACGCAATTCCATATGATGACCCTTCTTGTTTCAGTGCGCGCTTCTTGTGATGCCATGTAAATTTTTGTCACTCGTGTAGATACTATTTGGCGTTTGTCACGCAAGCACAAGTCCCGGACAACCGTCTCTCATGAGTTCCTCCCAACTTGTTTCCTGGCCGCAATTCGCTCTGTGCCAGTAGTCTTGCAGAAGCCGGTGGACCACTGATATATTTGCAAAGCCTCGAACTAGTTCTAGGTTGTTGATTCTGTATTCGATGGTCAGCCGGTCTGCTTTAGTCCCAGCAGCCAAGCCGGCCATGAAAAGCGGAAGCAATAAGCGCGCTTCCTCATCAGACCCAATCCGTACGAGTGAGAGCGCAGACAAGATTTGATGAACTGCCGTTTGATCATCGTAGTCCGGGCTGCTCAGTCCTGGTACGGTCTGATGCAAACGGATGCGTACGGCCCATCTCATTGCGGTGGCGGCAGCCTTTGCTGCAGTTGCATGTTCTGGGGAAGAGGGTGGTACCGGTGGCGACCAGGTGCGCAGGCTCTCATCCATCGTGATTGCCTTCGCTTCGAGGCTGGCCATGTTCGCCGCTTCATTGTGCGCCTTTGCAATTGCGAGGCCATTGATCCGCTCCAGGTAGTCGTAGAGCTCCATCGATAAGCCGTAAATAGGGTCCATATAGTGCGAGACAAGAGAACTGCTTAGGGGGGCGGGCGAGTTTGGTTGGGTGACCCTGGTTACACAACACAGATAGTTATACAGTACTATTAGGAACTGCATCGGTCGTTCTGATGTTGCCGTAGATGTTTCTAACAGAGCTCGCGCACCATGCAAATGAAGCAGCCATTTTCGCGACCCGCCTTCACAGAGGTCGGCCAGGCATAGCAGAAGTACGGTTGCAAGCGCATAGACGGTGGAAGTGGTAGTCGGGAGTATCGCTTTCAATCCTAGCATAGCTCGGCTCCGATGATCAAGCAAATCTGTGACGAACTCAGGGTACGTCTTAGATATGTGGGCCGCCGAGAGTGCAAGAAGTGCGTGTCGTACCTCAGGGCGCGTTGTCGACATGGGCGCGATGGTGTTCATGAAGGGGTTAGATTCGTCATCGACAACGCTGAGCGCCCTTGCGACCGACTGGAGGAAGTGACCGAGAAGGTGTCTCTCGCCTACTGTCCATTGCGTCAACTCTTCCGGGGATATGCCGGCAATGGCGTGTAGTATGGTATCGCTCGTACAGCCATTGCGTAGGCCGTAGGTCGCTGGGGAGACATCTAGCGCACTGCTTTTGGCCAGATTGTTGGCCGTAGAATGTTCGGCCGTCTGCTCCTCGTCGATGAGAGCGACCCAGGCTGGAAGAGACTGTGCGTGCGTCGAGCATTGGACTGGGTGGACTGGACTGACCGAGCCTGCAATGCTGATAGTCGCTTCACTTACAGGTGCAGGTGATCCGCGAGGAGGCCTCTGTGGAATGGCAGCCGTAACGTTAAAGCTGCACGGAAGTTGCAGCCTGTCGCAGTCGCCGCATGTTGGTCGTCTCTCATCACATTTCTTTCGCCTACTGCGACATGAAGCGCAACCTCGGCCACTGCGTGTGTGTCTTGTGCGCGTCCTTTGCTTCGGGGGTGGTGGCCGGGTTGTTACTGGACTCAAGTCGACGTCTCCGTCTGCCTGTGGTGCAAGGCTGCAGGATAAACCGAGCCGAATGCATCGACTGCATGGGGTCTGTCCCCGGCAGAGCGCCTTGATGGAAGCACATACATCGCAAGCTGTCCTCCTGCGACCCATTGGGAATGGGAAAGGGGGAGGAGCGTGACATGGCGAAGATCCTCTGAGGACGAGGGTGGCATTGAAGATAAATGTTCAGGTTTAACATTCGCGAGCGTGGCGATAAGAATCGTGAGATAAGCGGGTATATCGGCGATAGGTACCGTGAGATGAGCGGGCGTACCGGCGATAAGAGCCGTGAGATAAGCGGCCATATGGCCGTACGTGGCGGGGTGTTGAATTGAAGGTACGCCTAGAAGGCGCCTTGACAGGTAGACAACGGAACCTAGTTGTTCCGTCCCGATCCAGCCCCCTCTGGCACAAAACGGCCACGGTCGCACAAGGACACTCTACCCGTGCCCCGCACCACTTTCCACCTCGCCATGGCTCACCACGTAAAGTGGTGCTCACCACAGTAGCTGTTAGATTCAAGCGAGTTCAGTGATTGGAAGGTGATTCTTGGTGTATTGCATGTAGTGTGTTGTATCTGTTCTGTCTGTTCAGGTGCCCCTGATCGGTTCCCAGTTTTGGTGCTGGTCATCTCCGCCGTACCGTGGTTTTTCCGGTCGGACTCAGCTCATCTTCATGACCCCTGTTATCCAACAGTAGCACACCAACCACAATAACACACCAATATGAGGTTATTCAGTATTAAAATTTACGTAGCGACCGTATCTTCCTGCCAGATTCATAGATATCAGCAGCAGGCAGTCTCTTAGTCATCCTCTAATACCTAAGCAACTTTACTGCCTCCTTACCGAGTTTTTTTTGTGGTTGGAGCTTCTTTTTTGTCAGGACATTTGCCTTTTTCTGGAGGCCTGCCGCGGTCTTCTACTCCTTTTTCTTCGCTATCTGACGCCTGATCTCAACTGTGAGTACTCCTCCCAATTAGAGAGGAGTGTTCTTTGCAGACTTGCACTGTTTATTAACTCAAGAAGTTAATTCAGTCCTTTTAAGATCCCTTTTGGTCTGGACTAATTGTGAGGCGTGGAAGCCCGCCCCCTTTGATAGGAGCCTGATTCTCTTAATATCTTCAGGAGTAAGATTTCTGCCATTGTCCAGGTTATTCAAGACCTGGTCTACTTGATAAACGACCTTGTGAATCTGCCGCATTGTAGCTAGTGTGGCAACTGGAGAGGAACCAGGCTGGTTAGGGGGGGGGGGGGTGACAGGGTCTTTGCACGAGCTTTGCGCTCCTTCAACTGGCTAATTACAACTGACGGTTTGAAGGGATAGATGCCCGTTTTCTTGAAAGCAAAAAGGATAGTAGTCTTTTTAAAAGCTTGCTGGCAAACTCCTTTAATACACAATAAGAACTCGATCTTTCTGATGTGGGTGAGACCATCATGCACTATAATATCCAGGGCTTTAACATGGTAGTGCTTCAAGGGCTGAAAATCCACCACATCGAGCGGCTGTAGTAAATGCTTTATATTCATAGGGAGACCAAAAGGGATAATATCGTTGTCGTCACAATATCTAATGAATTATATCGTGTGGTAGCTCTCGTGACTGTTGATAATTAAAAGCCTCTTTACATCAACTTAAGAGGTCTTAGAGTGCTTATTAAAGTGCTTAATCCACTCTAGGCTAATCTCGTCGTTTAAACAACCACTTTCCGCGATTGCAATCGCTATCCTGGGTTCTAATTCAGGTACTTTTAACCATGGAGACATGTGAAGGCTGTCAGAAAGGATAAAGAAGCCTGGGATAATCTCGCCAGTGGCAGAGATAGCTTCTATGACAATAGCGGACTCTCTATTCTCTGGTATTCTGAAATAATAGGCTCTTTTTTGCTTGGTGACGATCATCTGGTTCTTTCCAACCCCTAATTAAAAGCCAGTCTTGTCTATGTTCTATAAGTCATTAAGGAGGATGCCCTCCTCCCTGATTAACCCTCCCCAGCTTCTAAAAGTACTCTTCAGTACATCTTGAGTCTTTAGCAGCTTGTTGAGCTTGTGAAAGGACGTTTTGAGGCTGCTTGAAGTATCTGTGGCGCTTGATGCAGCGGGAGGCCCAATTCTTGCCAATTGTGGGTAGTTCTGTGACCACGGCACTTGCTGACTCCTTGAGCAGCAAGTTGACAGCTGTTGAATGGGAGCCAGAGATAGACACCGGAAGATCTCTAGTGGTGCAGAGACGAACAGGGCATCTGACCCACCAAGAAGACAGATGATCAATCTCTGCACACAGAGCAGAACAATCAATAGCATCAATCAATATCCGTGTATTCAACAACAGCCTCTGTAATAAATTCTGGCCTCACAGAAAGATTAATGGCATCTAGGCGGTCGATATAAGCACAGACAGCCTTTTTTTATATTGCATTCAGCTTGGTGGGTGGTTTTTGTAGTCCTTTTTTAGAAAGGATGCCCTGTAGACGGTTGCAGAAGTGCTCCTTTGGAATCCCAAATTAACGGCAGATACCGCATTTATACGCATCCAGATGCTTGTTAGCGTATCTACGGCTTCATGAATACAGGATTCCATTGCAAAAAAGTTGTCTGTCCAAAAAGACAATGACTTTAATGTGGTTTTGGCTGGAGGGTGGTTATTTTAGAAGACTGGTGTGTTATGGTGGTTAGTGTGCTACTGCAGTGAGCACCACTTTACGTGGTGAGCCCTGGTGAGGTGAAAAGTGGTGCGGGCACGGGTAGACAGACGGAGAATACACACACTCTTCACTAACGATTGGCTCAAATCTGACACGAGGCAACGGTCAGGCTAACAAGAGGTATAACAACATAGAAGGTGGCACTACATACACAACACATGACGATTACGCGTATAGCCTTCCCAATAGGCAGCTTGACAAGCATGAATGCTCTGGAAGATGAGCTGCGCAAAGTCGAGGATAGAAACTCAGTCAGCGGTTCCACCAAACCAAATAAAACCGATTTGTTTAATTTAACGGTTTAATTTAGCTTGATTTAATTGAACCGAGATTGTACATAGGTTTATAAACCGAACAGATATTCTTTAAATTTAACCGTAGTTAAAAAGACTTAAAAGATCTTTTAATACTTTTATAAAAACACATTTTACATAATACTAAAGCCTTAAAACCCTTTATTAAAAAATTATTTTTATTCCTAAGCTACGTTAATATTCTAACGCTTATTAAATTTCTAATTGAATTAAATTAAAATAGATGATTCAAAAACTTGACTGATAAAAAGCTAAATAAACTAAGCTAATTAACCCATTGATTAATACATATTTACTTTAAATAAAATCGAGAATTTAACCCCGTATTTAATCGCTTTAACTCTTATTTTTATACTTTATTGCATTTATTATCTATTCACTTTTTGAAATTTGTTAATAGTAGATGATTTTGGCTTTTAAAAGGTTTATATATATATTACTAAACTTTAACGCGTTATAATATAAAGATAAATCGCTATATAAACCCGTTTTAGTTTAAAAACGCAACTTAATAATTACATTTTTTAATATCAATGAAAAATTATAAATTTATTCTTCATATGTAATTAAATAGTGTTTTTTTATGTTTTATTTTTTATGCGGTTAATATATTTATCTTATTATTCAAAAGGGCGGTAAAAGTATGTTAAAGGTAAAGTGTAATTTTACTATACTTATAAACGATAACAGCCGTTTTAAGACTTTTAATAATAACTCAATTTAGAGCGCTTTGAAATATATAATTAATGAACTTAATGTGAGCATTGTGGTGCTGTCAGGTATGTGCTGCAGCTGTTCGCCAGGTGAAAGGGATGAAAGGGGCCTAGAGGGGGTGAAAGGTCCATTATGGCGACCAGTGGCAGGTTTGTTGTTTGCTGTCAGGCAGCAGGGCATGAAAGGGCTGTCACACCTGTATTTAGGTGGAAATCTCCCCAATGGATCTATAGTCAAGACACAGACCATTATCCATCCCATTCTGACCCCTGGGTTTCCACACTTATTAATTATTCTTATTACAAAATAACTTTTTTACCAAAAAATGTTCGTTTTAATATACTTGTGATGGATCAACCAACCATCAGGTGATTGGTGGTGTGGAGACGTAGCCACGCCGCACAGAAAGATAGATAATTGTGGGTCGGAATTTGGGATCTATCACCCCACCAGATTTAGCTGGTGCTGCAGATCCCTCTTCCCTTCTTCACCAAAGTATTTTTGTTCAACAGTGGTCATTGCTGGGCATCTTCGTCCAAACCTTCTGCTTGCCCCGTGACACGAAGCCTGCAACAATCCAGTTGTGCTTCTGACCGATCATGCCGCATCCAAGGGTATCATTGATCAGACGAACCTCAACACCGCATCTTCCGACCGCGGCAACAAGCGTCTTATCAATGCTTCCGTCTACTTGTCTCAGTACGCTCTTCAAGTCTATCACATCGCCGGACGTCTCAATCTGGTCCCAGATGCACTGAGCCGTCTGCGTACCGCTCAAGACGAGGAAGACTCTGAAGGCAAACTTAAGCGAACGAATGAGGAACCCATCCTCAACCACGTTTGGCTCGCAAGCGAAGCCGTCATGGATGATGATATGACCAAGCGCTTTCTTACGGCATATGCCAAGGATATGAAGTACAGCAGTATTCTCGACTCTCGTTGAGAAGGCAACGAGGACGTTGATTCGTTTTCAAAGCCCGGCTATCCATTCACTGCGGTCAACAAACTCCTTCATAATGTTGATCGTCAAGGAACATATTGCCTATGCATTCCCAACGACCTTATTCAAGAATTTTTGGCAATGGCACACGATGACAAGCATCACTTCGGCGAAGGACGAATGATGGAAGATCTCAGCACGTATCAGATGTCACGCAAGACATTTCGGGTCAAGAAATACGTGGCGCACTGTCCGGCGTGTAAAGTCAACACCACCGACCGTTCCAAGCCCAATGGCGACTATCAGCCTATTCGTCCCGAAGACTCCTTGCCCATGCGAAGCTTTGCTATCGACTACATTGTGAGATTACCTAAAGTCTCCTCTGCATGCACTCTGTGGCAATTACAAGGCAAGGACAAGGACTACTACGATACGCTGATGACGGTCACTTGCATCACGTGCAAATGATCGCTTCTGATCCCTGGCAATGCCAAGTACACTGCAGAAGACTGGGCTGAAGCCCTGGCAAAGCAACTTCTGCTGAGTGACTGGGGTATTCCGACAGGAATCATCTGATCACGACCGCAAGTTCACCTCAAGGTTCTGGAAAGGACTCTGGAAGTCTCTCGGCACCCGTCTACTCATGACGACCGCCTATCACCCGCAAGGAGACGGCGCTTCTGAACAAAAGAACCAGACCGTTGAAATTGCTATCCGATATCATCATTTCATGCACCCCGAACTGAATTGGGTGGATCTCATGCCCCAACTGCAATGGAATCTCAACTCAGCGTACACCGATTTGACCAAATCTTCCGTGCATGAACAACTCTTCGGATACAAACTTCGTGGACCGAACGACGCCACTCGGATCAACACGGACTCGTTTGGAAGGGTTCGATTCCTTCGCGACCATCTCCGCAAAGACGCTGAACTGGCCATGGACTTTGCTTCAGCCAGACACAAGCGTCTATACGACAATAAACACAAGATAATCGAGTTCAGAGAAGGAGACGAGGTCTATCTTCGCCTTTACAAAGGATATCATCTTCCTGGCCATCCTCTGCACAAGTACTCACAACAACGCGCTGGCCCTTGGAAAGTCAAGAAGCGAGTCGGACGCCTCGCGTACGAAATCGATCTCCCTGACATCATCGGCGTTCATCCCGTCATCTCGGTAGCCCAGCTGTCACCCGGACCAGACGGCGAAGACCCTTTTCACCGAACAGTACCTCCTCCTGGTCCTGTAGAAGCTGAAGAAGATGACAATCCAGACGGCGATCCAGGCGATTTGTACGAGATTGAGATCATCCTCAAGCACGAACTCAACGCCAAGAAGATCGACTTCAAATACCTGATCAAGTGGAAAGGCTACGGTCACGACGTCAACGGTTGGAAGACAGAACGCCAGCTACGAAAGTCTCCACTGCTTCTGGAAGAGTACTGGCAACGTCAAGGAGGACGAATCACTATTCAGGAAGCCATTCGTGCAACGAACAAGCTCGTTCCGAATGCTATCAAGAACCCCGTCAAGGCTGACACCACGTCCGATACTCCCGCTGCAGATAACGCACCTATTAAGCGTCCCCGCGGCAGACCTCGCAAGGACACTACACCCGTCCCCGCTCCGATAACTGGCACGAGGAAGAGCACCCGCGTGCGTCAACAGGTGGACAAGATGTAGTTGACGTATTGAGGACAATACAGGCTTCTTTTTGCGGCCGGCATTCTGACGCAGGTCACCAGGGGGTGTGGATGGAGTCCCCACTGTTTCTAGGCAGATAGCGTAGATAAGGCTTGACTCAATTAGATAAGCGCTGCACACACCTTAAGTGTGTGCTGCCGCAGCCCTTCTAGTTTGGGATCTCCAACCCGCACTCACATATTAATACAGACCCATACACACACGCTTTAAGCACATTCCTGAAACATTGTCATCCTGGCTTCATAAAGGTGCTTGTCTTTACTCAGTATCTTGGCAACTTGGTCCTGACACTCTGAGGAGGAGGCTTTACTCCCCGCATCATATCCGATGGCTTGGTATGTAGAGATTTCGTTTGATCGAGGTTCTTTCATATCAATGGTGCTGCTGCTGTTATTAATATTTTGGGATTTTCCTTTCAGAGGGGAAACGATGGTGAAGTCAGCCTTAGAGACCTGTGACAGGCTGCTGCTGATGTCGTCGAGCAGCGCCTGGCGGAGCCTGCTCGGAGTTGCCAGGCCATATGTCTTTTTAGGGACCGGGGATTTGAGCATGCCGACCGGGCATTTGAGCATGCCGCCAATGGTCGTCTTCAGGACGGCCACGGGCATATTTGGGGGCCCGTCGTGAAAGGGTGCTATCCGGCTTGTGAGAAAACTTTTGTTGCGCCTTGGCAAAGATAGTCAGTTACTGAGACAAGTGCCTGCTTTAATGCAGATATGGAGGTTGCGCCCTAACAGCGGGGCGCCAAGAAAAATAGTTGTTTTTGGCAAGTTGTTGAATCTAAGATTAAATACTTCGAATATCGCAGGGTCGGACGCAGCTTCAAAACATCGCCATACGTTTTCATTACGACTTCATCACCATACGCACCCTTGCTAGCTCGCTTGTCACCTTCGACTTCCTTCAACCACTCCTTCCCCGCTGGAAAAGTGCCTTAAGCTTTGCCTTCAGCTTTGCTTTTAGCTTCTGTCTCCAACTAACCTTTGGGTTCGATGAAATACTCCCATCAGTCTGCGTACTCTTTCCCTTCTGACGCCGCATCCAGAATCCTTGACCAACTACCGTCAGCGGCTGGACTTGGCTGCGGTGAAATTACCCCATCATTCTGGCCCATCCCATAACACTTGACTCTGTAGTATTTCCAGTCAGACACGTCCCAACCGAAGCATTCGCTGGGGTGGTCTTTGATATCCGTCGTCTGGTAGTCTCGACTCGAGATTTCCTCGCATTTCTTGTCCTTGTAGAAACTGAGCACGCACACCTCCCACTCGTAACTGTAGAATCGAAACTTGGAGATCTTGTTGAGACCGTTGCCGTACCACTTCTTGCAGCCGTAACCATCGTTCCCTGGTTTGGTCTCGACGACGGTGCCGTTGCTGTCGACTATCTTGTCTGGCACAAACTTTTTGTCGCAATCTTCATGTGTATAGCTATTGGGAAGCAGAGGCTGTGTCAGTGAGAGGTTCTTCGTAGGTCTCACAGAGGAATTGTAGTCTTACAGAAAGATTTTCCATTCGGGGGTCGCGCGCTTAGAAAGGGCCTCTCCTCCGGGATGCTGCTCTGCTTTCGTTTGCGAGATGAGAAGCGATGCTCCGACGAGGAGCCATGATACCAGGGAAGGGACGTCTGCGCCACCGAGCCAATACATATCTCTCTGTCAGGCAACTTACACAGAGGTATAAGAAAGGGTGAGATCGCTGGGAAAGTGGTTGGAGACTCAGACATCAATGTCTCTTTAATCAACGAAAGGCGCCACCATGTCCATACGTCAAATATTGGTCCGGCATTCGGCAAGCCATGGTTTTCAAAGGACGGCAGAACAGCATCAAAATACGCCGCGGTCCCGCCCACACTACCTCATCACCAGTGACTTATTTGGGAATTGGTGGTGTGGGAGGGACCCTGAAATATCTTGACGCCGTTCTGGACGGTTGATATCTACGTCAATGGCCCGCCGTGCGGCTCCTGGAGAATCCTAGCCCACACTCAAGGAATCCTGCGGGAACCTAGGAACTTCGTAGCGCACTGATATGCCACATAAATAGGATACGGGGAATCCTTGGAGGAACCGGGATTTCCATGAAGGATTTAGTCAGAATGGTACATCGGCCGCACCGATAGCAACTTCCGCGAAAGGAGCTGACACTTTCCACTTTGCTACAGTATGTAGGCTCCGATCGCCGTATAATCCCTTAACCCACAGCGAAAGCTGACAGATCTGCGACCACAGGCGTCTATGGGTAAAAAAGGATAGAGGTGGCGGTTCCGTCTGCTAGGACAAGGGCGGCGGAACTGGGGCCAGGCTGCAACCAGAGCACCAATCAGGAGTTGATACCGCTTACCATAGCCGCGGTTCATGACATCGAACTTGTAGTCATTCAACGTGAATGTCTATGAAGATACCTATCCATGTGTCCATTACGTCACCTGTATGCTCCAGACTTCCGCCAACACAGCCTCGGTGTCCCCCCAGAGTGCCGAGTCAGTAGATCCCACTTCACCACAAATATGCATAAGATTGCGTATGATAAAGAGGGTTTGTCGGGTTGTTAGAAGAAGCAAGTACCGAGAATAAGAGGAAGAATTCGCATATAAATATGCCTCATCACTTGCCGCTCTTATTCCCAGTCGAACGCGACTTCACTGTGCTCGGCAATGAAGTCGGCAGCTTTGTCTGCTTCGGGATTGATAGCAGGAACTCCGTTATTTATCTCTGAGCAGGTGTGATAACGTCGACGTGCTCAGCGGCATCCGGCAGCGCCGTTGGTCGCTTGTCCGCCATGTTTGATAATGACAGGATTTCTTTAGTGAGAAGACTGTTTACGGTAATGAAAATAGATCTGCGAGGCGACGTAGGGACGACTACTATCCTGGAGGAGCCGAAGGGAGCTGGTGGCTTCAATTTTCCAGGACTCTGACTGTTAGAGTAGCGGGAATGCCTGCTCACCCGCCAGTCGCGTGGTATCCGGGTTAAGCCGACATTGATGGGCTTTGAGGCCAGCGAGGAGCGTGAGTATGGCCAACGAAGACAGATAGACAGCGAGCTTAGAGAACATTAGCCGGTGACTGCATGCAGGAAACAACCAGTCTTGATTATCCGTGTGCGTGAAGGTCGTCTATGCTGGTCTCGTCATTGGATACCATATGCTCTTCCCAATACTGAAAGATGCTGTACCGGTACAGTCAGGTTCTGACCAGCAGAGGCAACAGCAACAACAACGACAACAACCCGGGACCTCAAACCCGGCCACAACTGCAGCAGCCAAACCGCCGTTGGATTCCTGCGTCCGGGGCGCCACAGTGAACAATGACAAAAACAGGGTGCGAGGAATAGCATCGCGCCCGGGTCTGCCGGTGCGAGACCGAAGGTCGGGGATCGGAAGCGCAGCTCCTCAAGGGCGGGGGGCTGGTGGCGCAGAAACGATGTGGAGGGTGTGGGTAAGCAGAGTGCGTGGTTTCAGGGGGCAAGTAGGAATCGGAAGTGACTACGAATGGGCCTGGGTTTAGACTGATTTGGTGCGAGGGAAGTTGAGAGATGATGGGCTATGGGTATCGGCTCGGATCTGCGTGAGATTGCATGACATTGGTACACTGAACCCTCATAAGTCTCCGTACACCAACCCATATAGCAACCAATATTGTATTCATCGAATGGGAATAAGCACATTAGAATAAGCATTGAAAGTGCGTATTAAACTAGAGCTGCTTATGCCAGCCAGTATTTCAATTTTTTACGTGTGATATGAAATCCTCTTAACATGGTGCGCACGGAGGATTATAATGACTGAGTGTATTGGCTTTTGGTTCTTGGATGTTTCGCGTACGAAGCATTGGGGAAAAGCTGGGCACGGCATACGGGGTACAGGGCATCAAGGAGTGATATTTTATGTAGAGTACGTCTTTTCTTGTTTCATATTACTGACACTGCTTCATGTCCATTATTCTCCCTAATTCCGGCCGAGCTCATCCTTGGCACTTGGGTTGTGACTGCATGTGATATGTGAGGGTGTCGAGGGATAATAATTGCTTTAATCGTCTGAAATGTGTAAGCGTGTGAACGAACACCTTCATCTAATAGCTACGGGACTAAACATTGTAGGCGGACACGACTTGAAGGTCGGACATCAAGTACATCTTCGAGAGAGGTGCCGAGAACGCAGCCGAACGCCCTAATCGTTACCGCTCTCAGTTAGAGTCACTCGAGTCACCTTCCAGCGGGTACAGTCTTACGACCATGGCAACATCTCCCTCAGACGGCTTCATGTTTACATGAATCGCGGACTCCGTGCCGTCCTCATGTACTCTGGTCATAACCAAAGACTCTAAGTCCTTGCTACCGGCCAAGCTATCGTATAGCATGATCGACTCCTAGTCGAATTCGCCATCCATAAAGACGTTCTTCAAGCCTTCGGCGAGGAAATCGGCAGCCAAAAAGCGAGCCCTCGAGGCTTTCTTTTGGTCCTTGCACATCTCTTACATGGCTTCCGCTCCATATTTTTCCAGCAACTCATAGTAGTCTCGCAGGTTTTTGCAATGAAGTTTGAGCTTCGGGGGATCTGCCCATGCGTCCTTCCTTTGGTGCATATAGAAAAGGCCGAAGGCATAGCCTAATTCGTGCGCAAAGACGATGGCGGGATCGATGTCAGCAAATTTGGTCACGGGATCTAAATACAGTTCATTCACGAGGTTGTTTTGAAAGCCAGTCGTGCTGCTTGTGTCTCCGTCTATAGCAATAGGAATCAGTTTCCACGGTTTAGAGACAGCCCAGCGGAAGAATGTATGCACTTAAAGCCGTTGAAAATGATATGAAGCATCTCTTTGTTCCCATCCAGAGTATGACAAATCGGCTTTTCAGTGTCGGCAGGGACGAACTGAAGTCTGGACACTTTCTCCAGGGCAAGCTTCCAACGATTGCCCCAAGCCTTGTTGGTAAGCTCGAGTACCTGACTGTAAACATCGTCGTCGTCCTTGTCAGTATGGTTTTCGAGGCACGATGTAATCTCAGCGCCTGGCCACTATACATGTAGTATCTCGGGTCAATAAAGACTTGATTCAGACGACGATAGGCTAGGTGTTGGTGCTTTCGAGGTTATGCCATTAGGAAACATTGTTTCCGTAATGCAAGTTAAAATGGTTGGAGGCTTGATCGGAGTTGATTCATGGATGTGACGTATACTGACCAGCTTGCCAATCCTACTCGTACCATCTGGCTTGATCATGTAGTCCCTCTTCAAATGGTGTGCATTGGCCTCTACTCCTGGAAATGTCATAAGACTCGCATTAGCTCTTGATAGGAAGATAGCAGCGGCCACAATGATCCAAGACTGCATGTTTGAGGATTCGGTGGTGGGTATAACTAGAAGAACTGAAAAGCGACCATTGTCACTGGACAGGAGGTTTTTCTGACGGAATCGTGCTTGGGTATTGACTAAAACCATCTGGTCACTCCAGGTTGGTACCGCTACAGCGAGGATAGGCTCGTGCGCGGATCTGAATGTATCTAGACTGACACCTCTACAACCTTGCGATGCAATGGCCCTGGGAGGCGTGGTTTGCCCTATGGAGGGACTGCACCCACGATAAATACAATCAATCAATCAATTGTGGTTTAACAGGCTTACTTGGTGCCAGTTCGAAGTCTTAGGCTGTGGTTAGGTTAAGAACCTGTTGCACTTAATGAGCAACGGAATTTGTCCTTTATACCTAGTTACTCGGTTACTCTAAGGGGTACTAATACTCCCGTCATTTTCGACGACGTCACTGTGTCGCCTCCATTTCTGCTTTAACAGCGACACGGCGGCGCCTTCCGACGTCTTTCGGTAACCAAAGTGTGCAGAAGGCCCCCATATCAAGTTGATGTGCAAGGTGTTAGTTGTCAGCCGTTCCTCCTCAGGAGGCACCGTCTCCCGATTAGGCGCAATTCCTTTGATAAGTCTAGTTGCTGCCTGGACGAGTGGATGCGTGTAAGTTTGCCTCTTCACTTCGTGCGGTGTCCGGGTGCGTGGGATGATGTAGTACCAATCGGTCTGCCCGGTTTACGGGAGCCTAGAAGGATTTCAGTGCGGCGGATCCGAAAGCATCGCGCTGCTGGTGCAGAACAAAGAAAGATTGGTCCTCGAGAGACACCTGTGCTATATTGAAGGGCTAGGTGAGCAGGAGATTCAATGCTACCGCCTCATGTACCTCTTTTTGCGGGCTTGTATTAAAGCCAAATACGAAGGATGTTATGCCCGTCATGCACGTTGCCTGGGGGAAAAAGAGATCCGTTATGGGACTCAACCGGTTTGACTAGAGCGACGAAAGGGGCAAACGTTTATTCCGTGCGAAGTCATGGCTTGACAAATCTTTAATATTCTGGCATCAGTGGCATTACTGCGTCGTTAAGGCTTCAATTAGGGGCAAGGACCTACAAGTAGGTATGGGAGGAAAGGTAAGAAGTGCCCACCGCTATTAAAGCGGGTCATTTATTGAGCCTGGAAAATCGCATCCGCTTGTTGGGGTTTCAGGGAACTTCGCCACTTTGTCCAAGGAATTGTGCCTAGTCGGGAGACGGTGCTTTCGGAAAAGAAACTCCATATCGTGATACATGAGCTGCGGGGACATAGAGACAAGAGGAGAGAGGGAAACAATGCGGGTCAGACTGCTACTAGGGAAACTCTGGAAGATGTGCCATTCTGGGTAGACATCCGGGATCCTACTCATCAACCCGACCTCTCTTCTTGTGCAGCATGTAGCACGCGCGAGTTACTTATGAAGATCGATGATGTACTCTCTGGGTAGACTGGAACCTGTGTTGCAAAGTCGATACTAGGAGAAACATGGGATGGAGATGCACGGACATGGCAATCTAGATCAGAATCCTCAGCCTGGCCTTGAGGTGGCCGCCACGGTACCCAAAGCCCCTGGAGATCCGAATGAGCAAAAGCTCGATTAAACCCATATACGGGCAGCACCCGCACCGGCGCCCCGTTCTTTACTCCCCACGAGCACCAGTGCTTCTCCTCGCTCGTCTCTCGTAGCTCGAAGCCGAGCGCAGCCAAATCACGACATTATCAGCCGGAGCCACTTCTTATTCTCCTTTCTAACACTACCAACCGACGCCCCCAGGCCAACCTGCTCTGTGGTACTAAACACGGGCTTCCACTCTCCGCGTCCGTCCCCGTCCCCAGGCCTCGGGGACCTTGTACACGACCTTAACAATCAGCTATACCTACACCATTTGTATCATGAAGGCCTCCGAGTTGGGTTGTAACGCCATTACCGAGAAGCTTATGACAATCATCGCCCCGCGCCTGCAATGAGATCTTCGACGCCGTCGAGCGCACGCGTAGAAGCGTGCGCGTTATTTTTACAATACAGCTACGTGCACCTCGTCATGATTACTTATTGGCAGCCCCCACCTGCCAGCCAGTTACAGTGCAGCCCCCTGTCTCAAGCCACCACGATCGGGTTTCGTGTAGGGAGGCTATAAAATATCAGATCATCATGTTTCTAAAGGCTAGCAGCTAGGTTGGACCTGTTAGTGGGCTTAGTGGTTAGCCCGCTGCCAGGTGCCTAAGGAAGTCACAAGTGGGTGTGGAAACAAGGTGCAAAACAAGAAGTTCCAATAAAATGCAAATAGCAATATTCTTCTTATATCCCAAAGACGATTAGCCCATTCCCTTCTGACCCTGGAAAAGTAAAGAGAGACGACGCCACACCGAACCCCGTGGCGAGACATAATAACGCACCTAGGGAAACGCCTAACCTGCAGAGAAAAGAAGTAAAAGAGATCGAAAAGCAAGACCTGAAACCCGGAAAGAAACCCCAATGTCGCGAATGTTCTGCAATATGTGGTAGCCTCGGCCCTCCACTGCAGATTCCATAGGCCACACCCGCAAAACACTGTCTACATCCTTCCTGCTGCCCTAGCTAGCCATGCCAGGCTTCCACGCACATCCTTCGAAAAAGTCTCGTGTTCATTCACACCGTACACGACGACGAACAGTGCGCTCAACGATCGTCCACCGAGACAACTTTCGCGTCGCAATCGCAAGGGCAACAGCACCTGTTGGTCTTGTCCCTTTGATCAACGAGGTCGTTATAACTGCCGGCCAATGTTGCTGTTGGGGTATGTTGATATCGACAAGCACTGGATGTGAGTCGCCGTCGGTGGTAGTTTGGTGGTAGGGATTAAGGGTCCGATTATTTGATGGTGGTCTGGTGGCTTGGTGTCTTGGTGGTAGTGGTTAAGGGCCTGGAGGCTGGTTGTTTCGTGTGGGCTGAGGTGACGCTCACATCATACTTATAGACGCCGGAACGCTTGGTGGAGCCTTCTAGGCTCCAGTTGGACGTTGCTGTCAGCACCTGAGCAACATCTGTTGAACCATGTCATGGCCGGACATAGAGCCATGTTGGCAAGACTCGAACAGAAGAAATAAAGAAAAAGCCATCATCTGCCTCCAGTTCGAAACGATGTTGGCGGTAGGAGGCTGAAAACAGAGAAGCTCGTGACGAGGCTGTTGGGTGACCAGAAGGGTTGACAGCATCGTGCCGAATCGCTTAAGTTGGAGGCAGAAAGGTGTTTGGGGGCCTGGCAGAAGTCTTTGTCCGAATTGCAATCTTCTCACAGAAACATCACTGGAAGTTTATGTTGGATTCCCCCAGCTAGATTGTTGGTGCTGTTGGCGATATCATGCACATGCCAGTCAGTCGTAAGCGAACCAGACTTGAACCAGACTTGGAACCAGATCTGAGAGATCCTGGCTGCACGTGGATTTTGCGACAAAGAACTTCGATTTCAGCAATGAGAGGATGCCCCCGGCCTAAAAGCTTGCGAGGACATATGAGCACGTTCAGTTTTACTATGATGCTTCGCGTCAGGATCTGGATCTTACCTGGCAGCTTCGTGGTACATGAATCAGGGGGCTGCGCGACGACGATGAGGCCTCCCTCGGCGTCCAGGAACGTCATCTGACTCGCCAGCGGACATGCTGTCTTTTTCAAGGCGGCACTCCCGGCTTCTTCCATTGCGCCGCCTTCAAGGGCTAACACTGCAACCACTAGGCGGTCTGGGTCTCAGAAGAAGAGAGGCAGTCTCAAAGGACTTCGCATCCGAGACCATTACCATATCATAAGAGTGCGGCTCAAACCCTTGGATGGCCAGGTCCTGGCGAGGGCACTGGTGAGCGGCCAAGTTACGGTAGCGCACCGCGTAACCAAAGAAGCTGTGTGCGAGCGTGGCCAAATCCGGCCAGCCCGGCTCAAGTTCAACGACCAAGAGATGAGCGCTCTCGAGACATATGCGAGAGACCAAGTCGGCAAGGCTGCGACTGGGACTGGATCCCAGGTCTTGGTGACGGGAATAATTCACATCCTCTCCCCTTCAAACTCGTGGCAGATCCCAAGGGATTCGGCCCCGTCTTCAAGGGAGTTTCGGGTGTGCGGCCAGACTTCTCATTTCGATACCCGGAACAGACAGCACTGGGACAATGCCAGCCGGCAGGAACTCAGGACCCCGAGGCTGAATAATCGGTGACAAGCTCACTCTTCTCGCTTCATGCCCGGCGGATTCATAATGTGACTCTGAATGTAGGTATTGTGCTGTGGACGTGTCCAGAGCTCTCAGAGCTGATTAGAGGGGGGCGAACGGGGACGATGCGATATCACGTGATGACGTCATTGGTAAGAGTCGTGGGTGGAGCTCTCGATTCCCAAACTCGTTCGCAGCTTCATCTTCTTCACCTCAGTTGTCAACCACAGTCAATAGCTAGTCGCGCTCAATTGACCTCCCAACGCCTCGCGATCAGTCACTCTTTCCCTTGAACCGCAAGATACGCAAGATGTTTGCCAGATCCGCGTTCCGCGCGGCTCAGCCGCTGAAGAAAGTGAGTATGTTCCTCGCCCGGGCTCCCGGAGCTCCGAAGTCAGCAACCCAAGCTGCGATCTGGCAGTCTCAAACTCAACCACAGACACTGAGTGATGTTGACGATCCCCTCCCCCACAGTCCCTCCTCTCGACGCGCACCTACGCCACCGAGCCCACGAAAGCAGGCGGCTCCAACACGCTCCTCTACGCCGTCGGAGGCGCAGCCGCCATCGGCGGCGCCGGCTACTGGTTCATCTCCACCCCGCAGGGCCAGAAGATCGAGAACAAGGCCAAGGACGCGATCCCCTCGTCCGGACCTGCGAAGCCGGCCTTCACGGGCGGCGACCAGGGTTTTATTTCCTTGCTGCTGAAGGAGGTCGAGATCGTCAACCACAACACCAAGAGATTCGTCTTCCACCTGCCCGAGGACGACATGGTTTCGGGTCTCAAGGTCGCCAGCGCGCTCCTGACCAAGTTCCAGACCGAGGGCCAGAAGCCTGTCCTTAGGCCGTACACGCCGACGAGCGATGAAGGTGAGTGCATAGCAGACGTCCTTTCTTCCCGGTGACATATTTTGCTTTGCGCGCAGGGAATACAATGTGGCTGACATATGGTTCTGTGTAGATGCCCGCGGCTATATCGAGCTCGTCGTCAAGAAATACCCCAACGGCCCCATGTCGACACACATGCACGACATGATCCCCGGCCAGCGTCTGGACTTCAAGGGGCCCCTCCCAAAGTACCCCTGGACGCCCAACAAGCACGAGCACATCGCGCTGGTGGCCGGCGGCACGGGCATCACGCCCATGTACCAGCTCTGCCGCGCCATCTTCAGCAACCCGGCCGACAAGACCAAGGTGACCCTCGTCTTCGGCAACGTGTCCGAAGCCGACATCCTGCTGAAGCGCGAGCTCGAGGACCTCGAGAACACGTACCCGCAGCGCTTCCGCGCCTTCTACGTCCTGGACGACGCGCCCAAGGAGTGGGTCGGCAACAAGGGCTTTATCACCAAGGATTTGTTGAAGACGGTCCTGCCTGAGCCTAAGAGTGGTAATGTCAAGGTCTTTGTTTGTGGCCCTCCCGGCCTGTACAAGGCTATCTCCGGCACCAAGAAGAGCCCCCAGGACCAGGGCGAACTGGCCGGATACCTGAAGGAGCTGGGTTACTCGCAGGACCAGGTCTACAAGTTTTAAGCATCGTGTACGATATATTGTGTGCGGATTAGAAATTTCTGAGCCTGGCAAGAAAAATGGGCATTGACTTTGGAGCTTGCTAGAATAGAGTCTCCGAATGTCTCATGTAACCCAAGAACTTCGCTTTTGCGGTTCTATGGAACAATACCGCAACCGCGGTTTATTCGCCTGTATTCGTAACGATCTTCACTTGGGAATGGAAACGAACAAGGCCCTCTGAATGCAGCTGACCGTGTAACTGTGTCCGTGTGTAGGGTCAACCCTAGCCCCTTATGGAATGATTCTCCAGTACCACGATACTCACCGCCGAAACCGTTGGGATATCCAACCTCGAGAAGTGACGATCGCAATTACTCTTTCTCGTAGAAAGACCCGCGAATTATCCTACCTACTTGTTAATGGAGGGCAAGTCCAAAGTCTCTTCGACATAAAGGCAAGACGCCCACGTCCACACAAAGGGTGCCCAGGTCCCAGGCTTTTCGCTCGAGGGCCCCAGACGATCACGCCGTATCGACTCAATCTGTCGCAACACAACTCGGTCCGCGGGTATCCGAGCTGATCCTAATACATCCGATGTACTCGTTTCCCTAATCAATCAACCAGGCTCTCCACGCATAGCTCATTTCACTAGGTTTGCACACCATCGACGGACCGTTCCGAAGGAGGCAAGCATCTCGTAGAAGAGGCGTTGCTGATCTCGGAGTCTAGATGAAAAGGTAGTAGGCAGCGAGATGGCGCCTTCCTGGCAAGGCACAAGGTACGATAATAGCAGCAGTTCGTCGACTGGTAGTTGCAAGGTACGCCGGTAGACGCCCTAAGAGTAAGCAGGACAGGAAATGGTTCCAGGCCCAACTTCGCCGCGCGTACGACGCACACGTGCTGCGCATCGTGAAGGGCGCATACGGGATGAAGGGAAGGCAGGGCCGTGGTACGCCACACTCTGGTTCCCCATGCCCGTTCAGGAAATATTTGAAGGTATTTTGGGCCTCACGCCGGCATATAGGAGGGTAGCGAAATGGGACAAGATGCCTGTTACCCGCTAATCGAGACGAGGACCGGGTGCTCGAACCAGGGACGAGGGAAGAAAGAGCACGGTGTTAGGATGGCGAAGGCAATAGGCCAGGGACGAGACCGAACGCGTGGAATACGAAACGTAATGGAAATGGATGGCTTACTATTAATATGTATCCCTCGCGGTTTTTGTCCTTCGGCGTAGGTAGGAAGGCACCATTGGCGCTGAGGTGCGTCTCGGCTGTACGAGGCGACCTGCCTTTATCTGACCTGAGGATTCAGCTTCCCTTCGTGGTGCATCGCAGAGTGGCAGCAGCACGATCGATAAACATGCCGTACGACGCTGGTTCTGGTGTGAATGTCAAGCTCGGATATGGCGGTGCCTGATAGGGAAATGAGGCGAAAACTATCCCATCATCACACCGCCCTGGAAGTATGTACTCACTCTATGCCGGCTAAAACCACACACCGCGGCGACACGTGGCTGGCAATAATTGAGGGCCGCCGATTCCATCTACGGCAGGAACCCAACATATGCGCTCGTTCGCGCTGAGTTGCAGCATCTGGCGTCTTCACGGTGATACGATTCGCCATTCGCACGTGCTGCAGGAGCTGGAGGGCTCTCGAGTTGTGATTGGGAGACGGACAGCGAGCCCAAGTTCCGTTATTCGCCAGCACGTTGATGACGTGCCTGATCTTTGTGTCGCCATACCATTCGGCTCGGAGTCAAGCTTTTCCACAGTGGTGTATAGTTTGTTAGGTTAGGCAGGTTCATAAATGCTGCAGATCTGGGGTGGGCCTGGCGGTCATCTGTTGACTGTTAGCACCCTATCAACCAAACCTGGGGAACGGCACGAGGGGGCGGATCTAGATCTCGGCCGCTGCGAATTCCTGTACGCGAATGCAACGCTGTCTTTCGGGAGGAACAGGACTGTCCCTAGTGAAGTACCGTGCCGCTGCTGCTCGTTGAAGTGAGGCAGGCGGAAACCTGTCTGGAGGTTGAATTTAGCCAACCGCCTCGACTGTACCAATGTAAAGAGCAGGGTTGGCTACAGAGGCTGGGCCGGATCCGGCGGGACCAGTCATGTTAAACGTGACGATGTGGCGACCTCCCCAATAATAAGCTACAGGTGACAAAGTAGGTATGTAGGTAAAGCCGCGGTGGCTGTGCGCCTGGTAACATTGAAGTCGTAAGTAGGTGTGGCGTCGTCCGAGGTCCCGAACAGATGGATCGTGACCGGCGCTAATCTCTAGTGCAGATCGACAGGGCAGCAGGGTCAGGGTTGAACTCGAACGTTGTTCCGTTATTGTCAAGCACATGAGAGTTGTGTGCTAATGTAGGTACATGGACGGATGTGAGGATAGCCCTGTGGTGTAGAATCCTTGAAGCACCATACGTTGATTCCGGCATCGTGCAATGAGTCGACTCTGTGTAGCCATATGTGCTGCGCTGTTGTGGTTGATAGCTTGTCAACGGTGACTTGAAATCAGCGACCATCGTAAAAGCAAAGTGCGGCGTCAGTCATCACCTCAAGTCTGGAAAAGTCATCAGCTTTGCGTGTTGAATCGTGATTTGGTGAGGATGCCCATGGTGTTTCGAGTCAGGTACGATGCGACGGATACCTATTTTCAGGGCGATTCCCGTCCTCCAGGGCTTTTCCATGAAACGTGAATATGACGTCATGTTCCTGGATTCGCTGGGGTGGAGCCTGCAGGTTGTTTGGGCGTCGCGCCTATCGCTTGGCAATATCGTCGTCAAGCCTCAAGCTGTGTACTTTCCGCCTGCGACTGCCTTGGCCGTGACTTTGCTTGGACATTACATTCATACACATCGACATAATACACACAATACCTCCATGACGACGAAATATTCCGAGACAACCTCGCAAGAATATAGTGCAGGTGGTGAGGCCGTTTGGGAGCCTCGCACCCCACGTGACGAGCACCCAAGATGGACGGAACGAAACAGAAACAGCAGCAACAGGCGCAGACCGAAAAGCAGCGGCCGAATCCGGGTCCGGTGCCCCCTCGCCGGCTGAGGGAGCACTTCTTCCACAAGCTGCCGGACTATGCCGGACCCTACAGCGTCGGGACGATGGAGATCGAGATGCCGGCACGCGAGCCGAGGACATTCTCACACATCAAACGGAATCACAAGCACGCCTTGCGGATGGACACGGTACTCTTCGCCATGTACTACCCGTGCGATACGTCTTCGTACGCATCGAAGCGGAAGAAGCCGTCGAGAGCTACGTGGTTACCGAGACCGCGGATCCAGACCTGCAACGGATTTGCGAAGTTTTATGGCGTCTCGGACATTCCGGTGACAGCATACATCGCGGCTACGACAATGTTCACGAAGCTGCCAGTCTACCGGAACGCCAATTTGGCCGATAAGTTGGTCGATGCGGCACAAGAGGAGGCGGTTGCGACGGACAGCCAGAATACCCTGACCGGAGCCGAGAATGTAAACCCCAAGTTTCCGGTCATAATATTCAGCCACGGTCTTGGCGGCTCGCGGACCTGCTACAGTGCCGTTTGTGGCGAGCTTGCCAGCAACGGCTTTGTTGTCATTGCTCTGGAGCACCGAGACGGTAGTGGTGCACGTTCGTACGTCAACGTCCCCCCTGATGGCGACCTGGCAGGCACTTTGAAAACCGGCAATACAGACGCCACAGACCACTACCAGTTAGATTACCTCTTTCCGGAAGATAATGCCATCGACACTGCACCACACAACACACAGGGAGTGGACACCGTACTGAGGAATGCACAGATCGAGATGCGCATGGCCGAAATCGAGGAGGCGTACTATACTCTCGAGATGATCAACAATGGTGAAGGAGAGCTGGTCAGAAAGACCAACCTGCGAAAACAAGGCAATGCGGGATCAAGCTCGAAGGGGCTGGCGAATATTGAATGGTCTAGTTGGGAAGGCCGAATGTTTCTGCGCAATGTCACAGCCATGGGCCATTCGTTTGGTGGTGCAACGACGGTCCAGGTTACACGTCAGGAGGACCGGTTCCCCTGGATTGGCCAAGGTATTCTGCTCGATGCATGGGGTCCAGCAACACCGAAATTGGGAGAAGTTGCGCATTCGCCCTTGCAGAAGCCCATCCTGATGATTAATTCCGAGGCCTTTATGCATTGGCCAGAGAACTTCCAGAGGCTCGACGACATTGGTAGAGAGGCGAGAGACGGTGGCGCCTTGTGCTGGATGCTGACCATAAAAGGATCGGCGCATCTATCCCAGTCCGACTTTGCGCTCCTTTATCCCCATTGGATCTCCCTTTTGATGAAGGCTGTCACCGACCCGAGACGGGCCATCTACCTGACTGTCAACGCATCCATGGAATTTTTGAAGAGAGTGCTGCCTTCCGAACAGACCGTCGGCAACACGTGGCCCGACGAAGGTATATTGCGTACAGAGCAGTTAGCAACGAATAAGCTGCCCAGTGATTACCGACCTGAGGACAAATGGGTGGCTGCTCGACTGAAGATACCGAATGAGTTCTGGGTCCGGTCCACCAGCTGGTTTCGACGGAAGCGCAAGATGTCAGGAGTAGCAACCGACGCGAATGGGAATCCACTGGTGGGCGTGATTCAGTTTGAGCAGGGCGACGAAGTCTGGATGCATCTCAGTCCAGATACGGCACAGTTAGAACGCCCAAATCGCTCCGAGTCGATACCTGTTACTACAGAGTAAATCGCGTAACTCATCGTCTTCCCATGTTGGAAGCTGGCGTACGGATGGTCGGTCAGCCGATAGAGACTCGGGTCTTGAGACCGAGACCAGTTGCATAGAGGCGGGGCAGAACATACCTAGGTATCCACTTGTATATTGTTGTAGAAGGTAACGCTGGGAAAAGTATACTGGCAAGCGATAGACCATAGAAAGGGGTCACGGCCAGCGCTTGTACAGCCTTGCTGTGCCAGAAAGAGCAGCCATCATGTGATCAGATCGGGACTTACTGATGTTCCCACGCTAGCTGGAGTGAAATAGACGTAATCAAAGTATCAGAGCACACGTGCGGCATTACTGGCACTGTTCCGGGTCGTCCCTTTTCGTGGACAGGGTTCGTGCCGGGTCGTGGCGGAAGCAGCCAAGACACCGGCCGCGGGAACGCGAACAACAGCTGAGGCTCACTTACCTGGTAACGGGTGAGTCCCAGCCTTAATTCGCAGCCCACCTCATACGCGCGTAATTATCCAGATCACTAGCTGAATTGCGCTAATCCGAGGCAGCAGGACTGAGGGGTTGAGGTCTGGTTACCGATTTGGTAGAGGTCTCGACAATAGTCAAGTGCAGGTGGTGTCGACTGTGGTCAGGTAGGCCCTCGATACCCGGACCTCGGACGATGATGTGGTTAGACTCGTCCGATGTGCCGATACGGCAGACAGTGTCCTCTGGAAATGAGAACGAGAACAGGACAGCAAAGGTCTGATTCCGAAGCGTTACATCCATTGTATTTCGGACACCGCGGGTTAGGGAAATGTTTGGTGGTTCCGTTCCCTGAATTCACTCGCAGTTCTGTCCTCGGATACCCTCTTGTAGAGTAACAACCAATATCATTTGCTTACGCGTCCTCTGCTAAAGCCCATGGATGGGATCTCGCGTTTTGTCGTAGAACCTTGTCAGCAGCCCATATGAGTGATCTGGCGTGCCAAGGATTCTCATCGCCGTGGTTGCATTGTATGCAATGCACGGCAAGTGAGAGGCGCGGTGAAATGTAGAGTTAGAGAGCGGCTGGAACACTGTCGTGAAGAGGTAGCTGCCGCATATTGGGGTTACGACAGGGGCAGCCAGGCGGCTAATATGGTTAAATGCGGTTGAAAATGGCGATGTGGTATTTTCCGAGGGCGCGGGTGTGAATCGTGGGATCGGATCTGACGGCCATGCGATGTTATGTGGAGGTTACAGTCTCGTTCTTGCCGTTTTCCGGCATTGATGTCACCATGGGAGAAAGTTTGATTCTAGAACAAATCCTGCGCTCGCCAAGGACGCCGGCGATATGTGAGCGTGGCATGGTCGGTGAATGACAAATAGACTCGTACCTAGTCCTCCTCTCCACCAAGTGCTAGGTGTGCATGGAGGAATAGAAGCTCCTAGGAGGCTTCAATAATACTTCACGATGTGCTGGCAAGCACAAGCAAGCTGGTGTGTGGGTGGTATCCGGCTACATACATCTGATCGATAAGCTCGGGTGTTGGTTCCGAGTCTGCACCTGTCGCACGCCTGATGTTCTAGCGAAGTCGGGGCGAGTTATGTAAAGCACAGCCTGATAGCACGCCTTGTAGAACGACTAGAATCGTCGACCTGGACTCAGAGTTCGCGTGATGACCCTCAGAAATGTAGAATGTAATCGTGTACTCGGGCTCAAGACACATTCGTGTCGCTGAAACGGCTGAACCTGAAGACGATGTTGGTTTATGGCGGGATTGGAAAGAAGGGCTCAGGCTGACAGCTGGAGGTGGAATACATGCTAGAGCGCTCCACTAAATGTGACCACCGACGGTTAGGCCCACGGACCCCACCACGGAGCTGAGGTCAGGGCGGGGCCCCGGGATCTCAGTTGTGGCATGTGCGCCGACCGGTGCCAAGCAGCTGCCAAGGTCCACCTGGAAGCCCTATCAATCTTGAATCGACTCTCCCTGTCCCTTACGGCGTTCGTATACGAGGCGTGTCCAGCGCTTGTCTTCCATTTGTCAACTCTTCCATCTGCACCAGTCTCTGAGACTCGTGAGTCCGAATTACGAATATTCAATAGTGAGTCTCAGCTCCAGGCTTGGTAACGGCCACATGGTATCACGACATCAATACGCAAATTCCAACCTCCTATCAACCTATCAACTATTGCCCTACGACCCTTGCTTTCGATGCTGTGTCACCTACCAGCTTTGTGTCTGGCATACATTCCCTACCTTATACGAACATGCAAGCGTCCGGGCCCAAGCCCGAGCCCCGTAATATATGTTCCTCGCAGGTGCAGCTCTTCCTCCCTGACGCCATGGTCGGTGAGTGATGCAATCCACAGCCGAGAACTTCGTGATCCCACCTTCGGGTCGACAGTTCACGCCACTCGTGTTCAGACAGTTGGTCCAGAGCTTGCGCCGTTCCTTCAGCCACCTCTCCTGAGGTCCTTGCACCTCATGTGGCCCTCCTCATCGTGGGTCGCTCCTGGCTCTTCTGTACATGCTGAACATTGGATGTAACTTGGAAGGCGCGACATACTCCATACCAAGTACCTTCATAAGATACTTGCATAAATACCTACCACTGGGCAACACCACATACAATTGAATGCATCACATTGTCTTTTATCTCGTTGACTCAAGCTGGAGGAGAAAAGCAAACAACAGTGGAGTCCCATCGCTTCATCTTCATCTGTTTTCCTCCGCTGACGCATCTGCCAACATCTACATACCCATTCTTCGTCATGCTCTAGTACTTCCATTCAGCTTTGCCTTTGCCTTTGTCACTTCATTCACGTCAAATATGACTTGTACCTATCCGCGTAATCTGAACAACCTGCCGCATGCCGACATATCAGTACCGTACCGTACTTGCACATAGCACACCGCCTATCTTGATGATCAACATCGTCGTCTGACTAACCACCGTGTCTACCGCTATTCACACGCACGCATTCACTCACTTACTGCCAACCGTCCTACACACTCGCTCGACCTTTTTTTGTCCCGGCACAACTCCGCGCCATACTCAGCAGCGCATACCCTCGGCCACAGCGGTCGCTTCCACAATCTCGCTCGTTTGCGGGGAACGTCGACAAGGACGAATCCCTTCTCGATACTCCGGCCATCGCTAATTTGGCAAGACCCGTGCCTCCAAATACAACCCGGCCATACGGACGCACGCATTTGGAATAGCAAGGCCCGCTCGCAGGATATATTCAACATTTCTTCATTGTTCCTACACACACCCGGCACCCGTGCCGCTACGTACCTGTCCGTAATACCTGCCTTTAACACAGGGCCGGCCGAGAAGCACGACACCCAACTGGCTGATTCGCTCAACCCGGTGGCTCTACCTTGCGGCCACACGGCCCTTCGTCCCAGTACCAGTCGCAGCACCCAACTGGCTCCTCCGTCTGCCGACGCCATCTATTCGAATTGCCGTGCTACCGGTTGACGCGTAATCCCCAATATGACCAAAGTACAGAAGGCAAAGACCGACGTGCCGTCGAGGGCTGACAGCTTCAATCGGATGCTCGAGCTGGAGAAGAAGTGCAAGGTATGATATTCCGGCATGCAACCCTCCCCCAGAAACTATTCGCATCCAGACTCGTCATATATATGCCCTCCACATGCCGGTCCACCACTAATAGGACGTCTTCTCCCACCTTTCAGATGCAGCGCATTCAGCAAGACCACACCCCAGCGACAAGCCCACTGCCAAGTCCAGGTGCCCCCTCTGCCTCCGCAAATCCCCTTCCGTTTAGGGCTCGGCGTATAAGTGCTCATCCTCCGCTTTCCCATCAGACCCAGATCATGAAAGCCGTACGGCGGAGCTCTGGCCTGCCATCTCTTTCCATTTCCGTACCCCCATCGCCAACTCAAACCTTGGCCGTGAGGACCGATGGATCTGATGAATCATTACCGCCGGGGAAAGACGAGCGCACAAAGACGGTGATGTTTTCGGATCCCGAAGAGGATGTAGACATTGACTTGTCAGACGAGTCCTCCATCTGCCATTCGCCTAGTTGGGAGCAATACGGTCAGAAGAAAAAGAAGAAACCGAAGAAGCGGGAGACTGAGCAGAGCAGAAAAGAAGAGGACGACAAAGGCCCCAAGAAGCGTAACAGGCTGAGCAAGTTTCAACTGCAGGGTATCCCGGGAGTGAAACCATTGACAGCGACGGATCGGTCAATATCAGCACCTGAACTCGAGCTTTATTCCAAACACGACAAGGGGAGCGCTCTCGCTTCGGCGACCGCGTTACGGGACATCATGACCAACCGCCAAGGCGCTGGAAAGGGGCTGGCGCATGAGGTCAAAGCCAAGCCGAAGAGTAGGGGTTTCCTCTCCAGCTTCAGGCTGCAACATGGCAATGTTGCTGCCGTGCAAAAGATAATGGAGACGCGGACCAGCGTCGACGACAACCAATACCAACAGAACGAACACTTGGAGGCGCCATCTATGCAGAAAGCCCCCGCGACGAACACTGGAGCCGACCTGAGCTTCACCAACCCGCGAAAGCCTCCCTCCATCAGATCAGACGTCTCAAACTCAACTCCAGTCACCTCCTCACAGGATAAGAGGTCTTCTTGGGCTCGCAGCTCAATCAGTTCTGGCCACGGACGCTCGCAGTCTCTGCTCTCCTCGACCTTGAACAAACTCAAAGGGCCATCCTATCTCTATTACCACCCCACTGAGGATACCGATGGCGCCCAGACCAGGCGGCCAAGCAGCTCCCACGAAGTCAAACCTGTACACGAGCGACACAGAGAAATTCCTCCCGAGAAGGTTACGGAGACGCCATTGAAACCACACCTCAACCCCATCGAGCAGGTGCCGCACCAACCCGAACATACGTTCTCACCAAAGCCCAGGCGAGCCACAACTGAGCCGGGGCCTGAAATTCTTCCTCGGGGAAGGCAACATCGAACCCATGCTGTCCAACTACGAGATCCCAGCAGCGACTATGAACCGCCTGCAATACTGCCGTCTAAAGAACGCCGAACCCAGATAGAAACGCCACTTGCCTCAACCCGAGATTCTGTGATGGCCTTAGTCATGGCACAAGAGAAGCAGTCCCGGAACGAAAGACTATCCCAACACACAAGACCAGATCCGGACAGGATGGGTCAGGTGGATGATCTCAGGAGCTACAGGAGCCGTGGGCATGAGTCTGGGCGGAAGCGCGCAAACTCTAGCCAGTCCAATGACCACACTCACCTACACGCTGAGAACCGAATGGAGCCCCAGCAGAAGCCAGTCGTGGTACCTTCCAACCAGAGTCAGAGCACCTCATCACTGAATGGCGACCAAATTGATCGCCTTGACGTCAACCGCAGGTGCACCCAAGAAGAAGATCCGATCTCCGTGGGGACACACGCCTTAACTATTCGTCCACTGTCCCGAAGCCAAGACCGCAGCAGCTCTTGCGTCACGAGCATGAGGCATGCCGCCCCAACAGTATCACCTGAGTTGGGCAACATTGGAGAGGCTGTGACACCAGAAGGTTCCACTGAGCAGGCAGAAGCGGTACAAGAGAACAACTCCTATGAGGATCTCATTACGTTCGATTTCGAGACGCCCACGACGATTCAACAGCCATTACAGCCGCATCGATCTGCTGACTATTTCGCCTTCGTCAGTGAGGCGTATGCTCCACCGGCGTTGGAACTGCGCTCGCCGTTGGATGGCAAGTTCCCTTCCCCGCGAATTCCTGAAGAACCAGAAGAGGAAGATGCCGACGATGCTTTCTTCCTGAATCATCCAGATCATAGTATGGGAACTGCCACTGTCGATCCAGTAGCGTATCACGCTGTTTCTCATGCGGTTACCTCGCACCCTAAGACGACAGGAAAACCCTTGTATGAGCAGAAATCGAAGAACTCGCCAGCGATATCTGCTCACCAGTCGGACAGCGACGTACCCGCATTCGAACGCCTTGGCATACCGCCGAAAGCAGCAAAGGTTCTCGCAGGAGTCGAGACAGCTAGCGCCTCAGTCTCTCAGCCGCACCAGACAGAGCCAAGTCGGGGTACGTCAGAGAGGTCGTCGTCCTCAACGTACGATGATGCATACCTGTCCCCTTCTCCCACCACTACTCCCGACAGTTCGAGACCTGGATCTCGAAAGGGTCTTCCGCCATCACAAGCAGGCGAATCGCCAGAAACACCAATTGGGCCAATCGCGCATAGTGAGGAGTGGGTTTCTCGTCAACTATATCGACAGCCGTCGGTCGATTCTCCAAGCAACTCAGTCTCCCGGGCTACTAGTAGAGACAACAGAACCGCAAACCTCATTGGTCTTGACCACCAACCAACACCGACATTCATGAGGCGTGATGGACTTACATCTAATCCATCTCTAGTGGCAACGCCGACTTCGGTGACTTTTGCCGAGGTTTCAAGGGAAGACTTGAACGATGAACTAGCGAATATATTTCCAAGACGAACGCCTTTGCCGCCTAGGGCCCAGTCTGCTCTCGAACTACACTCACCGACCAAAGCGCAAGTACCTCCGGCCCTCAAGAAGCCATCGCTGCATGCGAAGAGGACCAAGGACCAAATCTCTTCAGTCAGCCTGCCTAATTCGCCGCCTCCTGAATTAGCCGATGAAGTCCTTCCTCGGAAGTCTGCACTCAAGATGCCGCGCAACAATAGCGCCAATGACCAATCCTCTTCTGCTCTGATCGCCGCAAGTGCTGCCCACCTACAAGAAGCAAGGAGGGCTGCACCAGTTCCCCTGTTACCCAACTCACGAGCACTGCGTCCGCATTATGCACACAAAAGTTCCTCTGGCAGCGTCAAGAGTGCCGTGTCGGGAGGACGCACAGAACCCATCGCAAAGATGCTTGTCGAATGCTGCAACTGCAAGTTCTTCCATGATATGCCATCGAGAGTGTACGAGTGCATGGCCAAGCCCGACTCGGTTGTCGAAGACAAGCTCCTGGGGGTTTCGGCTGCCATCACCACGATGGTGAAGTGTCCATGGTGCGCCCATGGTATGACCACGCAATGTTGCTCTGGCTACGCTGCTGTGGTCTACCTGAAGGAAAAGCTACACGGAAAATGAAGATGACAAACGTTTTTGGGAGCTAAGAGGGATCTCTTGCTGAGCCATCTCTCGTGGAGCCATCTGGCCTCGAGAGGAACAGACCCGAGTTGCTCGTTCTAGTTTCACGGTGAAGAGACATCCCATCCCTGTCTTCCCTTTGTGACATAACCCACGCTGTCGACCAGCCCACCTTGCATATTCCCTTGACTTCTGAACAAAAGCGAGCTCATTTGTAGCATATGATAGCGCCTTGCATACATCAGCCGGGGGACGGTATGGCTACCGGGATTCAAAAAGCTATCTGTGTGCTTGATTTTATATTCTGGCTCTGAAAAGGAATGATATCCTCTCATAAAACTGTCGTTGGACGAAGGGCCATCGTGGCTATGCATCTTTCTGGCAACGACGCAGACAGCAGCGTTCTGCGTCTATGTACCTATACGAGATGATCATAACGAAAATACGACCACCATGATGACATGGCAGGGAGTGCATGTTCATGTACGGAGTGCATAATCAAGGTCCCGAACAACTTAACGGATATTCACGGTAGATTGATATAGACGTAGATATCTATACTAACTTAATCTACGAGTACCCTTATAGCCTTAGCAACTAATTTAACGATAAAGCTATCGTAAGTTAATATTAGCGTAAATATTGTAGATTTATAATAAATTATTACTTTAATATTAATAGTTGTAAATTGGTTTAATAATTGTGATATTGTTGGATGGAGTGGTGCAGGTGGTGTGGCTGCAGGTGGTCCGCGCACGGACCAGGTGGGCTGGGGTGGTCCGAGCGCCCTGGGAACGGTCGACTAGCGACGTTGCACCACAGCTCTAGTGTGACGGTCTGACCTCCTGGAAGTCTGTCAACCCATCAGGGTGGCCTGTGCGCAGCATCACATGACCTGGCGCACAAGACGTGTGGCCACAACTGTACTAGGCTAGGTAATAGTGGGGCGGATGGAAGGATCATTAATCCCACCAGAATTGGCTGGCGGGTCAGATCCTTCTTTCCCTCCCCACCAAGAGATTCTTACACGTAGGTAGTGCAATCAGGACTTTTATGTCCTCATCCTATTTACGCTTCGTGACATCTAGCGCTACAGCAGGCAGGCGCGTTACACCTGTATTTAGGTGTGAATTCGTCCGTACCAAAGTAGATACAGAACGACGAACGAATGGACCAATATTTCCGCATATGAATTCTAACAGATATTAAGTAATTAAAAAGTTAATATAACTGATAAATAATGCTACTTCAAAATAAATAGTAACTTGCTATTAATTCAATTATTTTTAAAGTTATAACCTGATAAATATTATTATTAACAAAAAACCCTTTTAAAATTATTATAGTTTAGATAATAATTTTCTTAATACATGAGAATATTACTAAACCTATTTACTCGTAAAACGGTGAAAATTTGTATAGTTTTCAAATATATAAATAATTTGAAATTAATTTATTATATATTTAAACGTAAGTAATGATTTATAAAAAAAATGGTTTACATTATTTACCTATTTTTAATAATACTAAACATTTTATTATGAATAAGTTTATAAATTATAAGCTCGATATATTTATATGATGAATAATATAAACTCTTCAAACTTGGTAGCTTTATTGTTATTTATTTTATTATTTCTTAAATTAAATTAAACTTATCTCAATTAGATAACGGCTTTTAATTAACTTGATTACAAAGCTTTTTGATTAAAATAAGCTTCACATATTATAAAGATTTTATAAAAGTATATTACTAATTGATTAATATTCTGTTTAACCCTTTTTATAACATGTTATTTAATAATTTAATATTAAAATATGGCTATATATATTAATTGAATATAATATCGTTGTTCTTTTTGCTAAACTTTTTAAAGTTGTCACGAAGCGTAAATATGGAGTGGACGTAACAGTCCTGCTTTCACTACGTATGTGTAAGAATCTCTCAGTGAAGAGGGAAATAAGGATCTTGCCCACCAGCTAATCTAGTAGCAGTTAAAGCAACACGTCCTGTGCGCCAGGTCACCTGATGCAGCGCACTGACCACTGCAGATGGGGTGTCAGACCTGATGGGAGGTCAGACCATCATAAAAGTCAGCATGTTTGTATTTAATTAAACTTTGAATTCATTTCAAAACTTTCTTTAATTTTGACCGTTTTCATTTTTAAAAACTTAATATAAATTTTAGGTTTAGGGTTAAACCTTATTTCAATATTATGAAATGTTATATAAAGGTTGAGATAAGGAATAAATTAAAATTGAAATCGTTTTTTATTTATTTTAAGTTAATAAATTGTATAAGATAAATTCTTATTTAAACAAATAGTTAAAAACTTAATTAATTGTTATTTAAATATTTACTTACTAGGTTATTATATAACGCCCGAGTATCATTACGTACCTACGAACTATTTAAAGCCTATATATTAATGCTACTACGATATTTAATGCGCTTTTTAACGAGGTATATAATGCTTAATCAAGCTTTAAATAGCTCAGAAAACAAATAACAATTAGAACTTATCAGTAGTATTAGTATTTAAATAGGTAGACTGTGAGCTGCTTTTTGCTGAAGTATCTACGTTGTTTTTAATTAAATTAAAATGTATTTTCTTTTTAAACACAGTATTTATAGCTATATTTAAACTCTTCAAAAATTTAATGCTTTCATATTTATAATATATCTGTGACGGTGTACAACTGTATCCACCTGGTTGGATACTGAGTCATCAGGTCACGTGTAGATTAGATAAGGAAGGACACCATCATATGTGCTGCAGCCATTCGGGTGCACGCACGCCTGGATTCCTTTCGTTCCTCACCTTGTTATTTTGGGAATACAATACCAGATTCCACCACAACGCCGCATGCACCGTGATATTATCTACCTTTATCATTAAAAGGCTTTCGTTCGTACTTTCTTATATATTTCGTCGTTTGAAAGCTTTCGTCTATAAAATTAATATTATCGTTACTTGTTATATACGTCGTTATAAAACGAAAATGCCTTTATACTTTTATATTATTATTATTTAATCTTATATATAACTATATTATTATTACGATATAAAGGCGTTTTCATATTTGACGTTTATTTATTGAGCTCAGATGTATTATCAATCTGTTATTTATTTACTTGCGTTTTTATTTGTTAAAACTCGTAGTATTTTTTAATAAATCATATCAAAATGATAGTGTAATCAACCCTTACTTTTAGCGAAAAAGGCATTTTACATACATAAATAAATTTTAACGTTTAAATATAAAGAAAAATATTTAATTTAATTATCTAAAAGCTATAATGAGGTTTAAAAACATTTTATATTAAATGAGTTAAGGTTTATATAAAAGAAGTATGTAATAGTTTAAAGAATAGGGTAGATATAGTTCATAAATTAAATTAAGTAAGACAAAGGCTTTGCTTTAATATAATATTTCTTATTATGATATGGTTATTTTTAAATTATTATAATAATTGATAATAATAATATTTATCGTAAAAATGAAAGAGTTTTTTTATATAAACCTTTCAATATTAATTTCTTAGTTAATTTACCTCTTTATGTTATATATTATGTTTTTAATAAGTTTTGTTTTCACTTTAGTAACCTTTTTTTATTGTTAAGCTAGCAAAATTCAAGACTTTAACTTTTTCTAATTAGTTAATGCCGTTAGTTATTAATATTAAGTTTTAAGCTTTTTGTGACGTTCTGGTCATACGGTACGGTAGCCCGAAGTGGTGAGCCTAGAGCCCAGCAATCAGACGTCAGATACATCTATCACCATAGAATACCAGCTGTTAGCTTGGTATTCCACCTCCTTTTGTGGGGGAAGCAGACTGTTGGTATGGTGGTCAGCACCTGGTTCTGTGACACTTTTATTAGTTCTTTTAATAAGTGCTTTAATTTCTTTACCTTTACTTTAGCTTTGACATTTTTATAAAAATTATCGGTGTTAGTTTATGTTTAAGTATTAAAAACGTTATACCTTTTTAATAAAATTGTGACGGCCTGCACAGACCTTCCCACATGACAAGCCAATCCTTCCCAATAAGGGAAGAATCTGACCAGAGGATCCCCTTAAAGGGGCAACCTCCCGCTGTACCTATCTCTCTCTCTCTTCCTTTCCTCTCTAGTCTTGATATTCTCGTCAATAGAGTAATAGTTGCTTGCTGCCGGCCATGTCCCAGCTCCTAAGTACGCTCGCCGTGACAGTTATTCTTAATGAATAAAATACGAACGAATTTAAACATTGCATTCAATTTTTCGCTTTTTTATTAAAACAAGGCGCGCCGTTAAAACCTCATAATAATATTACCGACTTTGTTGGAACAGGCTTGAACGATTAATCATAATACTCGAGTATGGTGTCAAGGTCATGATGTTGCTGATGGTTGGATTGAGAGGAATCTAGCTGGACTCGAAGGTCTGGCCAAGTGCCCTCTCAATCCACTATCTTATCTTATCTAATCATACATATGGGTCCTGGTATAGATGGTTTGCAGTCTGGAATCGCATGGATCCAACAGACTTCGTTATTATAAGCTACTAGGTTGTTAAATTTTGAAACGTATTAAAAAGATATTTACTTTTATAATAATATATCCGATAAGTATTTTTTTCATATTCTCTTTTATTCTTTACTGCTAGCTTTATAAATAAATATAAAACAGCCCATTATTTTATTATTATCTCGTAAGCCTTATTTAAAACGCGCCGGTTTTTCGTTAATAGCGCCATATGTTTTATTATTAACTCCCAGTTATTTTAATTGAATAAGCTTAAATGAATTTCCTTATCTAATTCTCTTTAATATTCCGGTAAAAGTAGCTGATTAAAATTACTAATTGCTTGGTTTTTCTAAGTAATGCTTTTTTAATGGTTGCTATTTAAGGCCGTATTATTGAAAAAAGAAAAAAAGCTATTCTTTTCTTCAACGTATTTATCGTTAACTTCAAAATCGTCAGCTTTAAAAGAGTTATTAGCTTTACTATTTATCATAATAGTCGTTTGATCAAACGCGCCACTTATAATATAACCCGTTGTTATATTTTCTATTTTTAAAACTTTTTTGAAAAAGGCGTTATTTTCATGTTTTAAAGCGGTAGAATCTTTAATGTAAAACTTACCTTTACGCGTAAAAGCGACGCCTTTATTATACAAAGTCATCTTTAATAATCAAATATTAATTTATTAACTAGCTATTATATATATATATATAGATTAAGCCTGATTATTAAATCGCAATCGGAAATATTATGATATATAAAGTTACATAAGGGTTAAAACAAAGAATAAATAGAAATCGGTGTAGTTTTTTATTCGTATTAAGATAATAGTTAATATACAACAAATTATTATTTAAATAACTAGCTGAAAGCTTTAGTGAACCGTTATTTAAACATTTACTTACTAGGTTATTATACAACGCCCAATTGTTATTAGGTACGTACGAACCACTTAACAAATATATATTAAAGCTATTACTAGATTTAATAGATATATATATATATATATACAAATTAAGGCTTTAAAAAGCTTATTTAAACTAGGAGCTTTAAAAATTAACATTTAATAATAATTTTAACGTAGCTGACAAGCGAGTTGGCATCATAAGCGAGTTGGCACTTGTCATGAACTCTCTAACTGCAATGTTAAATAATTTCACCACAACGCATTCAATTCAATTCAATCAATCAGATTCGTCTTCCTCAGAGGCTTCTATCTCTATTGTACAAGTTTGTGCATATTGGCCAGTATTGCCGCAAACGCCACACCGTTTCTCAGGCGCTGCCGTCCTCTTTGGATAACGATTACCTTCACTCATTTTTTATCTTACCAGCTCAGTAATATCCTTTATAGCCTGAAAACCTGTCGTATTTTTAACAGAAAGTATTCCTTTTTTTATCAGACGTCTGTTTTTTGTTCTCCAGTGTTTATTTAGTAAGTGATTGGCCTCCTCTAGCTCGCGGACCCGGGAATTAACCAAAGTGACCTTGTGCATAAGACCGTATATAGCCTTTGAAAACGAGCTCAATGTATCAATTATTGATGTACACTATGTGGACAATATTATGCGTACACCGCCGATCCCTACAGGTCCTTTTAAACACCCTCCATTCAGATGAGTGTACGCTAAAGACTTTGCCCGATTCTCCAGGCTCCTGGGTCATCTGCCTCTCATCCAAAAGGTACCAAAACGACCTTGTGAACCTGCGGGAACAAGTTAAGGCCAAAATCTCTATCATGATTTGGGGTATGATTTGGCTACATGGCGGCAAAGGTGGCAAGGGCAAGCTGGTAATGATGGAAGGCGATCCGGACTCTCCTTGCGACAGAATGAATATCAAGTCATATTTAAAGGCTCTAAAAGAAGGATTACTGCCTTTTTATGAGCCTGGGGACCCTTATATGCAAGACAATGCCCCTATTCATAATTCAAACGCGTGTAAGAGATGGCTGGAGGAGCACGGTATCTGGACCATCGAGTGGCAGCCTCACTCGCCTGATTTGAACCTGATCGAGCACGTTTAGAACGCTCTAAAGCGCAAGATATAAGAAGTAAAGCCTCAATTTCACGATCTAAAGGACAATTTGAGCAACGAGGCATACGCGAAGGAGATAATTGAGCGCCCATGGGCAGAGATCGATCAGCGCTTGATTGAGAGGCTGATGAAGTCGATCCCGCGCAGGCTCGCAACAATGCGTCGCATACAGGATTGGTATAACAAGTATTAAGAGCAAAAATCAACAATTATTTTGATCTAATTCGCGCTCTGAATGACCTCATATTCGATTTATTAGGAATTGTTGAAGGTGAGGGTGGTGATGGGTGGATTGGTGGAGGATCGGCGGTGTACGCATAATATTGTCCACATAGTGTACATGGCCACCCCATATCTTCTTCCAAGCCAGTCAACCAGACCCTGCATACGGGCGAAGATAGCTGTACCTATCATCCCATCATCACTGCTGTCGTCCCGCTCGACCAGGAAAGCAATACTCGTCTCAGCCGGTTCTGAGTCCTCAACTCCACACCGTCCGTCAGTCTACAAGGTCTGCGGTGCGGTTCGAGCTTGATTGACATTGGTCCTCCGACTCGGCTATGGGGTGCTCGTATCGTGGTCAATCTTTCTTTCTATACTGGAGCGACGTCGGCTGGTCAATGGCCTTGACATGGGAGATACTTATCTGTGCGTGATTGGGAAGGAAAGGGTTACGGCGATACGAGTCCGATTTCCATTGACTGGGTCTGTCTGGTAGAAAACGCCAGACAGGAGGTGTGTGAGAGTCCTCTGCCTGGGAGGTAGGTTCTATACCAGTTGTCTTTGAGACCCAGAAGGTCTGCTTCTCTCACGTCTTGTGGCCTGGAAGCTGTACGGAAATCATATTATGAAGTATCTCAACTATGTCTATTTATGCTGCAGTCACCGATGACTACCACGAACCGTACGCCTTGTGCTATGATGAAGGGTATAAGAATCCCATTTGCTCGCGCCAAACCCACCATGCGGTTCTCTAAGATTGATTCGGAAGCCCAAAATCAAATGCCCGCAAATGTGGTGCCAACATAATCCGCACCACATACGGCTCTGCGCTCCTGCTCACTCAAGCTCGCACCCCACGAACGCAACTCGTCTAATGTGAAATTCGATCCTGCGGTAACAGGGCCGTATCCACCAAGAACTCCAGGCGCGGGAACATCGCCGTGGCTGTTGCCTCGCCCTTTCTCTTTCGAGAGAATGCCGAAGCGTAGTGCGACCTCGGTAACTGTGACAAGAATACTGATGATGATCAGGACAATAATGATCCACGTAATGTAACTCATCTTGGAGTCGGCCACCGAGTCCGACAGGATCTCTGCAAGGTCCAGGAACACGCGGCATCGTTCGTTAAGCACCTTGGTGCGCGGATCAATTTCCAAGTAGTCTCGGATGGCGACATAGAGCGGATGCAATGTGGGCTCCGAGTCCCAGAAGAAATTGGGCACGTCGAGGATGTTCGATGCTGGACACGGAAACTGTTAGCTATCATCAAGCAGGGCCAATAGGACAATTGCCGCTTACAGAGGTTGATCTCGACACGGCTCTTGAACAGGCGTCCCAGAATCTTGACGATCTCGGTCCTCGTCATGCTCAATTCGCCCGTTAAAGCCAGTCGCTTCGGCACGTGCTGTGCGTTCAGCATGGTTTCCGACATGCGCTCCTCGAAGAAGCAGAGCTTCGTACTCTGTGCGATGGCGTGACTAATGGTCAGCCGCACCATGTGATCGGACCGCGGCAGCAGCGTGATCATGTCGTTGAATATCCGAGGTCGCTTGACGTCCCCGTTATATTCAAAGTGAAACTCTTCCGTCTCAAAGTCGCTCTGGTCGAGGGGGCGTGTGACCAGCGACACCCCTGTTTCGTTCTCGGCAAAGGTGATATCAGCCAAAATAGCCTTCTCCTGCTGCTCGGTAAAGTTCCAGAAGACGACGACGCCGTATGAAAAGACGAACATTTCAGCATATTGTTTAGCATCCGGCACAAACCTGTTAACTGGACTTGCAGCATGGTGATCATCCTGGCGATCGGTTGTGGTGTCGCGTCCGCCGTCGTCTGGTCCACGACGAGGACTACCGTTCTCGCTGTTCGGACTCTCCCCATGCTCTCCGTGTTCGTAGTCATGGTAGTATCCCATGTGTTCGTCGCTCTGTTCGCTCCTCTCAATCTCGAGATCGAGCACGGTCTTGCCTGTGCCAGGTGTCTTCAGTATTGGCCGACTCCGGACGCGATAGCCGTCGACGCCAGAAAGTAGTGGTGTATGGTAGACGGTGTAGAGACAGTCATCGTAGAGCTTGGTCTTGGCGTCGTGCTTCTTGCGTAGGAACTCGGACGTCGACTTCATCTTGTAGGATTGCGCTGTGCAGTAGGCACTAAGCCTGGAGAGTTTCTCGGCTCTCTCAAACTTGGGCAGTCGTTCGGCATAGCTCTTTCCCCGAAGACCGCCTCTTTTCCGCAGTACATCCAGCTCCTCATCCTTCAGCGGTCTCGATTCATCTTCTCGAATGATTCCTTCCGTCTCCTCATCCTCAATCTCGTCAACCGTCTCTGGGAGCAGGACCAGTTTCTCGCTGATCCGTGTGGTCCGAGAGGGCATATTATGTTGTCCGGTCCGCGAAGCCAGGTTTGGTAGGCCTCCTCCGCTCGCTCGTCGAACGCCAGTGATGGTGCGTGACCCTCGTGGGGGGGGGGACACGAGGCTGGCCAGAAGGAATTTCCGAAGCATATTGTAGGACATTATCGACGGATATGAATCTCATGGGCGACCGTTTTGGTTGCCCACGACTAGAATTGGCTTGGGAAGCCATATCAAGCACCGTAGGGAAGCCTGGGAGATAGACCGGATGCAGATATATGTCGGGATATATGTGTAGTCGTGTCGCCTACGTACCTTAAATGCCAGTAGGGGCCACAGGTAACGTTGCTACCGACCCCGACCCTTTAACCCAGTCGAGTTTGCTGAAGTCAGGATCAACGAGCCGAGCTCTGTGATTAATGTTGCGATGAGCAAATGAGGCTCGAAAGGGATTCAAAGTTGTATTAGGGTCGTCGTGGTGTTGGAAATCGATCTGGCGTCGGTTGTCGTGGCATTCGCAGGTGGCAGCAACCGGTGAACGGGGACGCCGATGGATAGCCGGCGCAGATGGAGTGGCGATCTCGATTCGGTTCTCGCTGGAAAGAGGGACGGACCAGCTGGTACGTTGTTGGCTTCGGCACTTTGTCAAGCCGCACTCTTGACGGGAGTGGTGGTTTGATGGTGGTTGTCGAAGGCTGAACCGTGCTGAAGAGAAAAGCAAAGATGGGATCTCAAGCTAGAACATTTGAAGGTACGAACGATTACGTCGTGGCAGCCACACGCTGGAGCTCTCAGCTGTCGGGGACGCCTTCCAATTTGTTGGTGGGGCATTCCTGGTGTTACTAAGCAGCACCTCCCACCTCCAGTACCTTTTTCAACACTTCTTGACCTCGAAGAAATACCAGTTGACCTTCACTACTTCACTCTGTAACCAATTGCTTTTCCGTGAAACCACACGCCCAAAATGCTTGGATCGTATCAGTACCTTCCAATTCCTTCTCCGCAAGACTGCCGCTTGTGGTTGAGCGCATTGAGCCAGAATCGAGTCGGCTTCATCGCACTGGTAGGCATCTTCCTAGAATCATGGAATTGTTTTTGCTTTCACCTGAGCTAGGTCATCCGTGACGCGATACACCAAGACAAGCGATTGCATTCAGAGCGTTACTTGCGGGCGGAATTTATTGGTCTATCAGATACATACAGTGATCAGGACCCCAACCAGCTCCTCACTGAGCTGCCACAGTTTGTCTTCTTTCTCCGTCTATCGCCTACTCGTACGGCTCTTCGGAGCTGCAGTCCACCAGGTATGCGGGCTGCGGATCCTCCATGTCCGGGACCAGCGCCGTCACGAGCGTCGTCGACGGCCCCTTCCGGTACCATGCGCGACTCGCGTTCCGCAGCGTGACCTTCTCGAGCCCGGTGAACATCTTGCCGGGGTCGCCAGTGCTTACGTTGAGATGCGTGCCTAGCCCCGTGTCGAAGATGTAACCGGATGCACCGCCGCCGCTATGAGGCCGCGCTCCCGCATTAGCAGGTTCGTCAACAGGAAGTGCCTCATCGCTTGTGCTGGTCTCGTCGAAGATCCGCATGGTAAAGACTGGTGGTGTTTTCAGGCGCGATGTGTAGATAGGGCTTAATACGGTCTTATGGTGTAATGCTTGACATCCTGTGACACTGTGTGAAGACGATGCTGCGGAGTTAATGTAGACGCACACTCGGGCGCCCCTGAGCTCGACGTCTCATCTCCATCCAGTCCACTGCTCAGCATGTCCCAACTATCTTGGACGGTCATGGTTGCTCATTGCGCTTGGTACTGCTCGTCGACCGCAAGTCGTAAGTCGCAGATTCAGTTACTTGATGCGTCAGTCTGTCTGAGGACCGAAAACCAGCAGATGGCGGAAGGGCCAATAGGAGTACTCATTAGCTTCGATGTGGATCGCGGAATCCGAATGCGTGGGTGTCAGGGATGCACTAGAAGTGCCAAGGATCCCACCCTAATCCCCTTATATACTCATCTACTGATCTACTCTCATGATTATATTCCTATCAGGTTTTTGTTTTCTTTCTTTGAGAGTCATAAACTCTAGAAACGAACCATGTCATCCGATCCCGAGTCTCCTCATAGCCAGGCTGTCGACTACATCGCGAACCCGTGCTTCCACCAGCGGTTGACTCTTCCCGCTACCACTGACCATGAAGAGCTCACATTCAGCTACGCAGTCATAGGTCGTGACGCCCGTCCGACGGATGGCCAACCACACCCTCCGACGATTCTGCTCATGCCGGGCATGTTCGCATCTCGGTACCTGGGCCTGCCAATGCACGCAGTCGCGAAGAAACTGGGCGTATGCGTGCTGGTAGTCGACCGGTGAGTGATGCGCATGCACAAGCTTGGCTGTGTAATCGCGTTCAGCTTCTACGTGTCCGTGCTGAAGGATATATCTATCTTCACTAGACTGACTATTCTTACCCACTATGAGGCCTGGGATGGGCTCTTCGACCGATGTTCCTCTCGAACAGCGAGTTCCCGTCTGGGTTGAGCTGGTCCCCCAGCTCCTGGCACATCTAGGCATCGAACACGTCGCCTTGGTGTCGCATAGCGCAGGGGCTATATACCTGCTGAATACTCTGTACCATTGCCGTGGTCTTCTGGACCCTGAGAGACCATTCGTCGCCTTTATGGGTACGCATGTCTCCATACGCCCCCTTTCGTATGGTCCTGTCCTGCTCTGGTATAAATTCTGACATACCTAGCAACAGCACCCTGGGTCGACCCCATCCACTCTCACATGACGTCCATACGGTTTTTGCAGTATATCCCAGTCCCAGCCTTCAGCTTCTGGAACCAGATCCCGCGCTTCTTCCACACCAAAGCCGGGCCGGCCTTCGCGTCCAGCGGCGCAGTCGTCAAGAAGCTCTCCAACGCGGTGACCTTCTCAAACCCAAGCGGTGATGGCGGCAGCCCGCCGGGCGATGACTCGCAGCAGCAGCGGAACCGCCAGAGGATGGAGACCGAGTACGGACTGCCGCGGGCCGTGCAGACGGAGCTGGATGTCCTGGTCTTCCGGTCCATGTTCGAGGAGAACACCCTCGGCGCGAACAGCGAGGCGCTGCAGTGCCTGAGGAAGGGACCGGGTGTCACGTGGGGTAAGTGTGACGATTATGGCGTCTTCGTGGCGGATTTGGTCGTGCGAGAGAGAGAACGAGCGGCGTCTGGGGACCGGCGGGCGAAACTGAAGATAAGGGCGTATTTTGCGCAGGACGATGACATGATTGGGAAGAAGGGACAGCAGTACATGGAGGAGTGCTGGCGCGGGAAAGAAGATGGGGACTTAAGGGACGTGATTGACTTTGAGTCGACGGTTGTTGAAGGGGTAGATCATGATACTTTGGTGTACTCTTTGGAGACCTTGGAGAGAATTTTTATAGAGGCGGGAGGAGTCAGGGGGCTCTGAGCACTGTTATGTTTCTTTGGCTATGGTCGGGATGTCTGTTTAGGCGGGGCGCAGCACTGTGTTTTTTCAGCATCCGTAGCGACGTCTGCCTCACCTGGCTCGAACCCATACCCCACACTAGGAATATCGGCAGAATGAACAGTATCATATCCCTCACGACGTTCGAGGCCGCAGCTGCGATGACGAGTCCCTCCTGGTAAATGCAATCCCACTGACAACTATGACGTCCCACGCCTTGTTGATCAGACTGCGGGCGAAGAAGAGACTGACGAAGACGATGGGTGTAATGAACATGAAGAATGGCTAGCATCACCCACACGGAGCCCCCGGACAATTCCTGCGGTGGTACGCCAAGGTGGTTCCTCAGAAGAGAATATTGCCAAAGTCCGCGGCCGGAACGGACAAGGGGCGCGGTGTAGGCAGCCTCGCTGGGTCATTCGCCGGAAGTTGCTCATCATGCGCGACCACTGACCCAATGGTTGGGTTGCTCACCTAGGCTGTAGGAACCTAACACTCCCAATCTGGGAAGTGTTGAACTTTTCCAGTTGGAATCTCCCAGACATGACACCTTGTGAACAGACAGCGATTAATCTTGTAGTAATAATGACCTTAGGCATCAATAGTGATCCCTTGCTCGCATTCATGGATGCTGGAAAGTTAGTTGGCTGCAGATGGAACCTACCCACTTAGATGTTTAGCTTCCTTGCCATGGGCTTGTGAGACTAACAGTGCTCGAGGCAGACGCTACCTATGACAGTATACACCGATGGCAATTCACTCAGCCAGCAAGTCTTATATATGTGGGATAGGGGTAGATGAGTGTTATAAAGTACATACTATGGTTTAACTCAGCCCTTCGCGTCAAGAAGGACCTGGCAAAGAGCTTTTGGTTTTCCGAACGAGAAAGAAAAAGTACGGTAAGTTTCCGGTGCCATGGATCCTATTAACCTAGGTATGCTATCAAAAAAGATTTATCATAATCTATGCCCGAAGATGGAATCGAACCACCCACCTCCATGTCGCTTCGATGTTTAATGTACAGCTGTGGACGTATCCACACGAGACATGGCGTCATAACCACTAGACCACACGGGCTATCAACGAAATACCATGATGATCCGGAACACGATAAAGATCTGGTGTTGTTCCATAGGCTCGGGCGATCACTTTCTGGATTGCCAACATTTACAGCCTGTCCCTTTGAGTCGTTGCTTCGCCGTCTCGAGTCTGTGGTGTTGTAGCTAGGCAGCTTGAATGTGCGTTAGGTTTACATATACAGTGAGGAGATATCTTGCTATAGTCACCCGCTATAAGTCTCCATACACGTACTTAACCAGTTCTTTTCCTGTCTAGAGAAGTATAGACAGTGAAACAAGCATCTTGGAATAAGCAGTTACACTTTTATATGCCATGCTAGACGCTTATTCAAGTGGTGTTACTTAGCAGCTAAGAGGTACCGATATTCTGAATATTCAAGACATTGATCATAAGGTGTGCTGAGGATTTAGGGGGTTCAGTGGAATGGTGTACAATGCCCACACGATGAAGCTCGAAATTCTTTGCAAAAGGAGATATGGCCGAAACTGAAATACTAAACTGTTGGAATCTAGGGGTTCTGGTTCACCCTGAGGTCTTAACGTTACCAATCCTACCATAACTCCATATCTGTCCTGTGTGTTAGGATTGTTAGAAAAGGACACACTGTCCTTTTTGCTAGGATTGCTAAAAAGGGACACACTGTCCTTTTCACATACATTCTTTCTGTATTCCTTATATATAAGGGCCTTCTGCCCTTTAGGAACTACTCCTGGTATCTCTCCTTCAACAGAACACTTTGAAATCTCACACAAACTCGGTGACCGCGCATCATCTCAGAAGAATAAAGATCATCCCCTGTCAGATCAACAATCCCACACACCACCTAATAGCATGAATAGCAGGTTGCACGCCAGATGAAAAACCAAGTCGTCATGATAAGACAAACACCTTCCGATGAGAGATCTCCCCCAATCCTGCATCACTGTTGACTACCTCCAAATCAAGCTATACCTGACTCACCTTAGTGGCTTCTAGGGATGTGTGAACGGGACTTTGCCCAGATTGTTTGCTCCTCCCTTACGGCGTGCACAGGAAATGCTCCGGTACCCATAGGTGATCGACTGGGATGACACTATCCGATCTTTGCAAAGATCATATCAGCGAAAGGAAGTCGGCGTAGGGCAAAAAATCCCGCTTGATGGCTGCAGAATGCCCCTCTAGCTCACGATTGGCGAGCCAGGACGCCGGGTCTCAGCGATCAGGGGTATTGCTTGTCAGCTCACAGCCCCTGTATTTCTAAATTCCGATTGCGCTATAGCCTATGCAATCACATCATCCCTTCTTTTACATGGGGAGTAGTGGCTGACATCGAGACTTCCGCCTTGTAGTTGAGCAAGTCTGGATGATCACAATGTGGCGACATGGAGTCGACTTCACTGAGCTTTTCTGTTCTGACATTGAATGAAGGGCGTTGACATTGGGTCGACCATCCCGCCTCGGAAGCTCACAACCACCGGGACATCGGGGGACACAAGACGGGCTCAGCATGGGGTGCTTACAAACAACAGCCCTATCCAAGAAGGTGAAGCGCGCGTCTCCTGCCCGCTTCCCTCGTTCCTTGCCAGTCGGACACTGCCCACCTCGAGTAACGACCTGCATATGTTCTCCAGCAATCACCTTCGTGCAACGTAGCACAGCGTCGGTGGTTTTCGGTCGAGCTGCACATCGTGGCTTGGTTAGCTCCGGATAAGGGATACTCACACCAAGTGGCAAACTGCATCGGTGCACGGACTCGAGGGAGATTTCTATCGACCCCCAGGTCACGACGAGAGGGATATACCACCATGTTACTCGCCGGGGAGCTGAATGACTGCAGCACACAGGTCGATACCCTGCTACATGTAAGATCGCCATGTGAGCGTCATGAAGGTGGGCGTCATGAAGACTTCCTCGGACCCTAGCGGCTCACATTACATAAAGCCATGAGCCCAGCCAGTCCGGTGTCTGTTTGGAACGCTCTTGTCACACCACGACAACCCTCATACTTGTTTTGGCGTCACTGCAATCTCGGGGGCTTGGAGTTGAGACCGTTCCAAGTCCAGTGACCTCAAGCAAAGCATCGGCTATGATGAAGCCCGTCGCATTATTGGCAGTTGTTTTTCTGTGGTTTCACGGAGGCCATGCTTCGTACAGCGGAACTGGCCAACATTGCGTTTGTACCACCATTAGCAAGACGAACGTTGCTCGTGATACTGACAAGCTTTCCAGTGTCAAGCGTTGTCTCAGACACATCTCGGAGACAAAGTATACTACCCGCACACGGCCGTCTACGATGAGCGCCTCGAGTCGTACTGGTCTGTCAGCGCTGCTCTGCAACCATGGTGTATGGTGTTGCCATCGACAGCCGAGGATGTCTCCCTGACAATCAAGGCTCTGACGGAGCACCAATGCCCCTTCGGCATCCGTAGCGGAGGCCACGGCACGTCCGCTCTCTCGAACAGCGTACAGGATGGCGTAACGATAGACTTCGGTATGATCCGATGCTTTAGTTGCTGGTGTATTGATAGGTACTGACCACTTGAAGGACATATGAACGCGACGACATATGACCCAGAGACCAAGATCGCATCTATCCAACCCGGTGGCTACTGGGGCCCCGTCTACGAGACCCTGGCCCCATACGGCGTCACCGTGACTGGGGCCCGTGACTCCACCGTCGGCGTCGGCGGCTTCATCACAGGAGGCGGCAACTCGTTCCACTCGGCCACCAACGGATTCGCCTGCGACAATGTGAAGAACTTCGAGGTAGTCCTCGCAGACGGGCGCATCGTCAACGCCAACTCCGACGAGAACGCGGACCTCTGGCTGGCGCTGAAAGGCTGCTCGGGAAACCTGGGCCTGGTCACGCGCTTCGACATGTACACCATCGACTACGCCGACCCTACTGTTCCGGAGATCTTCGGTGGCATCGTGAGCTATGATGTCAGTGCCACTGATGCGGTCATCCACGCGTATGTCGCGTTCGCGGATAATGTGGCGAGTGATGAGGATAGCTCGAGCATTATATGGTGGGCTTACAATCGGGAACTCGGCGGCATGTCCATCGCTGGATGCCTGGACAATGCAGCGAACGAACCGAATGCGCCCGCGTTCGATGGCTTCCTGTCCATACCGGGTATCAAGTCGAATACCATGAGATCGGCGTCTATGTTCAATATAACGTCTGATTTCGCGATGGGTGAAGGTGTTCGGTTCGTAACTCCCGTTGAAGCGCATTTGACTGAACGGCACTGACATCGCATTTCACAGCAACATCTGGATGACAAGCACATACAAGAACGATCCGTGCATCCTGCACTTCGCAGCTGCCACGCACGAAGAGATGGTCCACCGAATTGAAGCCGTCGTCTCGCCCGACAGCGGCCTCGGCACCGTACTTCAGTTCCAGCCCATCACGCACTCGATGGTGCGCCACGCCGCGGAGAACGGCGGAAATATGATGGGACTCGAAGATCGAATCGCCGGGGGGACGGGTGCCATGCTCCTCATCTACGTGGCTGTGAAGAGTGCGGAGGAGGAGGCGCTGGCCTTGCCCCTCGTGCAGGAGCTTCAGGACGCCATTGACGAGTACGCGGCTTCCGTTGACGCCAATTGGAACTGGAGGTACCTGAACTATGCCCACGGGAATCAGGATCCGGTCGCCATGTTCGGGGCCGAGCCTGTTGCGAAGTTACGGGCTGCGTCTGCCAAGTATGACCCCGAGGGTGTATTTCAGAAGCTGCGCCAATCTGGGTTCAAGATACCTCCCGGTCGTGAGGATGAATTGTAGGACTGGAGGGGGAAGGAGCCTGGTTCATGACATATTTTAGTAAAGATTACCTGTGCCGGGTGAAGGCATAGATGCGAGTGAGACCCATGGTAAATCCGAGTCTTTGACATTGTGCAAGCGTAGCGCGTGCTGGAAAACACCTTCTTTAGGGTCTGTGCTGCCACGATCAGTAGCCAGCGATAATGAATGCCGGACCTACCCCGGACAGCCGACTTGGTTGTTCGTGAGGCATGTAATGTCTACGTAACAGGTCAGAGGTAGGGACTTGGTTATGTGCAGGGTACCATCCGCGCATTAGCTTTTTTGATGCGAAGAATCGATGAACAGCAGCGAGGATAATCGACATATTTCAACGCCCATCAAGCAAACAGAATGAAGTTGTTACATCAGTAGTCATATCCAATCGCTGAAAACCTGCTGTGCCTTGAGGGCTCCCGAGTCTCTGAGCTTGGCTGATCATCAAGCAGTAGCGGCCGCCTGCGGGTTTCCAGCGAACGAAAGGCGCTTGGTTTGAGCAGCAGCTCAGTCTCGACGAGCTACGTCCTGTGGACTTTAGATGCTCGTCCGTCATCTCCGTCGTCAGCAAGCCTCTTTGTTCCACATGTCGGCATTGTAGTGGCTTTTGCTTGACACGACGCTTCGTAAAAGTCCTGCATTCGCTGCCGTTGTTTGAGGCCAAATGCTTGTTCGATGACTGACCAGATGTCTTGCATAGGCCAATCATGGCCATGCGCTTCCAGAAGAAGCTTCAGGGTGACGTTCCAGAGTAAATGGTTCCGTCGTTGGCTGAAAGCAGCATAGCCCTCATCACTGTCCGAACCACTCCCGACGGAAGACGGCGATGTGGCTCTGATGCTCATTCGAGTCGCGGCTGCTGCCCCAAGTCGCGCAAAGAAGATTTCATGGACTGTGCTCGTGTCCTGGGAGACGACCGTGAACGTTGGAGAATCTATGTCAATGTCTCAGCGGAGAAACGCATCCAGTACCTGGAGGTACGTGCTCTCGCTTGCCCAGTCTGGCCGCATGGAGAAGGAGAGGAGTAGAAAGTCGACCCACGCTGTGGAGAATGACATGACACCCCGTGTTGTCGAGCGATATATCTTCGCATTTGGGTCTGCCCCGTATTCGAGAAAGGAGACGAAAGCTTCACCGTTCAGGTGCGGCATGTAGTCGTATCCAATCTTTCCCGATGCAGTCATGATCTGAGATAAAAACCAAGACCACGGTGTCCATCCCCCGTCGCACTCGACCTCCGGGCGATCACTATAGTCCTCATTCGGGTCCTCCCCATGTTCCAGTAGACTCGGAGAGTATCTCGAAGTCCGTTGCGTTGCCGACTCTGGTATCCCATCCTCTTGTCCGTGACTGGCATCACAAGGATTGCCAGAGGCGGCCCCTCGGAGTCGTCACAGTAGTCTGGTATTTGGGCAAGCTTCCTGTTCAAGTAGCCCCGAGGGCCAAACCTTATCAAGCTGGCGCGGAAGAAACCTCTAGCAGCTTGACCTGCGCTTCGTCCAGGTTGAGGGACGATGAGCTGTGCAATACCTGGGCTCGAGTTCAGCCTGCAGATACTCAGTTCTAAATCGTCAAGAATGTCGCCAACGGTGTCGCAAAGGGAGGGACATTCATCTTCGATTTGCTCGGCACAATTCAATGCCCCCTTCACTTGGCTGTTTATTTCAACGGGGCCATCTCCAAGAGGATGTTCGACCGGGACACGTTGCATGATAGTAGGATATGCATCCTTCACGAAGGCTAGACTGCCCCTCAGAATAGAAAGCTTAGCGTTGAAGCCTGTCGCGCTCTTCGCGGCAAGGTACTCGGACATCTTTCGAGTTTGGAGGAAGTCAGAGACTGTTCTGTGGAGGAAATTGACATAGTTGTGGTTGACTTCCAGAAGGCCTTTGCACTGGCCGTCTAGACGGCGGGAAACCCTACTGTACAGACGTTTCAGATCAAGCTCCTGAATAGAGACTTTCTTCGGTTTTAACTTAAGAGCATAGTCTTTGTCGTCATACTCATCGTCGTGATAGATGAAAAATGGGTAGCGTAATGGTCTCCCCGATACAATGACGATTTGTAGTGCACCCGACATCTTATTGTGATAGAATGGTTCGACGGTATCCAGCATATGCTTGAAAAACGGTTCCAAATCCGAAGGGAACGTCTCCAGCCTCCTGAGCAAGTCTGCAAGGCTATCATCGTTGCTCAAGCCTTCTCTGAGAAGTTTGGTGACAACAAAGACCCAGAGGAAGACACCATGAGTCCTCTCGGTTATCTCGTTTATAAGGCGGTCTCCACTGACAGGTTGTCCGTTGAGGTAACCCCATCGTGGATGTTCCGACAGCCGGCTCCCCGCGTACATTCGGATGTCAGCTTCTGTTAGGTCGTGTATTCGTAATACATTCGATACCTTGCCCCCAAATGCATCGGTGAAGACGTTCCAAGGCCGACTCGAGGCGCATACTTTGACTTTGCCGGATCGCGTAAGGTGAATAATATTCTCACAAAGCTCAATATGGTCACCGTCATACTCGTCAAGCCCATCCATGAACAAGCATATCTTGGGCGCAGCATCTGACTCGGCAACGCGTCGCATTATGAGCTGCAACTCTTCCTTTGACCAGGCGGGCTGGGGAACCTTCACCGACTTAAGGACCCCCCATCTTTCAGAACAAGTCGGCTCAATCAAGTCGGGGCACTGGGTAAGTATCTTCAGAGCCAGCTCTTGTAGAAGACCCTGCTGTGACTTCTGCATATCCGTACCGGCAATCCAGAAGTAATGACTCGCGGTCAAGGCTTTTTTTGGTGCTGCCCAGTCATCAAGTGCGCGACGAGTATCCTCATTACCTGCCACGAATTTCATGAAGGTGGATTTTCCAGAGCCAGGTTTTCCAGAAACCCAGTATATGCCGTCTCCAGCCTTTAACCAGCTCAACAGGTTGCATTTTGCTTCCTGTCCGTTAGTCCCGTCACGGTAGATCGAGTCGAAAGTCTGACAGTGGGCTGCTTCGATGCGACTATGCCTCATGGGCCGGTGCTCGAAGTTCAGACTGACAAGGATTGATTGTTGACGAGAGATATTTCTCCTTGCCAATTTGAGCTCGCCCATTTGCTTCTCAAATCCTCAAGGTCTTTGCTTCCGACTGACCGAACGCGGTCCGGTGCGAGAGGTAAATCCAAATCCCTATCCGGGAGTGAGTATCGATTTTCCATTGCAGCAAACATCGAGAATACTTGTTCTATCTTCTCCTTGTGCTGGATTTGGTTTGTGTTGCAGGTGTTTTTGAACCGGGCGAAATCCGCTTTATGTTCCTCGTGGAAACGGCTGCCTGTTGTTAGTGGTGACACGGAAAAAGACATATCTCAAAGCATCCTACCTGGTGACAACACACATGTGAAGCGTCAATGCCACGTGCGTCCTCTGTAACCGCTTGTCCAATTCCTCAACCTCGTTCCTTTTCCAGACAATCTCTAGAGCGGCACGAAAGCTCCTCAAGCGACGCCATGGTCCATCCTGTACCTGGAGCTTCTCGACGACCTTGGCAATCCGGTCGCAACCTGCCTTGGAAGCCTGACATATCTCTCTCAAGGTCGGGTCGCCTTGTGGATTCAAGACGGTGACTGGTTGTATCGAGTCTGCTCCGACGGCTCCAGAGGAGGCGAACTTGGCGCTGAAAGCCTGCAGATGCCCATGGACTGTACGCAGACTTTGAAGATGATTTGAACTACCGGCCGCGGAATCGTAGATCTCGGCGCTCCGCTTCAGTAATGAGCAGGCAAAAGTAACGGACTGGACCACAGTTCCCGCCAAACTGACTGCCGATAAAGGATCCATCCTCGACGCTCTGGCGAAGTGATATTCGCGTAGGGGGCATAGGGATCTGAGTCTCGGAAGAAGGGGAAGAAGAATAAGATGAACATCGCAAATATAGGTCTCAGGTTCTCATGTCGCATTAAGCACAGCCCCGTCTGCCTGTGCCACACGGGCTGAACCACGAGGTCTTGCGGATGATTGGTACGCATAAGCACTCTGTAGTAGGCGCAGGCTGCAGACATGCAGACAATAGGTAGAACGCCGTGGCACCGTCTACCAATGGATTGGCCATTGAATGAAGAACGCCTGCTCAGAGGTGTTCTCGTCGATCGATAGACCCGCATTCCTCCAACAGCTGCATCTATGCAGCAGTCTTCAGATGCAAGACTTGGGGCGACATTGACCCTCGCGTTGCTAGACATCTCATCAATACGTCTCACTGTGTTCTGGCCTCGACAGGCTATACTGACGTGCATATAGGCCTCCCCTGGGAGTGTCATATGTCGGGCTGCTCGTGGGTGGCATCAGAGCCTTGGCGTCCCAAGTAGGCACTTCCCTGCTCATCGCAATACCTCTCACGGGCATAAAACATTGGCATTGCTCGTAAATGAAGTTGTGGACCTCGACATCCTGTAAGACTGCGAAGGCTCTTTGGTAAAGTGTTGTTGTCGACAGCTCTACGTCAATCATCGTAAGATTCGGCGTGGTGAGTAGAAGTGGCCCGAGCTTCGTTGGGATAATTGTGGCCCAAGCGCCATGGGTGCCGACGCGACGTGGTCCGTTCACGGTTTTTCTTGTCTCCTTTTCTCATGACAAGTTTCATACTCGGTTCAGCATTCTCAGACCGGGCCAGATTGGAGACCTCGGTACTCACTCACGAAGGCGCCGGCACACGTGGTAATCGAAGACGCACAACCTCCATTGTTCATCTCACCTCCACGTACGCCCGTGCCCTCTCCGAGAAGTCATCAATCAGTTGTCTCACATGATGGCTTCGGCCACCCCTCCAGCGTCCGAGGGCCACATGACCGCCGAACAGGCCGAAAAGTACGAGGACCATTTCTGGGGCTCTAATTTGGAGTATGACGAGAGCAGGCGAGCTACGAAGTACTTCGCTGCACAGCGCGTACAGGACTGGAACGTTCGTGTTCGTGAATACTTCGCGGACAAGGCTGCGGAGGAAGCCAATCGAGAGCGCGAGAAGACGGAGAAGGAGACGTGGCAGAAAGAGCTACACAGACTCTAGGAGGCGCCGGATAAGCATAAAGAATGGTCAACCCAGTATTTTCATCGTCCGCGCCCGTCGCACTCATGGGCGGCGCCAAACCGCTGGCGGGAACGACGAGTCGGCACGCAATTTCATGGCTTTATGTGGCTGCCTCGATGCGTTCGGTATCTCATCTACGAGTACGCGTTGGTCGTCGGCCGGTACTACGTCCCGAGCCACGCAAGATCGAGTTGGCGGGAAGAACAGCTCATCCGACGTTATGTCCTCGACCCGTATACCCATGCAATGAGGGCCGACAACGATGCGATACGCCAAAGATACAGATCATGGTACGCCAATCGTGGTGGATGGCACGAGTTAAGTGTCCATCCCACCTTACCTTCTGTTTTCTTACTATGTCTGCTTTGCCGGAGTCCACCTGGTGGGTACACCGTCTAAGTCGGTGAACAATGGCTTGCAGAATGGTCTAGCCGACGGTCTATGGTTGACTGATAATGCCGCAGCGGTCGAAATGCGACGATAATCGTTTTTCGCCTGGGTTTATCATGGGCGTCAGCAAGGAAGTCCAGAGAGAGGCGGAATATATCTTCTGGGGCAAAAGCCAGTTCATCTTTCCTCTTGGCAGTATCTCGGACCCTCTCTGCATGGATGTATCACACTTGTGCTACGGGTCACCCAAAAAGGTTTCATTGGCCAAGGACTTGAGTTACGCCTTCGACATGCGGGATGTAGAGATCGATCCACACGAGGCGAGAGAGCATGTCTTGGGACTAGCAGTTTGGGATCCGGAGGAAGCTCTGCACGCCATCCACGAATACCAGCGCGATAAGCTGATGGACGGATGGATTGATCGAATCGAACAGTTACGCGCAGACACATCTCCAAGGCGCCTTCAAGTTGATCTGGTCGATTGCTACTGTCCTCTAGGTTGCTGTCGCATAGCCGGGACAGTGTGTGAGACATTGGCATGCCGCGAGTGGCACGAGATCCCGCGTAGCTTTGAAATACTAGGCTAGCGCAATGAAGAGGAGAAGAGCGAGATCCTGGATACGATCACCCAGAGATTGCATGTCGAACCAGAACGGGTGGTTTTCGTTGCGGATACCTCCGAGACGCAGGGAGAGGAGGATGAAGCTACTGTGGGGTTCTTGATGAAATCTCAGGTCAAACTTATGATTTCTGGTCTCCACACTATATTTCTAGAAGAGTAAAGTAGCTAACCTGACAAATGAATATCAAGTTGCGGTGCAATCTGGTGTACCGGTCCCCAGTCAAACGTACATCCTCAAATTGACCACGGCTCGACTATGACACAGGAGGCTGGCATTGAGGGAGAATATTTAAGGGGTGGCGCCACTCTTTTGAAAATGACTCCATACTCCCTGGTGAGACTACCTCCAGGGCGTGGCATCTGTGATAGTATGAGATTCAAGAATGGACTGTATTGGAAGAGGAATAAGGATAGCTGATGGGGGTAGCTTCTTACATGACTAGGGGGAAAGGGACCTCTAACAGCTACATGTGATCCCACGGGATGACAACATAATACTGACCATAACAAGGCTAAATACGCCACTGAGCACGTATTCCGACAACATGCCCAGTCCGGTTATTCTCCACACTATAACCAGTAGGAAGCGTGTAACGCCCACAGCTCATCAAGCACGTGCAACGGTTGAACGAGTAAACCTACCTCCCCTTACCGAGCCCCGAGAACAAGAGCGAACGCGGAATCTTCTTCCAGAGACTCTGAATATTCGAAGTCAACTTTAATCCTTCCACAAGACCCCACGACAGCATCTCACTAGGTATATTTTTACCAAGAACAGACATACACCGAGCAACGGCAACACCATGCCGGACACATTCCCGATTCTCAGTTTGTCGGCTGAGCTTCGCAACAAAATCTGGAGTTTCGCAGTTGTCGACGACCATCCCAGAGTTGTGCAGTTTGTGCTACGCAGCTGGCTGCCACCAGCTGCGCGTCGAACACGGACATGGCTACCAGTACCTGGCCCTTACGGGATGAGGTTAATCGTGGTACCTATCAGCTACTACGAGAGGCGGCAGGCCTTAGTGTCAAGACGAAATCAGAGAATTACTCTCTGTTCCTTGTCTGCCGACAGGTATATGCAGAGGTGAGTACCATCGAGTCTCGCTAGTCAATCCATTGCTGACAATCCTTTGTATCATAGGTAGCATCAATCTACTACTCGGAGAATACATTCAGCTTCCATGGCTACCGGGCCGGCTTCGCCTTCTTGAGAGATCGCCGCAGGCAGCCCTTGCGAATATTAGGCACGTCGAGCTGGTATTGGAAAACAATATCCATCCTCACGACCTGAACCTTCCACCTCCGCATTACTTCCGCGCCGTGATACAGATGCTGAAATTTTCACTGCCCCTAAAACACCTGCTCATCCGGTTCGGTGTCACTCCGCCCGACATGCGCAAAGACCCCTGGGACATGTCACCTATCCACGAAAATCAGCCCGTATTGCACGGCGGCTGGATTGAGCAAATACTTCGATTATCAGGCCTTCAACGTGTTGCGTTGTCACTTTACTTCCACCCTATCCGTCTCGACAATCTCAATAACCTCGAACTCGTAGCACGCATCTGCTTCTTCTTCAAGACCCTTCGAGATGGCTTGCTGGAAACGGCAAGAAGCTTGGATACAACAACATTCGGGTCCTTGCCCCCCACACCGAATCAGAGTCTCTGGGCAAGTACAGATATGCTCAGATTGAGTGCGACGATGATAATGGACGAGCTGGCATGGGACCGTGAAGATGAGCCATGTGGTGATTCGGAGGGACTTACAGCCGGGCCTGATGATCATACAATTGAGACATGAACGTGTCCACGACAGAGAAATTAGGCGTGGGCAGTGAGAAGGCTACCATGCAGACAAGGAGCCTATTGTATGGTATAATCGAGTGGCAATATGCCAGAATATGTAGAGTATGTGCATTCATCGCGACATGAGCTTGGTCTTGCAGGCTGGTTGCTCGGGCACAGTTGTATGGGAGAACATAGGGAGGAGCACCTTTCACCCGCGATGGTGTACTCGTGGGAATTTGTCAGATAGCTAAAGCACGTTTAATTGCAATGACACCAACCCGAGAGATAGGAACAAGTTCAGCAAGACCAGTATGCCTCCCCCCTCATATCACATTGAGTACTCCGAAATGCAGCCTTCTAAATTCAGCAAGAGCTCTTTTTCCTGAGCCTCATAGTCCCCGCAGCCAATGCAGGTACTACCTAGGTACAGAGCCTCCAAATCCTCATCAGTCAAGGTCCCTGTTACATAATACCTTGTTGGCCATGCCGGACCTAATCGTCCGACGGAAAAGTGGGCGCTCCTGAACTCTATCGTAGACCCGACCGGGCTGTGACATCATGACAATGACATCACCCCGTAATGAGCACCGCACATGAGCTGCACCCTATAAGAAACATTTCTGTGTGCCAGTAGATACCACTAATCCTCCATACTCCAGAAACGATCAAGAGATCAAACACACAAATACACACCAAGCACTTTCTAATTCCCAAATAACCGCCACCATGTCCAACCAAGACGCACACCAAGGCGGCGACCTCTTTGACATGGCCAAGGACGGCACCAAGGGTGAGTCCCGGCCTCCTCCCACCTCAACCATGCACTATCCACTATCCACTATCCACCAAACACCAAACACCAAACCCCCATCCCAACAACCCTTCCCTCCAAAATATCCAAACTAACACGCCCCCCCTCGCAGTCCCCGGCGACGCAGGCAAGATGAACACAGTCCCCTCAGTCCCAGACCCGCACCAGAAGAACGCCAGCGCCGCGGGCGGGCTCGGCGCCAAATCGCTCGCCGGGGCGGCCGACAACCCGCTTGAGGGCGGCGAGACCGACAACAACGCCATCAGCGCGACGGGCCACTCGATGCCGGCGTCGGCATTCTCGAAGCCGAGCGGGAGTGGTGGGAAGTGAGGATGGATCTTGAGGAAGAGGAAGAGAGGACGGGAGGATAGTGATTGATCGGTCACGATCGCGCGGCGGTCGAGACTCACCCTAGTGGAGGTTACATTATGAGTATGGCTGGTTCCTGGGCACGTACTCAAGGCCAGCCCAATGAGCGAACAAGTCTAGAATACAATGGGCTCGACATGTACCAGATATATTTATACAAGGTCCCGAACAACTCAACGGATATCCACGGTGGTGTGACGAGCCGTCTAACCTATGAGGCTAAATGGTTCTATAGGGTTTATGTTCTGAGGTAAGTCAACACAAAGGACGATAGAGGCTTCTGTCAACTAGAAGACACTCAGATGCTGGGGCTTGGTCTGATCCAGGGGATCACGGAACAGTCGAGTCGTCAGGAGATTTCTCTTATCTTAGGGTTGGCTAAGATGCTTAGATTGATCACTGAGATAGAGACTGTCTATCTGTAGCTAAGAAATGTCCATCCTTATATATCTAATCTCTCCTTCACTGATGAGGCGTGCTCACTGATGAGGCGTGCTCACCGTTGCTCGCGTGAGCAGACGTGAGCAACTCTAGTCACGTGATCATGGCTCCCTGGATCACTGGATCACGTGCCTGGATGCCCTGCGCTGTTTCGTGTTGTGCCCCCGTTCTGATTGGGTTCCCTCGTAGGTCATGCTTTTCCTTTCAGGCCTGCCAACGGGCCTGTGGTATTTGTTGATTTGTAACAAGTGGATTAGTATTGACGTGGATATTTACGTTAATTCAATCTACGGGTAACCCTACAGGCTTAGCAACTAACTTAACGATAAGGTTATCGTAAGTTGATATTAACGTAGATATCGTGGATATTATGTTTCTTTTTTTAACCATACTAAATTATGTTTTTAGTGGGGTTTCTTAAAGTATCCCGGAAGACCGGGATTTTTCCACCGAAATTAATAAGGGTCCGGCCGGAAATACGGTAATTTCCAGGGTTATATTAACTTACGAAAATGTCAATCTCCGGAGACAAGACCATCATATCAGCCAATTGGCTTCCACCTTTGCCCCTCTTCATCCCTGTTATTATTGTTGACCGTTCAACGTTGCCATGGGCCTATTGACCGGGGCAAAAGAGAGACCGCCCGGTGGTCCCGAGCTGCCCGGGTCCGCTGGCCTTTTGAGCCTCATTGGATCTTGTCCGAGACGCCTTCGTTGATTCTACATCTTCAAGACCACAGCTGCATCACCTCTGACCGCCTCATACCACACGCGCATCACCACTGGGGATACTCATTGACCATTCGATAACCTCTCACCCTTCGAGGCGCTGTACATCTCAGACCAGGTGACAGCCCGCGCCTCCGACATATCAAATTCCGGTCACCCATGGCCGAACATCCCACTTGGAGTAATACCGGCTCGATCCGGGGCCGGAGAGTTCGCGGTCTGGGCACCCAAGGAGGCACGGGAGGATCGAGAAACTCATCGGCAAGGACATCTGGTATCTATTATGACGGACCTTCTTACGATTACTCATCCCTCAGATCCACCGCGTCGCGGTACTCCCTGAACGAACAGTTTGCAGCCACGCGCCGCGAATTTGACTTTGATAATGATGATGCCTCATCAATATTGGAACGCAGCACCCTCATATCACAGCCTCTTGACGAACTGGATGTGGACGACCCGGCCGTTGTTGGTCACGATGAAGCCTCGGCCGCCATCCACCCGGTCGAAGTTGAGGACTACTATGATCTCCTGTGTGTATCACGAGATCCTTCGGCTGAGAGCATCCGTCGAGCGTATTTCCGGCTTTTCACCTTGCTGCATCCCGACATACAACCGGCTAACCTCCGCCATGCGGCCGAGCGTTATTTCGCAGCTGTCCAGACCGCCTTCGAGACACTGCTCGATCCTTGTCGGCGGCTGAAGTATGATCTGGACCATGACGGTCCGGCTATTGATGCTGGCAGGGACGGCGACCATCAGTATGACGAGTACCGCCAATGGCACGCGCAACTCATGAGGCAACGTCTTTTTCAAGACGTTTCTAGCCAATCTAATAGCGTATGGGAAATGGGCGCCCGATTCGATGCTCAACAGGTATTCAAAAGCGCGAATCGTGGACTTCAGAGCGGAAGCTCTGGGCTGCAACCACTGGATTTTGAGATGAGCCACTCGTTATCAGTCAACCTACCGAAGTTCAATAATCAAATACGCGATGCTATTCGGACCATTCAAGCCTCTTTACCCACCACTTTTCCCATCCCTCGAACGGGTCCCAACGATATTGGCTTCAATGGCAATTCTGACTCTTGTGCGTCACCTGGCACCGTCTTGACCGTCAGGTCATCAGTCTACGGATTTCTCCAAGACTTCGCGTCGTTGCCCTTTGCAGTGCTGCTTGACCATTACCAGCCAAGCTTCCCTAGTGCGTTGACGAGGGACCGATCCATTCAATTGAGTGATGGACGTATACAGCCCCTGGTCTCGGTCATTCTACGACATGACCTGCCGCGCCTGAATCTGAGGTCTCCTGGTCTATTGGAAGAGTCAGCAATCAAGGGAAGCTCTCCAGACCAAGATGGTGCCACCATTGAGATTGGGACGGATGTCCTGCCCGATCCAGGGGTTTCTGTAAAGTTGTCAAAGCGCTTCACCATACCCTATGACAAGCATGAGAGCTTGGTGCAGATCGGAGCCAAATCATCCCCATGGAGCAAGCACCGCCCCAGGATATGGTCATACCTGCAGCGTCCGACTGCGGGAGGCATGTTGCTCTTTGGAGTCGACAGCGGTCATTGGGTGACGCAAGCAACTGGAGAAACGTGTCGCTTCTTTTCCGACCTTTCCAGGATTGATCGGAAAGTACCCAGCCTCGGCCTGCCGCTGAACACACACCCGAGAATAGAAGTAGCATACAGGCTAGGGACATCATTCGAGCCGCACGAGACTCTTACGTCGGATCGCCCTCCCGATCGCGGTCTTCGCGGCCTCGACATAGGATTCGACAGCGACGAAAAGGGGTCCTGGACAGTATCCGCGACAGCAGAGCCGAGCTACCAATCCGCCTCCCTCAAATATGCCCACGATGTCGACTTCCATGCGTTGCTGTATCGACAAGCTTTGGGCAAGAGTGCGGACGTCTCTGCTGCAGGGGTAAACCGCTCGGGCGGCCGACAAGTCCGCTTCGAAGCTGAAATCTCCTCAAACTCGCTTTGGGCCGGCTACCTTGCACTCCGCTGCCTGAAGCGAGTAGGGCGGTTCTCCAAAGCCGGCTTCGAGATAGGCATCAGCACCTACTCGCTGCACTTGTCAGTGTACTGGTCAAGGCTAGGTCAGCGGATCAACCTGCCCTTCCTCATGTGCTCTCGGTCAAACTTCAACATAGGCATCCTCTTCTGGACTACACTAGCCCCGTTCGCCAGCTTCGCGGCATGGGAGACATGGCAGCGGTATCGCCGCCAACGTCGCCGCCAGCAGCACCCAGAACCCCAAAAGGCCCAGACCGAAACACAACCCGAGGTACAGAACCGATCCGCAGAGGCGGACAAGCTTCTCTCCCTCATGTACTCGGGCGTGCATAACAGACAGAAGGCAGAGTACCTAGCCAACGGCCTCGTGATCCTGAGCGCCAAGTACGGCGTCAAGGCCCGCGATGCCGCCACTAGCAACGGTTGGGGCGGGGAAGAGGTTGCCGACGTCACGGTGGCTGCTGCGGCGCTGATAGACAATGGACGCCTGTGGATCCCGGCGGGCGTGCATAAGAGTAATATCCTCGGCTTCTGGGACCCTGCGCCCGAGGAGGAGAAGGCGCTGCATGTCAGGTACCGCTATGGGGGCAAGGAGGCTGTGGTCGAGGTTAGGGGGGATGGGGAGGAGTTGGTGCTGCCGCCTCTGTCTGAGGAGTAGGTAATAGCAGTCGTCTGCTTCGTTTTGCTACTGGTTTTGATGCCGTGATGATTAATGTTTGTATGTATGTATGATTAGTCTTGTCCATAGTTTTTAAGATGCTTACGTCGAGTTCGGTTACGTTCCTTTGTTTCCTCGAACCGTCCGAGGTGGGAATGAGAGCTGCTATATGTCCGTTGGGGTTTCCCGTTGGCTATGATGTACATACCTAGCTGCCAGCATGCGGCCCTCTTCTGCGTTACTTCCCACCACATCCACGTCCGTATCTGTCTGAACTCTTCGTGGTATCGTGACATATATTCACGAAATAAGCATCGTGGCATAAACAAGATTTACCAATCCGGTTGGCTTTAGTGCTTACCTGTCCCATAAAGCGTATTCCAGGTTCTCGTATTCATCCTGCGATACTCCGTTGACTGCCTTGATTGGGTGGTATACAGAAGGCCTCTGAGTGTTCATTGTACCCGTGGAGCCTGGAGCAAGTCCGTACGTGAACCATGACCGACACGATTCAGTAATAGGGATGGGGGCATATTAGCATGTGGATGACTGTTGGATGCTGTAGGGTGGGTGATGTTCAGTCGAAGGAGTGTGATCAGGACAGCACTAGGAAGCCAGACGCATTGGAACACGAGTGACTGATGTTCCCAGCGAGGTAGATTGAGAAAGTACATAATCCTTTTCATGTAGGAACATGTGCCCCTGACTCGACCGGCGCCACCAAAACCTAGTCGTACCTTGTTGAGACACACATGTGATTGACTGCCTCATGCGCATGTGGTAAACCTTATCCCTCGACACACCCGAGGTCCGCTCGCGGAAGCCCCAAGGCTTCCTTATATACCGATAGAAGAAGATGCTTGTTCCCTTGCCCCCGGGTAAAAAACTACCGACATCCGTACACCCATTTCCGCCGCCAGATGTTTCCCCGTCAAGCAGCAAGGTTCCACCTCAAATGCCTATGGTGGATGTTCTACGCCCTAACCACTATTCACTGAATCGTGGTGAGTGCCTACGTGGATTGGTTGGTTGGTTCCTGCTTGTTGCCTTCCCCAGGGTGACGACACTGCTTCGCTGAGTAGGATTGTCCATCGAGCGCCGTTCAAAAACTGTCAACATCCGCACACCCGCCCGCTTCCCTCGAGATGAATCCCCATCGAGCAGCAAAGCTCGAGTCCCCGCGGCCCGAGCGCTTCTATTCCTACCTAATGGCAGTCATAGCCCCGATTTGGTTCATCGGGGGACCCCTGATGTTCTTCTATTACGGCTGGATACCAGGGTCCTGTTTCCTCTTCGCCGTGGTCATCGTGAATGGTTTGGTAGTTGGGTGCCTTGAGTACCTATCCCCCGGAAGTGTGTTTCCCCCCCACGGCGGAAATGGCAGCTTGCTTGGGGAGGAGTTACGGGGATTTGCGGAACACGCGACGTGGCCGATGAGGAATCTGGCACCGTCTATGAACAACACTCCTCCGCCTTACGAAAACCTGCTTGAGCTTCTACGACTGGTCTGCCAGCGGCGGCGCACCTGGCAGCTTCCTTAAAACTCACGAATCTCCTGCGAGCAACAAACTGCGGCTGGCCAGCACCACATCCTCAGACCGTGGCCTGTTCGCGGACGACACCCCGGCGGGCCTCAAGCCGGCAAAGCAGTAACTTAACACCACCGACGTGGCATTGACAATGCTCCACCAGCGGCCGCACGTCTATCGTGAAGCAGCTCGGCTATATTCGACGACGGTCTTGCGATGTCTGCGTTCGAAACCTACCGGTGGGAAAGTGGAGTGGCGTACGGAGAGCGTTGTCCTGTGGCTTTGTACTGGAAGAAGGCTGGGATATGGCATACCCATCCGCTCCTGTGCGGTTGCACCTCTAGCGCGCACTCCCGTACTTCGCAAACGTTGGGCCACTAGCTTTAGGGGATGGCCAAAGATCGGCCATGGGAGCGCTGGACACAGGATGCAGACCTGGAGTTGATCCGTTTCCGCTAGTGCTTCACACAGTGCCTCGGGGTATCAAGGTCCAGCTTGGAAGTATGCGAGTCGGCGCAGGGTAAACATAGACAGAAAATGGCAGACGATTACTACTCAAATGCCGCTCCAGGAGCTGAGTGGGAACAATCTGCAGTGAAGTGATATTGCCGTTGAATGCATTGAAGTGAGATGATGATGTGCTGATAAGCAGCTGGCGCAAAGTTTTCCGTCGTCGTCGAATAGTATGTCGTAGAAATTCAACTCACCTAGATGTCATTCGCCCCTTCCTTATGTGGGAAACTGATGTGTAATAAAGGAAGTGCCGTGCTCATCGTGGTTTACCGGGCTCGTATTCGCATTTGAATCTGGCCTTCTGCAGAGCTCACCGTCCCGCGCGAGTCCCTCCAAGCGTGGGGTTTTCTCGAAATTGTATGCCCTGGTGTTGGGGGGGTGACTTGCTCTCAATATAGCCAACCTGACAGTGTGGTGGTTTTAGTGCATCGTTACAAGTCGAAGCGACTACGTAGATATATGAGGAAGGTTGGTGCATCTGTCCTGCCCCCTCGAGGGACTAGATTATGCGCATACATATCTAATGTATATAGGAACAAGACCCCGTAGTGGCCCATGAGAAAAATTGTCATATGACCAAAATCACGAATTCGTTGAATGATTTACTGCCTTTACAAGGCGCATACCACCACCCTCGCTGAACATCAGAACCACAAGAAGGCGTCATGGTTCCCAACCCAGCAGATTGATAGATGATATCAAAAGTTTTCGTAAATCCAGGCTCTGCCGCAACCTTCAGCGCAGCGATGTGGCTTCTTACATGGCTCATGGCTGAACATTATCAGTTTTCTCCTTCAACCTCAAGGCCATCAAGCACAAGAAGAAACGTGAATAATCAGAACCATCTCGACTCGACTTGCCTTGACTTCCCCATTCCCAATGATAACACCATCATGTAACAATGTCGGCGTGCGCCTCCCTCCACATGATCGCCCCTTTCTCAAATCTCACACTTATCCCCGAGGGTCGTTAATCCCCATCTCAGACCCTCACCCTCACCCTCAATCAAGCCAACGGCCTCGAATCCAACACTGCCATGCCCACAGCCCTCTCAAGGACAACAGAAAACACACGCCACACAGGCCACACACAAAACAACCAAGGCATTTCGCATTCGCCACTGGGCTAAATACGGCCATCCATCACACCGCGGAAAATCAGGTCCGCGAGAAAGCGCCCATGGTGCTTGCGAGCAAGGTAAACGTGCAGTAGAGCTTCTACCTTACATTCAGCCCCAGTGTCGAAGAGGATGGAGGTATGGAAGAATAAGCACACGTGGAAGTGGAGGTGTATGTCGATATGGCTGTGACTTGTGAATAGTGAGTTGGGGGCCATCCAAGGCCGAAAGGGGTGGGGTAGGGTAGATGTGGTGCGCTCTGTCTTGGCTGCATGGTAGGACATGGGTGTAGTTATACTGAGCCCCTGAAAGTCTCCTCCGTACACCCACCACATTTCTAACCAACGGCCAACCTAATTTTAATCGTGTCATAAGCTTTCCGGATTAAGAAGCAATGAGTATAGGGGTTTGATAGATCCATATACTGATATTAGTATATTTATTCCACGACTCATTACTCCGCTCAGGGGAACAAACCGAGGTCCGCGAACGAATACCTATGAGGTGACTGTATCATTCCTCTTCCTACGTGCTCATGGATCGTCCAAGCGACCCAAATTAACCAGTCGTTATATTACGTAAGGACAACACCGGCGATATCCTGCCGCCAGTCACAAACGCAAATCAAGAGACCAGACATCTGACTCGATGAATGAAATAAGGGGTATCTCAATTCGCCGCTATTCACACCGAAGGACATATATACAGAGAGGATTCGAAGCCAAGGAAATGTGACCAACCCCAATCCAGCGTTATGTACCGCGAGAACATTATATTAACGCCTTGCCTCCTAATATGCACAGTGTTCAATGGCGCCCTATGTTTAGGGGCGATCAAGTGTATCCAACTGGACGTATCCTTCGTCCTTTCTTGACCTCCTGCCGAGTACAGAGCCTGCGAGGTCCTGTACTCGAGTAACGACCCGATCGAAGCCCCAGCCGCGGCCACGCCTCTTAATTCCCCCCTTGTCTGCCAGCAAAGCCTCGTCCATCCATTGCGGCCGCTTCCAAAACTTCAGGAGTAGAGAACTGACCACAACGCTTACACTACTGCAAGCCATAGCGGCAGCGGCAGCCATGGGATGTAGATGCCAGCCCAGAGGAAGGAACACGCCCATAGCGAAAGGGAGTCCGACAATGTTGTACAGGCAAGCCCATGCGAGATTGAGCTTAATCCGCATGAAGATTGTCCGTGCGAGATGGAGAGCCACAGGCACGTCCATCAAGTCGTGAGGGCGCATCAAGACCACATCAGCCGCCTCCATGGCGACGTCAGTGCCGCTCGACATGGCGATACCGACATCAGCGGTAGCCAATGCAGGCGAATCATTGATGCCATCACCAACCATGGCAACACACTCTCCTTGTTCCTGGATCTGTAGGATGATAGCCTGCTTCTGATCTGGAGATACACCGGCAAACACGCTATCAGGGGATATGCCGACCTGGGATGCAACAGCCAAGGCAGTGGATCGCTGGTCACCAGTCACGATTGCCGTCTTGATGCCCATGCGATGAAGAACCGTGATCGCAGCAGCAGCTCCTTCCTTAATCGTGTCGGCAAGGCAGATATGGCCGGCATATTTTCCGTCGATGGCGATGAAGACATTTGTTGTACCTGCCGAAGTTGATGATTTCGACCTGTTGGCTTTCGAGTTGATCTCTTCCGAAGCTTCCACGGCATTCTCTGGTACCTCGACATCACTTTCACGGAGGAAGCGAACACTACCAACCAGGACGTTATAACGAGTGCGTTCGGCGCTGGTCGCAGGTTCCACCATCGCCTTGATACCCCTGCCCACAGCGGCTGTAAAATCGCCCACGCTGCCTTCAATTGTCCCATCAATGTCCAGGCCAAGCTCGGTGCGTGCAGCTCTTAGAATAGCTTTGCCAACGGGATGTTCGCTACCCATCTCAGCAAGCCCCACGATAGTCCACCAGAGACGTCGACGCCAATCATTGTCCTGCCACACGGATGGTAGTTTCGCGGTCGCAACATTCATCTTGCCATAGGTGATGGTACCAGTCTTGTCAAGGACCACCTGAGTGATCTTGGTGGCATTCTCCAGGGCTGCACCTCCTTTGACCAGGATACCGTTCTCGGCGCCAATGCCTGTGCCGACCATCACGGCAGTTGGGGTTGCCAACCCTAAAGCGCAAGGACAAGCAAAGACAATGACCGATATGCAAAGTTCGACACAGACCATGAGCTTGCCACCGCTTTCCGCCTGGAGGAAAATCTTGGGAGGGTTCGTCAGCGCATGGCTGAGGACCATCCAGACGATGAATGTGAGGAAGCCGAGGATGAGAATGGTCGGAACGAAATAGCCGGCAAGGATATCGGCTAGCCGTTGGATAGGAGCTCTGGTAGTTTGTGCGTCTTGAACGAGCTTGACAATCTGGCTGAGCTGAGTGTCCCGACCAGCCCTCGTCACTCGAAAGTCGAATCGACCGTGCCCGTTGACCGTCCCGCCAATGACGTTGCTTCCCTTCTTCTTTTGCACTGGGATAGCCTCGCCAGTCACCATACTCTCATCCACGTACGTCTCGCCACGAACGATTGCTCCGTCGGCTGGGATCTTGTCACCGGGACGCATGACGACAATATCACCAACGCAGATGAGCTCAGTAGGAATCACTTTCTCTTCAGCGGCATTGCCATCGCGCCCAGGCGTCTTTGGCTCGCCAGAAACAGCGATTGCATCCCAGCCTTCCGCAGCTTTTTCGGCCGCGATAGGGTCGGCGTAGATGGTGGCCATGGATGGTGCCAGTGACATGAGGCGTGAGAGGGCTTTCGAGGTCTGACCCTTGGCATGGTTCTCCAAGAACCGACCAAGAGTAATGAAGGTGATGAGCATTGTGCTCGTGTCGAATATGGTACTCGGCCGGGTGTGTGGTGGGAACAAGAAGGAGACAAGCATAGCAAAGACGCTGAAAAAGAAGGCAGCGGATGTGCCCAAAACAACAAGCACATCCATGGTAGGGGAACCGTGCTTCACGGACTTGTAGGCTGATTTGTAGAAGCGCTTTCCTATGCCGAATTGTATGGGTATCGTCAAACATAAGCAAATAATATCGCCCAGGAAAAGACCCTGGAGCAGTTCCACACCGCCAAAGTCCAGGAAGGGAAGGGCCATGGGAAAGACCATGCCAATGAGGAAGACCGGAATTGCAAATGATGCCGAGACTTGAAAGGCTCTTCGCCATTCTTGAATCTCTTTCGTTTTCGCCAATGACTCTAACTGGGCGTTGTTATCGTCGTTGTCAGCAACCAAGGCGTTGAACCCAAGGCCTTCAACCACCTCAACGAACGTTCGTAGTCCGGTAACACCCGGCTGGTGGGAGACTGTGAGTCTCGAGGTGGACATGCTCAGCCTTGCAGTGCTGACGCCAGGTAAGGCAAGCAGGGCTTCCTCGATGGACTTGGCAGCCGCCGCATCTGGATCGCCAAAAATCTTGAACTGGATCGTGGATGATGTCCCGGAGTGATCCAGGGTATCGTAGAGCGTCGACAGAACCTTGGCATCAAATCCTCTGTCATCGATGATCTCGACGATCTTCTCTGGCGATATCTTGGTCGGGTCATGCGTGATGACAGCCCTCTCAGCTAATAAGCTGATGTTGAACCGTAGGATACCATCGACTCCAGTGAAACCTCCCTCGACGGCGGAAGTGCAGGCGCCGCATGTCATGCCTTCAATCGCAACAGTAGTCGTCGCGGCAGATGGAGTGTCGTCGCCCCCGGTTTTCCCCTTGTTGACGGGCTTTGATACCTCACTGTCGATAAGAGTTGCGCCAAACCCTCGGTCTTCGATGATCTCGATGATCTTTTCGGCCGGCAGTAACGTTGTATCGTGTGCTACGACTGCTCTTTCGGACAGTAACGATATACTGAAGTGTTTGACTCCCGTCACATCCGCAAAGCCCCCTTCTACAGCCGAGGTACAGGCTCCACATGTCATTCCCTCTACAGCGATGGTCGTAACGGTCGTTCCCGGCTCGTCGTCGTCTGCATATTCGGCGGTAGGATGTTTCGAGGTAAGGAGCGGCGAGGGCAGGTCTGTCGCAATGACTTCTGCCTCGAAGCCACGGTCTTCGATGGTCTCTTGTATTTGTTCGGCGGTTATCCGTTGGGGATCGTGCATTACCACGGCGCGCTCCATGACCAAGCTCACAGACACGCTGCCGACTCCATCGACGCCCTTGAAGCCTGCTTCAACAGCCGAAGTGCATGCGCCACACCTATCGGGAGTCAGTCTGCGGGAACGGGTATTTCTTGACAAAGCTCTAGGGATCGTACGTCATGCCACCCACTCTCAAAGTGGTGGTAGCCCATCTAGCTGGTGATGGACTCGGTAGAGAAGACCCAGGCGGACCGCTCGGAGGGACTTGGATATGTATCGGATTCGGAGCCATGGCGGCGGGTGTCGGCCCAGGGGCTCGATCGGGTGATTGCGACAGCGACAGCGGGGTTGAAAGGCACGACACGGGCGCTGGAAGTATTTACAGTATTGCGTATGCGTATGCGCTGGTGTGGCTATACAATAGGCCGCATTGTATTATTGTGCAAATAAGACCGGTAGAAATGGAAGACAAGGAGCAGCAGGCCGTCACGAGCAAGGTAAGCAGGCGATGGGTTGAAGGTAAGAAGAGGCCAAGACCACGCAAGAGGAAGCCAGCTCGCTCTTTTCGGCGGGCGACGGACAAGTTTATTAATGCTCCAGATGAATAAGGAGGTGTAGGGTGGTATGCAATGCAGGGTGTCCGGGTGTGCTGACGAGAGCGGCAGAGAGGTCGTAACAGGTAGGAGTCGTAAGACAAGCGACTTGACAAGCGACAAGCCCGAGTGTCCAGTCGACCGATAAAACGATAGAAGCCGGGATGCGACCAACACAAAGCCACCTGCACATTCGGGAATCTGGTGGTTTGTCAGCTGGCGAAGACTGGATGGACCGGGTGCCCGGGCGGAAGTGGGGGGCGCTCCGTACTGTGCGATTAACTACTATCCTACGTAGGTACTGTCTTGGTGCTTTCTCCTTCAAACCAACGCACCGACACGTAACCGACACGCGGATGAAGTCCACGAAACACGCAGCGACAAGACATCCATTCCGTCAAGATGTTGAGGCCCGTCACCCTTCACCCGTCACACACCCCTGACAGCAGGCAAGGAGGATGTGGCACGGTCACACAGTTTTGGCGCTCGAGTCGGAGACCGTGATCCTGACAGGCTGATTGACCCCGCGGGATGCAGACAGAGGCTAATCAATATTTGCCCCCAAGGCGGTAATCAATGCGCCACTTCATCTGAACACTTCATCTGAAGGTCAGAGATCGAGTGAGGTGTGCATCAAAGGTCAGCTTATGACGCGATCATGTCTGCTTAGCAATCTTTCAAAGACACAACGTGGCTCTTCGGGTAAAATGGTTGGAATAGGGGAGAGCGAACAGTGAAGTGCAGGTGATTATCAGATGCGAGATGGTTGTCAGAAGCGACCTACAGGTTTATCCCTGAAATAATGTTATTAGGTGGCGTCCGAGCGAATACATGACAGGCATCTAAAACGTCGCAGCCAGGTAGGGATTTCTTTCAATCCACGCCGACCTTTTCATATTTCTACGCTCGTATATATATATACCGCCATCGCCTCTCTCACAATGGTCTAAACACTCCCTCAACAGTCCCTTAGAGTGACCCTTGTAAATGAGGCTATCAAGACCCCTAAAGTGTGCAGCTAACAGTGTGCTTGTAAGTATCTTGATGGTCGACAAGGTACATTTATTCATGGATATACCCGCGTGTCGGTCAGACTCCATATAGCAATAATGACATGGAATGAATGCTGCACGGCCATTCAATGTTGCTGCATGGTCATTGCTGCGAGCTCACATCAGCCCTCACTGCACCATGATAGTGTTCCAAATACGATATCGGGTTGTGGGTCTCTGTTATGAAGGGGTAAGTCGACGCATCTGGTACCGAAATGGGGACTGATACGAAGCCGATGAATGATCAGTGAATGATCATGAACTGGTCAACAGATACTGTACACGTTGATAAGCGGCGCCACTCCTCTCGTCTGCCCTTGAGGGATTCATCCTCAAGTGGTCTTCTTTGGTGCCATATCATCGTTTGTTCGCACTGTCTATACATTGAAGTCGAACGCAGGTATTCGACAGTTGCAGTCATTGGAGATGAATAGAAAGTCAAAACGAAACACGAGTGAAAGAAAGATGAGACGACACAGACAATTGAAAGTGTCCCGCACGGGCACTAAACTCTTTCTGGGCTTTACCCCACGTTGAGATACCTGGCTAGCCTGGGCAGTGGGCAGCTGCTAGGGGGGCAGTCTGGGACACGCCGGAGCTCAAACAGTTGTGACACAGGCATCCACCCCACCAATGCCTCATCTTGGATTCTGGAATCAAACGGCGGCAGAACCCCAGAACCCCCGGTCGCTTTCCTCCCTTCAACCAGAAGCCGAATCGCAGTTTAGCAGACCATTTCGAAGTGTTTCAACCTCGTAAGACCCCCTGGCCTCCCCGACGAAGATCCCTCCCGCCGTTTCATTCGTTCATCCGCGAGGCTGACGATCCAAAGCTTAGCACCAACCTCAGCCTTGAGCTTTTGGCCAGGCTGAACCGAAGCTACACCAGAGGCATCGTCGTCATCAGCGCCAAACCACAATGGAGCAGACAAAAGCCCTCAACGCCTTGGAGGTAAGCACACACTTTACAGCAGTAGAATGATCAGTCGCTAACCAGAAACCACCACCGAAGCCCTTCGTAGCGCTCACAAAGTCAGCATCCGCACCCCGCGCAGCCGCCGACCTCGTCACGCAAGCAACATCCAACCAAAATACCTACGTCTTCGCCGAGCTGCTGCAAACACCCCAGATCCAGGCCTTATCTCAATCCCCCGACTACGCCCCGCACCTCAAGCTGCTCGAAATATTCTCCCACGGCACCTACGCCGACTACACCTCGACCCCAAACCTGCCGCCCCTGAACCCCGCCCAGACCCTCAAGCTGCGCCAGCTCTCGCTCCTGACGCTGGCCAGGGACCCGCAGCACAACCTCACCTACTACGCCCTGCAGCAGCAGCTGGACCTCAACGACGCCCGCGCCGTCGAGGACCTCGTCATCAGCGCCGTCTACGCGGGGCTGCTGGAGGCGCAGCTCGACCCGCGCAACGGCGTCGTGCACGTGTCGTCCGTGTCGCCGCTGCGGGACCTCGCGCCGGACTCGATCCCCGCCATGCTCGGCTCGCTGCAGACGTGGTCCGGGCGCTGCACGTCGACGCTCGCAGACCTAGATGCCCAAATCGCCGCCATCCGGGCGGACGCCGCGCGCCGGCACACCGACAAGAAGGCGTGGGACATGGCGCAGGCAGCGCTGATGGACGCGGAGAAGAACGGTGGTGGCGGTAACGGTGGGGCAGGAGGCGGAAGAGGAGGAGAGCAGCAGCAGCAGGGCGCGCACACCCGTGGCCAGGCCGGCATCCTCAACCGCGCCATTACGCACATGCAGCAGCAGGGCCAGCAGCGGTTCGGCAAGCGCGGCAGCGGCAGTCTGGAGCCCGGCCAGGACGACGACGAAGCCATGGACTTGGACGAGGAGGAGCCCGACGATGGCGAGGGAGGCGGCAGCGGCGCCGTTGCAGGCGGTCCGGGTAAGAAGCGGATCAGCCGGCGGAAGCTATAGGACGTGGTCGTCAGGAAGCTGACTCGCGGGATAGATAAGTTGGACAAGCAGCTCAAGAAGGGATGAACTTGACTTTGGTCAGTTCTGCTTCTGATGCTGGCGTGGGTGGGAAGTTTGAGACGACATCAATGGCCATCAACGATGCCCTGCGGCATGGATAGTCTCAGAGCATCAGGAAGAGATCGGGCTATGGTGGTATCCCCGGTAGCAGTCACCATCATATCGATAGAGCAGACCAATGCTCTCTATGTCTGGACATTAAAGATTTACGAGACACGGGTCAACGGCATAAAGTATGCTTCTTCACGATATAACAAAAGAACAGATCCACAACTACACGCGCTTGTCCGCAGTGATGGTTACTTACACGAGTCACCGTACACCACCCGTCTATCAAGCAACGGTATATTCATCGAAGCGGAATAAGCACAATGGAATAAGCATTAGAAGTGGCTTATCGAACTAAAGCTGCTTATTCCTGTATGGTTATACCTGTATGGTTATTCCATTTCCTGATTTCCACGTGTGATCTGGGATTCTATTAACATGGCGCGCACGGAGACTTATGAGGGCTGGGTGTTAATGGTAACACGCCAAACGGTATCAATTGCACGTATCCGCAGAAGCCTCCCTCTTGCCCACCCGGGGTATATGCGTATTGTACAAAAAAGGGGCGGTAAATGATATTGCGTCACACGCGGGAAGTCCTCCCTCAGTCCACCAAGCCTCGAAAATCAACGCCGAGAAGTACTCATGGTAAACCCTTAAACAGAGACTCGTGTTGCCGTCAATTCAAAACAAGTGGTGGCATTAGACAGTCCTCCTCATCCCTTCCCGTCCTCCTGTCTTTTACTGGAAATGCAGCGCGATTCGGCATTGGCTTAATCACCAATGGTAACATGCTCGCCAGGGAGAACTAAGTGCGTCGTAGTGGTATCGTATTATGCTCCTCCGCGATGACGGCTTGGAAAAGTACTCAGAAAGCAAGGTAGTCGGCTTGGAAAAGTACTCAGAAAGCAAGGTAGTCTTTCGCGCGATCGATACGGCCTGGGAACTCCTGGAAAAGAAATGGTCGTGACGTCATAAGATGGTGGGTGTGGCGGTATTGGGTGAGATGTCAAGAGCGCTTGAGCGGAAATGGAACCCAGTTGCTGTTTCAGAGTCTCTTGCCAGGCACGAGGATGAAGAGCACGCAGAATGCCGCATCTATCAGTACCGTGGCGGCAAGTACCATTACCGAGCGCTTGACCAAAAGCTTGCGGACGTACGGTTCCCGTATGCGTGAGAAGTTAAAGGGTGTGTATTCCGTAAAGCCGAGCAGGGCCATGATCGGATCTAACGAGTACTGGTACGACGCCAGGAAGTATACACCGACCGTGAAAGGCAATATCTCCTGCAATACATTAGTGACACGGCATGAACAACTGTTTCCGAGAGTAACACTCACCCAGGCCCGGGTATGACGGGGGTAGTTGAGAAAGATGAGGATGAAGGCTGTCCAGAAAGCCCCAAACATCGCAATGAGGCCGATGATCAGCCTGGCAATGATGGTGGGCGGGATTAGGTTGCCCAGGGCACGGGCTCTCAGGAAACCAGGGAATGCATCTCGTTCCATGGCCTGAAAGACGTAATCCTTAGCGACGTCGAAAACTTCCGGGTCATCACGTCCATCCTGCTCGATCGCGGTCGTGATCTCCGTGGTGATGGAGCCGGGTAGCGTGATCTCTCGTTCGGCTCCGGGGAGTAGGAATGTGTAGAGGATCTTCTCGGCGGACGCCCGGATATCTTCCCTAGCCACGGAATGGAATGGCGAGTTCGAGTTGGATGTCATGTTATGCGGAGTACTAGAGCTGAGCTGGGTACTAGCACGCGCTCGTCGCTCTTGACTACTCGCAGGAGAGTCGTTCATCCCTATCCCCCCAGGCGCCGGTTGATCTCGTAGGTATGCAGACATCTGCGCATTCTGCTCCCGTTCCTTGTCGCTCGCATACATCGATGGTCCAGCAGGTCCGTGGCTCATCTCGCCCATGGCCTCCAACGCCCTCGACGACCGTTTCGATTCCTCCTTCTCGATATCGGGTGTACCAACCAGGACTGATCTTCGAAGCTCGCGTACATAGTGGCGACAGAGAGACATGTGCTGGGCAACATCGAGCCTGGGCCTTGTCAGCGTGTCCTCCATCCACGCGCGCATCGCAACCCTTACCAGAAATCAAGATAGTCGACCGAACGCTGCTGGTCGCGCATGTATATGTAGAACGAGAAAAGATCCACCGGAGGATGAGTCCGCCTGCTCAGGACTTCGAAAAGGGTCGGCAATCGATTTCGATTCATGTCAGGAACTGGCGACGGACTGCCCGCGTCCTCGGGCGGCTCGCGGCCTTCGAATGCCATTTTGAAGGATTTGGCAGATCAGAGGAGGAAACGACAGGAAACGAGGAGAATGGTTGGTTGATGGCGAATCAATGGTGCTAGCTTGGCCTTCTTATGCACGGAGGTTGTTGTCATCCAAGTTGGTGGTTGCGCAAAGGAAATGAAGTGGTCTGAGGTAGCGGCTATCCACGTATTTGTGTTCGTTGTTGTCGGGTCGGCAATTGATCCAGAATTTGTTTGCGAGGTGCGACTGGTAAACAGCTGGCAGGCGAGTCGAGGCTTGAAGCGAATGGAATTGCGCACGGCGCAGAATGGGATGAAGTCGAAGTGCAGTCGTCGATACGAGTTGAATGGTTCCAAGTTTCCTGGATGCGGTAAACACAGCTCCATCACAATCCCCCGTACCTTGAAATTGGATAGAGGCTGGGGAGCAACGTTCCACCAGACCCATTTGCGAAGTCATTGTGGCTGGTGACAAGAACCATGTGCGTAAGCCACACTATGTTATGGCACACTGAAAGTCGCCATAGAGGAGGACTCAAGCCGCCTTAGGTAGGTATTGCTTCACCATTCTGCGCCAGCATGGCTGCATAGCTTGAATTTACAAAACGACTACTGAATTTATCAATGCATCATAATATTATTCTCGATATGGATTATGTAGTTCGCAGTAGATTGAACAAGTGGATGACGCTGACTGCCAGAGGTGATGCCTCCTCACCGTCTTCAAGTGTGAGTTAGGGACGTCCAGGGGTGTCAGCCACAGAGCCCCGCACGAGCCACGCCTGCCCCTGCTTTCTTGCCCTAACGTAAGAGTGGCTCGGTTGGTCTCCCACACTCTGTAGGTTTTTTTCGATTTCGCAAGTCCAATTTTCAACATCACTCCCGCCATCCCTCGACAACCAGACACCCACGCAGTAAGACTCCCCGCGCACGACAACCGCCTCACCGCCTACGGAAATACTGATCTTGAGGTTCTCGCGATTAGAAGATGTCGACGTCTAACAAGGGAAAGAAGCCCGCCGGCAAGTCCGCCATCGATCAGGTCGTGGCCCGCGAGTACACCATCCACCTCCACAAGAGAGTACGTTCGCCCGCACGATCAGAAAACAGATGCGCACCGGGGAATTGGGGAGAGAATGGCAATTCGCTGACGGATTGAACAGCTGCACGGCGTTTCCTTCAAGAAGAGAGCTCCCCGCGCCATCAAGGAGATCAAGGCTTTCGCGACTCACGCTATGGTACGACGACCCCCGACCACCGCACAATCCGAGCACACCACGATTCCCGAGCACGCGCCCAATTCCACTACGCTCTCCCGTTCCGGTACTAACATTTGATGTTGCAGGGAACCACCGACGTCCGTGTCGACCCCCAACTGAACAAGAAGGTCTGGGAATGCGGTATCAAGGGTGTCCCGTACAGAATGCGCATCCGCATCAGCCGCAGACGAAACGACGAGGAGGACGCCAAGGAGAAGCTCTACAGCTACGTCCAGGCCGTCAACGTCAAGAACCCCAAGGGTCTCGTGACGGCTATTGTCGAGGAGTAGAGTAGGGTATGGGCGCGTGTGGGCAAAAACAACAACAAGAAAGTTGGTTGGTACGCGGTGACGAACGATGAAAGATACCGGCCGGATTCACGCAGGGCATCATGGTTTCGGAGTTCCTCCTGGCTTCATGGATTTTAGCTTCACTGGTCGATGAATCAAGACGCGTGAACACCCATTTGCACGACTTTGTCCAACTCGGGGCTGGTGAACCTATATTGCGATGCTGTCATACCTTTTCGTACGTTTATGGAAAGGTGAAGCGGCGATGTGAGACAACTCGGTTCCTGCCAGAGGACTTTCCAAACCCGAATTTGACACAGCCATAACCTCTCTTCCGATATTGTACTGACCTCCTGAGCTTGTCTATGATGATGGGCTTGTCTATGTCCAGTTCTATGGCTAACAAGAACAGCCGCTGGTATCCCGAAGATGTCACACAGAAAAGCCGAAGCCGATGGAAGTGATCATGGCAATGTCATTGATAGGCAAGCTACTGCAAACCCCATCTTGGAAATGTGCAACAAGACGCATACAGTTATTCCACCCGTGCCGAACCATCCGCAAATGCAACAACCCGGTTCGAGTCCTGAATGAGGAACTGCCCGACTATAGAAGGGCGTCGACTCCTGTTCTCCAATGCTGCTGGTAAACCCTGAACCCCATAGAAACAATTGATGCTGCTCGACGAATTCCAGTTCTATTATACAGTTTTCGTTCAGTCATCATCTACATCTCGGTGTCGGCCCAGGACCTTCCGCTTGAACTCCTCGGGGTCCTTGTCCCAGAGCTCGGCTGCCTCGCCGTTTAAGGGGGATGAGCTGCAGGCAGTCAGTATCGGCATGTGACAGACAGTAAACGGGGCCGTTGAAGGGGGACAACTAACTTGTTGGGCTCTCCAAGCAGACTCTGCAAACTCAACAATACCGTCTGGATGTTGTACGCAGCCGTCCACTTGTCCTTCAGGATGTCCAGGCAGATTCGTCCGGAAAAGTCGAAGTTGGGATGGTAGATGGGCGTCTTGAACGTGACGGTCGGCGGGGCGTAGGGGTAGTTGGACGGGAACGCGAACCCCAGCTTGAAGTTCAGCCCCGCGTACGGCGTGTCGTCGGGTCCCTCGATCGTCGCCGCCCACGACATCAGGTTGCCGTCCGCCGATGGGAAGGCCGAGACGCCGGGGGCCGGGGAGGTCATCAGTTGCATCAGCTCCGTTTGTAATCTGCGGGGGGTCAAAGTCAGTTTTGCTTGCTTGGTTGTTTCGGGAACGCATTGGATTGGATTGCGATGATGAAGACGGAGGAGTACTGGGAGCCGGTTTACCTCTTGGTGACGCTCTGCGCATCGGGGCCCTTGCGCGTGCCGGCGAGCTTCGCGGCTTGCACACTGCCTGGTGCTGCGTTCTGCGTGTCCTCCATGGCGTAGTCCATCGTAACGGCAATCGGATGGATGTTCCCTTGTACCTCGTGCAAATGTCGTCCAACGAAAGACCCGACGAAGGAAATTGGGAGACAAAGACCCGGTCCGAGGCTGTTGTCGGGCTGTTGGCTGGATTCGGGGTTGCGATGGACCGTAATTGGAACCGAGGTGAAAGAGAAAGTAGAAGCGAGCCGAGCTGGAATGCAAAGTGTCTGTCAGCGATGAAAGGCCCAGAACAAATAACACCGTACTGCGTACTCGATATAGCCAATCCAGCAGACAGCAGTCCCAATTCGATGTATACACGGTCAGACAGCTATAGCCACACCACAGAAGTATGTTGGACGACGGTGGAGGAATGCTGGGTAATACGAACCGTTTGTTATCAATCTAATGATTTCTAGGGATTGTGAAGTTGGGAAGAGGAGGCACACTCGAGTTATCAAAGAGACCAAAGAAGTCACAGGGGACGAATGCAATGTCCTCGTCAAAATTGGCAGTGATGGATGGTGTAAACATTGAACAACACAACACTCGCAGCGATCGACAGTTGTCCCCGTTGTCCCCGCCCGGCCTATGGCAACCGCGATCACAAGCTGGGGCCATTCATCAATGTTTGCTTCGGGCCGCCATCTCTGCCCGGCAACAGGAGAGACAGGGGTCCAACATAGGGAGGGGGCGCTAAGACAGCCCTGGCCAGGCGTCTGTGGGGTTACCCGGAACGCCCTGGAAGGGGGCAGGAACGATTCACAGCCAATGAATCCAAGTCGCCGCGTGACCGTTGAGGCTTGACGCTCACACGCAAACATCCAGTTCGGTCTCAACTCGTCAACCGTTGATTAATGTTGCCAGCGCGAATCAACGCGTCCATCAGGTCAACATGGTAAGTATTTCGCGTTTTGCCTGCCATTCCTTCACGAGTCACCTTGCATATACCTATGTTTGTGACGGGCAGCAACTCTACATCGAATTCATTGACAGGGTACTGGGTTGTCGTTCTCTTCCTTTTACGGGGGTGTATTATGCACTAGTCTCACACACACAGTTGGAGCATCTTGAAGGTCATCGTTGCTGACCATGATGCGGCAGTCTCAACTCGATCCTCTTCCGGTTGATCTGCCATTCCGGATTGTGTCCAAGACGATAGGGAGAGGTGCATATGCGTCGTAAGTATCTACCCAAACATTCACCAGTTCAAGTTCTCGCTGGCTCACCGACATCTAGCATCAAAAAAGCAATACCCCTGGATGCACCGACGCCTGTCTTTGCCGTCAAGTTGATACACAAGGGCTATGCCGTCAAGCAGGGCCGTATATCGGCCAAACAGATCGCCATGGAGGTATCCCTACACTCACATATCGGCCAGCATCCGAACGTGATTGAATGGTTTGCAACGGGCGAGGATCATGTCTGGCGATGGATAGCCATGGAGTTCGCCGAAGGAGGCGACCTCTTTGACAAGATCGAGGCTGATGTGGGCGTCACCGAGGACATTTCCCACCTCTACTTCCTGCAGCTCATCAGTGGAGTTAGCTTCATGCATTCGAAAGGTGTGGCGCATCGTGATCTGAAGCCCGAGAACATCCTCATGTCGGAAAGCGGAAACCTGAAGCTTGCAGACTTCGGCATGGCCACCATGTTCGAATACAAGGGGCAGAAGAAACTGAGCGCGACAATGTGTGGCAGTCCACCTTACATCGCTCCTGAGGTGCTGGCCTGTGGCAGAGCGGATCGAAAGATTGCTGAGGCGACCAAATATGCTCCTGAACTGGTGGATATGTGGTCATGTGGTGTCATATTGTTCGTTCTTCTTGTAGGAAACACGCCATGGGACGAGCCGACTTACCAGAGCTGGGAATTCCAAGAATACAGAAAGACGAACGGTCGGAGCACAGACGCCCTGTGGGCAAGAATCCCGGCAGATGCGCTCTCATTACTCAGGGGTATGATGAACATTGAGGCAAATAAGCGATTCACTTTTGCTCGAATACGGCAGCACCCTTGGTACACGCGTCACAACAGATTCCTGGCTGAGGACGGTCAGATCTCGGATCCTGTGAATATGGCGACGAAGATGTTGGAAAACCTCCGCATCGACTTCAGCCAGCAGGCGCCTTCATCCCAACGCCAATCACAGCCATCGCAAGACGCGATGGATATCGACAGTGGTCCAGCGACCAACACGAACTACAAGATGTCGTCCACACAACCCGAAACCCCCATCAACGATGTCCTCTTCGACTGGGAGCGGCCATCTCTGCGCTCTCTCGGCACCCACGCTGTTTCTTCGACGCAGCCTATATCCAGAGCAGATGCTTCGATGCCGCCAGCCGCCACACAATCGACCAACTTCTTCGACGCATTAGCCGTTGAGCCGTCCATGAGCCAGTTCTCCCAGACTCCCGGTGTGCCCATGACTCTGACACAGCGCGCACGACGTTTCCGCGACATCGTCCCAGCGCACTCGTTCACGCGCTTCTTCTCGCACATGCCGCCACAACTCCTGGTGCAGATGCTGAGCGACGCCCTGCACAACCTCAATGTCCCGCTGCCCGCAGCGCCGCCCTACGTCGGCCAGGGCGACCACGTCTCGACGCTGAAGGTCAGGACAGTCGACGAACGAAAGCAAGGCCTGCACGGAGAGATCCTGGTCGACAAGTACTACCTGCCCGAGTCGCAGGAGCTCCTCGAGGTGCGCTTCGTGAAGCTCAAGGGCGACCCCCTCGAGTGGAGACGCTTCTTCAAGAAGATGGTGCTGCTGTGCAAGGACGGCGTTTACAAGCCCGAGGCTTAGAAGGCGTGTCGTTTGGTTGATGCATCGGAGTGATTACGGCAGGGTGTTTCCACGGCGTGTGTACTGGGTTGGTTGGGCTTGTCTATTCATTTTGACGTTTGGTTAGTGGGGTTATGGATACTGTATGGATGTTGCTTTGGGGGTTCTTGCATTGTATAGAGTCCATTTGAGCATCCATTGTACTGACTAATGACTGACTGAACACCTTATTAAGCAGTTTGGTTGCCTAGAAGGCAACGCTTCGGGCTTTCTCGGATATCTGTATGGGTGAAGAGACCTTCGTGACTTTTTACTCCGTTCATGAGTACTTATCCACCCGTCCCCTTCCTGCTAAGCCGTAGTAATTGTCGACATGTAATGAAGTAAGTATCGAACCCCTGTTTATTCGAGTCAGTTGACACATCGACCGCGTTTTATTTAAAATGGTCCCGAAGACCGCAAGGTTGCTGCGTGACCGTGTTATCTCATCTTGCTAGTGGACACCAGACCGACTTCTGTAGGAAAGTAGGGGGTAAGCTTGTGAACTTGGGGGAAAGGGGGTGAAAATATTCCCGCTTACATTCCGTAAGCTCATATTCTTGCAGTGAAGCCGCGATTTCTTCATTTTCACTCATTCAGCAACCCTACATCTGGTATAATACAATAATGGTCTTAGAAGCACGTATAATTCTAATATCTATCACAAACACACGCTTCGCGTGTTAAATCTAATCTGGCAAATATCCATCTTATACGACAGCGTCCGCAAGCCACGTCGGGGACAGGACACCACCTCGTAGCCGACCTTGGCCAGCTCGTTCTTCAATGCGTAGCCCTGATAACTTACACTTCGTTTTAGGCGTCTCACCCCTGGAAGAGATCGTATTTTCCCTAAACCTAACGGACCTGTTTCGGCTTGCCTTGCAGCATGGCGGTTTGAAAGCCGCTGCACAGCATCGCCCGTGATATCGAGCCGCTCGGGATCGACCCAAGTCCCGCCCACGCGGATCTCAGACTGATATACCCGGTCTCCGCGCCGATACACAGCCGCCTTCGTGCGCGGGCGAAGCGCGTCTACGTGACCTCCAGCCTCCACCCAATCCTTGTACGCCTCATCTTCCGTGCCCTGAAGCAAGACAACCTCATCCCTACCACCCGCCCTCACGCCCTCGTTCATGCGGTCTATATCCAAGTCCGGATGCCACGTCCCAATCGTGCTCAGGACGCAATCGAAAAGCTGCTGGAACACCCTCCCGTGGCCCTTGACGCCACAGATATTAAGGAAGTCCCGCGAGCAGTCTCCACAAGTGCAGATGAAACAGTCCATGTACGCGTGGACCATCTCGTGTAGCAGGACCCCGAGCAACGTGTTTAAACGGTAGTTTTTTGTATTGACGTCAGGATTCCCGAACGGCTTACCTGCAATGAAGATCCATACGTTCGGCCGCGTCGACGCGCGCATGTACCGGGACATGCCCAGTAGCCTCTCGCTGCTCAGGCTCTGCGTGCGTGAGTGCGGGGACCCCTCGACATAGCAGACGCTCAGCAGCGCGCGGGGAACGACACCACGCGTCAGGCTCCCCCCGAAAAAGAACTGGTCGAGGGCCTTGAAGAAGGGGCGGAGGTCCTGGGACTTGGGATCACCATCACTGTCCGCTACAACGCTTAGACGCTGGTAGAGGGCGACGACGTGGCGGCGCGCTTCGGTCTGCTGGGGTGTCAGGTTGCGGTCGCCCGGCGCGGGGTAGAACGCGAGAATGGTGTTCTCGGACAGGACCTTGGCTTTGTAAGCCTGGGTTGCAAGGTCGAAGGTTAGAGTTGTGCCGACGCCGGTGTAGCTGGGCCACAGGGCGTGGTGGGTTTTGGTGTTGGAGGGGGAAGAGGCTCTTGCGCGGGCGACGGCTTTCTCGGCGAAGTAGAAACTGTTGCGGCGCTGGAGCGCTGGAGTCTCGACTTGCGCCATGTTGAATGTTAGGGTATTCGAGGTGAGAGGATGGTTTTCTGGATAAAGGTGACTGGTGCCATTTTGAAAGCGTTTCTGGGGGCACGACGATGCTTTTAATATGGAGGCTATCTGAAGCCATTGTTACTCGAAGACTCGAGCTGGATACTATGGAACTCAACAGAACGATTCGACTCGAAACTTTTGGACTATGCCTTTGTTTCGATTATCACTATGCCTTTGTCGATTGTCATCCCTGCTGGCATATTCCAGCGTGATCGAGACATGCAGCCTACACTGGTCGTCGGCTCCTGCTCTAACTTGGCTTCTAACTTGTTCTTTCGGAGTTCGCTCATGTCATTGTTCGGACTAACTCGACGTGTAGTCTGGCGAAGAGTCTGCAGGGTTCGATTGGTGCTCATACAGAAGGAAATTACCGTCGTCCATCCTGGTGATTGATTCGGTTGCCGTCAGTTTACGACGAAGTTAAGGTAGACTTACGATGCCTGATTTGTTGTAGGATTTTAAACAGTATTAATTTGAAGGAGATATAGTCACCACTCGTAAATTTCCGTCCGCCACACCTCATGGAATTATTGGGCGATGCTGATATGTTCAGATTGCTCAAATAAGCGCCTTGGCATAATCAGCTTTGATCAAATAACGCACTTTAGATGTTTATTCCAGAATGCTGATCCCGGTAATAGAAGACGCAGCTCCACAGCTCTACGAGCGGCGTAGGGGACATTTGAGTGTTCATTGTATTAGGGGTATCCTACAGTGGCGAAATGCAGGATTCTCAAGGCTTGAGAAATCGTGAAGGAGCATGTATGAGAAACAGCAGGAAAGTAATAGCGGGAATGAGCGCGTTTTCACATCATGTTCCCCAGAACGATGTGCTTAAAGTATTTTCCCATGGCCAATATTAGACCTAGCAGCACACGAGCATTAACAACATGCGACTTCATCGAGGCTGAAACACCCAGCTTTGGTGTAGTAACCAAACTGGACTAGGAAGGGCATGCCAATCCCGAAAAGGGGGCATGGCAAGCGGCATGCATGCAGCTCGGTTTCGTTTACGCGGGGTCGACCATCCTACCTTGTGCCACCTACGGCAGTCGATATCACGTCCTCGGTACGATTCCGAGTGACTGGAATACTGGACCACACCGAGGCTCGCGGCCGCCGACCTGTCTTTGAAAGTGTCATCTGCTCGATCCCGCAATGCAGACGCCGGCTTTATTGGTGGTGGTTGCAACTCCGCGCTACACCTACCAAACTGGACAGCGTGCGAATGCGAACCACGCTCACGGCTCACGGCTAGAGCCTGGGCTTGGCTTGGTATGGCACGGGATCTAGGCCGCCGGCATGACATTGACAAGGGGTAAAACGTATAGCCACTCGCATGTAAAAGCCCGCCATGATGGCTCGTCCCAAGCTGTACCTTAGTCCTCGTGTTCCCGATCTAGCCTTCTAGCCTCGTAAGATCTCCATCAGATTGGAAAGTGATTGAACCCAAATCATATGCGTCTAAATTTCCAAAAATGGCACCAACGAAAAGACCAAACTTCCTCATCGTCGTCGCCGACGACCTCGGCTTCAGCGACACGGGACCCTACGGCAGCGAGATCGCCACGCCGATCCTGGACCGGCTGGCCGCCGAGGGCGTCAGCATGACGGGCTTCCACACCGCCTCGGCCTGCTCGCCCACGCGGTCGATGCTGCTGTCGGGCACCGACAACCACATCGCCGGCCTGGGCCAGATGGCCGAGTTCATGCGCTTCAGACAGGACTACCACGGCCGCCCGGGCTACGAGGGATACCTGAATTTCCGCGTCGCCGCGCTGCCAGAGATCCTGCAGGATAACGGGTATCTGACTCTCATGTCGGGGAAATGGTGAGTCAGTTCGGAGACGAACGCGACCCATGGTATGTTTCTAGATGAATGAGGACCATAAATTGACATGAGCCAAGGCATCTGGGCCTGACGAAAGAACAAAGCCCCTCAGCGCGAGGATTCGACAAGTGTTTCGTCTACCTAGCCGGCTCAGGGAACCACTTCAACAACGAGCCCCAGCTGGACCGGGACGACTACGGGCACTCGGCCCTAGACGGGCGGAAGCTATGGATGCGGGACGACAAGTTCCTGGACCGGAAGAAGGACGTACCGCCGGACTTCTACTCGACCAAGTCGTACACGGACGGCATGCTGGACTACCTGGAGAACCGGACCGCCGCGGAAAAGGAGAAGCCCTTCTTCGCCTACCTGCCGTACACGGCACCGCACTGGCCGCTGCAGGCGCCGCAGGAAGTCGTCGCCAAATACAGAGAAGTCTACAGCGACGGGCCCGAAGCCCTGCGGCAGCGGCGGATCAAAGCGCTCATCGCGCGCGGGCTGGTCCCAAGGGACGTCGAGCCCGCGCCCATGGTCGGCGACGTGCCGAAAGAATGGGACGAGATGAATGCGGTTGAAAAAGTCGAGTCGGCGCGCAAGATGGAGGTCTACGCCGCCATGGTCGACCAGATCGACGCGCACCTGGCGCGCGTGGTGGCGCACCTTGAGACGACCGGCGAGCTGGACGACACGTTCGTGCTGTTCATGTCGGACAACGGCGCCGAGGGCAAGCTGATGGAGGCTATGCCCGTGTCGGCGGGTCTCCCGCTCGGCGAGATCATCGGCCGCTTCTACGACAATTCGGTGGACAACATCGGGAATGCCGACTCGTTCGTCTGGTACGGCCCTCGCTGGGCGTCGGCGGCCACGGCGCCGAGTCGCGGGTGGAAGTCGTGGACGACCGAGGGAGGGATCCGGTGTCCGTGTATCGTGCGGTACCCCCCGTTCGCGCAGTCGTGCGGCACTGTGACGCATGAGTTCACGACGGTCATGGATATCCTGCCGACGATCCTCGAGATGGCCGGTGTCAAACACCCAGGGCCCCGGTTCCGCGGCCGCGACGTCGTGACGCCCCGGGGCCGCTCGTGGGTGCCGTTTCTCGACGGCCGCACGAAAAACGTGCACGAGAACGGCATGCAGGACGTGACGGGGTGGGAGCTGTTCGGGCAGCGGGCGATCCGCCGGGGCGACTGGAAGGCCGTGTTCACGCCCGGGCCCGACGAGTGGGAGCTGTTTGATTTGTCCAAAGACCCGGGCGAGATACGTGACCGGGCGAAGGAGGAGCCAAGGATCTTGCGCGAGCTGATGGTGGAGTGGGAGAGGTACTATCAGGAGACGGGCATGTATGATCCGGATGTGGAGGAGAGCCGGGCGCAGGTGAAGGCTTCGCTTTGAGGAATGGTCTTGACTGGGGGAATCATGGGATCGTGATCAGGAGCTGGCCAGTTGCCTTCAAAATAGTGAGTCAGTCACCAATGTGATCTTCGTCAACATCTAGGTACACTCAGCCCTCATAAGTCTCCGTACGCGCATGTTGGCAATATTCCATCACCAGTGGGATAGTTGGAAATACTAGCATAAGCAGTCAGAAATAAGTAGCTCTGGTTTGAAATGTCACTTTCAATACTTATTCCGGTGCGCTTATTCCGATTTTGATGAATGACTCTCGATTGCAGAACTAAACTTGATGGATTCGCTGTTTCTTCCAACTCCAAGCGCTGTCTAGAGATGATATCCTTCCTCCTCGCCTAAAACATGGGCGCGTTCTGTTCCTGCGAAGACGATAGCACCTCTTGGATGCCATAGATCATTCGGCCTCTGTCGGTAGGATCCGAGCCAGAGTGCGAGCCCGAATAACGTATTTGATCAAGTTCCACCATCCCTATGATGTCTCGAGTATAGGGATCCATAATTCCAGCAGGAAAGGGAACGCAATCCACCCCATCAGCTCAAAGGGGAACCGAAGGACCCAGTCGTCGCCCAGCCCGATAGACAACCCCGAGACGCACACGTACGTCCTGTACATAATCCACCCGATGCGCGACGCGTAAGTTGGCCACATGGTGTTGCGGCCGAACAGCTTGGCCGTTGCGAGCAGACCGACGCCCGTCGCCATGGTCATGGCGGTCACGGTGCACGCATAGAAAAGGACACACAGGGTCTTTTCGGCAGGAGTCGTCGTCTGTCTGTCGGTCAGAAACGGTTCGAACAGCACCTTTTTGTCGAAGAGGTATGTGGCAAGCTGGATGATCGTTGCGGAGAAGGCGACTCGCTCGAGGGACTGTCGTCGAGTCACGGGGGGTTCGAGCAGAACGGAGAGAATCCCCCGGTTTGCCATTATCAACGTTATGATCAGGCTAAAGAGCATGTAGATGGGTAGAGACACAGTTGAAGCCATGGGGAAATGCAGGCTCGTTTCGTTGACGAGCGCCGGAGGATTTGATTGAGTTCGTGCGAAGGCACCGAGGTCGAGCTACCGTGGGGATCAAAAGATGACGAGTTGAGATGAGATGCCGAGCGAGTATATTCTTGTGTTGGTGATAGCTTCAGAAGAGTCGAAGTGAACTTGAGTATCGATGCAGTAGCAAGCTGTCTGTCTGCCTTGGATTGATGGTCTTGTGATGTGAAGTTTTTTTTTTTGGGATTGGACGGGTCTCCAGCATGGAAGATGGGTGCGAGGGCTCTCCCATCGGGTGGCGCTCGTGAGGTCGAAGCTTCCCATTCTTCCAAGCTGTTTCGTTGTGGTAGTCACGCAGGACTGATGGTAGTCACGACAAGTCCATGGTGCAGTCACCACTCATTTTGAAGTCTCCGTCCTCTCACCCGAGACTGTTTTTCGAATAAGAACCCTGGAATAAGCAGTTATGTTCTCATGAGGTTTGTTAACCGCTTGTCCCAGAGTGCTTACCCCAATTCGATGAATATACCGTTATTTGCTGGACGGGTGGTGTACGGAGACTTCTGAGTGTGCAGTGTAGTCCCCTGTATCGAGAACACCTACCGATCGGGCGACCATTGTGCCCAAGATCGAAGGCAAGTGCATTGTGTACAGTACGCTGACCATGCGTTGGCCAAACGGGAGATCGTGAAGGGGAAAGGGACGCGGGAAGCAAGTGCCCAGGTGAGACAAGCGCAATCCATGTTCGCGACTGGGAGATCGTCGTCGGGTTGTTCCGTTTTATGCAGGCCGCTTGCTTGAACCTCGGCATCCGTCAACTTGACTGAAACGCGAACGGGCAACTGCATGACAGCACTTGCCGCGATACGGTGCTGGTTACGTATACTCCTTGTAGAAGAGCAATGTCATTGCTTCCGGACTGGACACCCTCATTGCTCCTGCCAGTAAGGCCTTCACTTCTGCGCTTTGTCACAGGCGGTCGATGTTACCAGCCCCTCCACAGCTGTCCGCTGGTGTGCTCACATACCACACGAGCCTTCCACAATCAGCCAGACCGAGTTTCCAAGAGGCTTCGAGGCACCCAAATACTTGGAAGGAGTCATCTTCATCATCGACCAGCCTTCACCATGTCGACGGCCGCTCGACGGTCACACTCTGCCGCTTCCGGGCCGAAGGCGGAGAAGAAGCCGATGGAGCCGCGACCCAGCGCCAGCATCATCTTGCTGTCACCGACTAACCAAGTCCTGCTGCTACACAGGGTGCAGACGTCGTCAGCATTCCCCTCCGCGCATGTCTTTCCTGGCGGTAATCTATCAGACTTCCACGATGGGACTATCCCACCGCCAGGCGATGCCAAGCGGCAGGAGGACTCCATAGCTTACCGGCTCGGTGCCATCCGGGAAACATTCGAGGAGAGTGGGATACTGCTGGCGCGAGTAGGCAGTAACGAGGGCGGTCTGTTGAACCTGCCGACGGCGGACCGCGACGAGGCGCGCAAGTCCATCCACGGCAATGAGATCAGCTTTGGGAAGTGGCTGGAGAGCGTGGGCGGGGTTGCAGACACAGGTAACAACACCTTTGTGCAGGTTCACGCCAGATGAATCATGCCAGCTGCTAACAATGTTACAGACAATCTGCTCCCCTTCACACGGTGGATAACGCCCCTGGCGCCGCCAAAGCGTTTTACCACCCAGATGTACATCTACATGCTGCCCCTCTCCTCAGACAAAGACCCCGTCATCTCGGCCGCGCAACAGGAAGCCATGATCCCGACCCCCGACGGCGGCGCTGAGATCACCACGGCGCACTTCGACGAGGCCGCGACGTGGCTGACGCGATCGCGGGAGGGTGAGCTGATTCTCTACCCACCGCAGTTCGTCCTGCTCCACCTGCTCGCGCCGTTCTTGACCGGACCACCACCGGTCGAGGCGCTGAGCTCCTCGGAGACGATGGAGCACTATCGGATGCAAAGGGAGAAGCTGAGGGGGTTTCTGAATGCGACACCGACGTCGGCGGACCCGAGGGCTGCGAAATATCCCACGGCGCAGATCCCGTGGGGTGAGAAGGTCATCAGTCCGGTGACGCTGGGGATGCGGCAGAGCGACCAGAGGGCTATACTTGGGCTCGACAAGCCTGGACCGGAGCTCAGGGGGAGTGCTAGAGGGGGTGATTGGGAGAGAGTTGTTTTGGTCAAGTTTGGGAAGGGCGTTGTGAAGGATGTTGAGGTTCGGGATAGGCAGGAAGTGCTTGCGGAGGAGAGGGCCGCTGAGAAGGCGAAGGGGGCTTCTTCACATCTGTGAGGATACCATCGATTCGTTGTTACATTGGGTGTCTGAAGCCGCGGAGTTCTTGTAGAAGCTTACTTGGGTACGTCAAACCTTGAGCATGTCATGGCGGCATCGTGTTCCGGGAAGATATTGCGCACCATTGTACATTGATAATGAACACATTGCTGAAATATGGCCTCCATCTATGCACCCTCTCCACGCATTATGTTCGGTAAAAACAAGATGGCTTGGTGTCATGGCATGAATATGGCATTCATCTAAATAATACATGTAACCCATTACTGTACCTTGTACGACCAGTACGGGGGCCTCTGCTTTTGGCGTGTTACACATACTACCCCCAGAGTGTGGCGCAAGCTTCGAACACGATCTGGCCAGTTGGGCAGCCCTGGGACATGGGATGATTGGGTTCCGTCATCAGCCCACCCGATGAAAACCCCCAAGTTGAATGTCATGTGCCTTCATCAACTTATCCTCTACAGATATCCGAAATCATGAGTGGACAGGCAGTGCCGAGTTATCGCTACCGCCCACTAGAGCACAAGTACAGCATCCGCGTTGTGACCATCGTTCCCGGTAATTTTCCCGACAAGGTCAACCTCACACTCGCTCATATCCGCCTCGACCAAGACCAGCCGTTCGAAGCATTATCATACACATGGGGCGACGTATCAGACGGCACAAGGCGCATCTATATCGACCACTTCGCCTTGGTCGCCACGAAAAACCTTTTCGAAGCCCTGCGACGGCTCCGCCACCCCGCCGAGCGTCGGACTATATGGATCGACGCCCTCTGCATCAATCAGCAAGACAATGTGGAGAAGGCCGTCCAGCTCCCGCTGATGCGCTACATCTACCAGAAGGCGTCCCTGGCCGTCGTGTGGGTCGGCGAGGCCGAGGGCGATGGTGATGATGATGAGACACGGTGGGCGTGCCAGTGCTTCGAGCACCTCGCGACGTACGCCTCCATGTGGTACGATAAGCCCCAGGCCGCAACACAGAGGGGGGTTCGGGCTCGGCTGTCGGCATTCGACCTGCCTCGCCTCTTCCGCTTTCTGGACAAGCCATGGTTCACGCGAGCCTGGACGTTCCAGGAAGTCTGTCTGTCGGAGAATATCCGTGTCGTATGTGGCTCGCACTGCCTCCCTTGGCACACCCTCGTCTTTGCCTTTGCCGCGGCGCGGCTCGGGGTCGACGGAGCCGGACTTCCGGGGGTCTCCAAGTTCGCATCGGCCCGCGCCGACTACTGGGCCTTGTTTCACTTGGTGGGTGAGCCACGCAGACTGGACGAGTTCTCGATGACGAGTTCTCGATGACGAGTTCTCGATGACGAATCTCCTGAGCAAGACTCGGGGCTTGGCATTTTCAGACCCCCGGGACCGTGTGTACTCGCTGCTCGGCCTTGCCAACATTGCGCCTGGCCTCATCACGCCAGATACCAGCGACGTGACATCGATCTACACGCTGACTACGAGGGCCCTGATCCGCCAGGACAACAGCCTCGACTTCTTCCATCAGCTCGACAAGCCGCGGCCGGTCGATGACCTCCCGTCCTGGGTCCCCGACTGGAGGCAGACGCAGTGTGGTACAAGTCTGATCCCAATCTCCCGCTCCAGCTGACTCCCAGACAAGAGCTGGGAGAAGAAGGAGTTTCAGGCTTCGATCCACCGAGGTGAAAATACCTTCTATAACTTCACTCTGTCTTTCATACCCGACTTCTCGGACCTGCCGCAGACGGATAAAGAGAAGCTGGTGCTCACTGGCGGAGTTTTCGACAGCGTAAAAATAGTCACGCCGACGTCGCAGTTTACCAATAGATTGAGAGAGCTCAACAATCGAGAGGAAGTGACATGGAATGACATTATACTCGAGATCAGGCTGCTGCACGCCGGGCTCTTGATGCCTGAGGTATACGCACCGACAGGCGAGAGCTCTTCGCTGGCATTACTGAGGACCCTCTGCGCCGACACGGCTGCCTATAGCGGTGCAGCGCGAGACCAGAGAGCACCTTCTCCTGGAGCAGATCGGCCACTACAAGCGGGACGTGGGGCTGGCCCTCTTGCAACCTGCCCGCAGGACCTTTGTGCAGGACGTAGGCTGGGTGTCGCAGACATACAAGGACATGTGGATCGAGTGTGAAGAGTCGCCGTCGCCGACCGCCAGACCGAGCGATGGCCACTTGGCGGTGTCCAAAGTGCTCAAGGTAGCCAAGATGGTCTTCACCGGTAGTCGTAACAACGAGGGTACCGACGAGACGCGGTCGCGCATGGCGAGAGAGTATTGTGCCATGGTCTGTAGCTTGCTCGAGGCGCGGTGCGTGGCGCAGACGTCGCGCGGCTATCTTGCACTGGTGCCGAGTAATTCCCGACCAGGTGACTCGCTCTGCGCGTTGTTGGGGGGCCGCGTGCCGTATGTGCTGAGGCCCACGAGCCGGTGGGACGGGTATGCGATTTGCGGCGAAGGATATGTCCATGGAGTCATGGACGGCGAGCTCTTCCGCATAGCGTATGGTGGGAATTTGATAGGGTCTCGTATACCTGGTGTCTTTTTCGACCAAGTAACGCTTGTGTGATGATAAACTGTGGCGTTGGCTGTCTCACTCTTGTTGTAGTTTGGTCTAAATAATGATTCTTGAACTTTAAATCCGTTATAGTATGTTCGTATAATAGTAAATAAAGTGTTATTCATAAATAACGTGCTATTAGGAAATATTCTATCAACAGGACAGTATGTAAGCTAGTCACGGTCACTGTCCCGACTTCGGTGAGCAGCCGCCACACCCACCCACCTCGGCCGTCCACCGACTGACTGGCTTGAATCTCATCCCACGACCGTGTCGTACCTTTAACTTGAGTTACGAACTCACGATCGCCACTGGCATAAGACAAAGTCTCAAGGCTTTCCATTGGTTTGGAGACATGGCCACCCCCGCGCCACCCCACCCGCGCGTCGGCGTCGCCGCCATAGTCTGCAATGCGAAAGGCGAGCTCGTGATGGGCAAGCGGGCCGGCAGCCACGGTTCAGGTGGGTACTATTTCTCAGTTCCTTTTTTATTTTTTTCTTGTTTTCTTCAAACTATTCAAGCCCTACCTTCCCCTGACACATTCACTTACCCACCAACCTACCCACATGGGCCTGGAACGAACATTTACTGACGGCATGAAAAGGCACCTGGGCCTTCCCGGGCGGCCACCTCGAAATGACCGAGTCCTTCATCGAGTGCGCCGAGCGCGAGACCCTCGAGGAGACCGGACTGCGCGTCAGGGGCACCGGGGTCGTGGCTGTGACGAACGACGTGTTTGACGGGGCGAAGCATTATATCACGATTTTTGTGCGGTGTGAGATGATCGAACGCGATGCTCAGCCGGAGGTAAGTACCGATATCGTTCGAACTCCTGCTCCCCCTTGAACCCCTGCCCGGTTTTGAACATTCGAGGTTGTAGGAATGGGGAGAGAGAAGGAGCGAGAGACCTGACAAGCATGACAGATCCTGGAGCCGGATAAGTGCGAGGGCTGGCACTGGATGCGGTGGGAGGACGTTCGGCGGTGGTGCGAGCACCATGATGATGAGGCGGCGGAGTGGAGTGGTGAGAGGTGCTTTTTGCCTATTCGGAATTTGGTCCGGGAACATCCCCAGCTTGACCTTTCGAGGTGATTAGATGGGGGTAGCGAGATAAGATGAGTGGCACGTATGGGCCACTGCCAGTGGGTAATATTGAAGTCTGCGAGGATGGTGAGGGTCTTACTATAGGTGCTTAGGTACGCTTGGGACTTTCGTCACTTCATGTGATGATACATAAAGACGAGCAGTATTTGCTTGGCTCGAGGAGACGAGGCTTGCTTTACTTGTCATGGCTTGATGGTGTTCCAGATGAAGGCGTTCCTAACTGGAAGGCGTCCCATGAATCGATCTGAATAGGGTTGATGCCCAGTAATTGTTCTCTAGAGGAAATATGATGTAGTAGGAATTGAGACTTCCTGGTACCTAATGGGCTTCAGATATGATTTGATGGTAGTCGGCTACTCTTGCACGCCCATGCACACTGGACCCTCGTAAGATCGCGTACACCCCTGAATCGTGGAGTTTTAGGGAGACTCATTGACTGATATCAGCACCTTGGGACAAGCAAAACATTCTGATGATTATTCCTTCACAGTGCAGGCCGCTATAAGCCAACACTATCTAAGACTCTCCTCGATCTTCGCCAGCTCCGCCATCTGGGTGCCAACGGCATTCTTGGCCGCCTCAGAAGGCTCCGAGTACGGCCGTCTCGGCTTCAGCTTCTCCTCCGCGCCCTCGATACCAGCGGCCTTGGCGGTGTGGATGGCCGCTGCGTATTTCGTCGCCGCGATGCCGGACTTGCACGGCTGTTCCGCGAGCGCTGCCTTCTGGTGCAAGGACAGGGCCTCTTCGAACTTGCCCTCCTTGTAGAGCTTATAAATCCGGACAAGCGTACTAGGGAACACGTTCGCAAACGCGGCGATGCAGCCCGCCGAGCCGACTGCCAACCCTCCGATCAGGAAATCCGACTGTCCGCCAAAGGTCGCAAACCGCTCGGCGGGCAGTTCGGCAGCCAGCCGCGTGATCTTGGCCACGGAACCGCATGTCAGCTTGACGCCGACGATGTTGCTGTGCTTGTTCGCCAGCTTGGCGATCGTATCCGAGTCCAAGTCGACCCCGTTGCAGACGCCGGGGAAGTTGTACAGGACAATGGGGAGGGAAGAGGTCGAAGCGACGTCGGCGAAGAAGCCGTCTATCACGGGGGCAGTGGTGGCCTTGCCGAAGTAGGCCGGGGGTAGCACGAGCGCGTAGTTCGCGCCCGCGTCGGCGGCGTCGGCGATGTACTCCAGCACCTGCTTGGTGGAGTGCCCGCCCACGCCCGCCATGATGGGGAAGTCGGGCCCGCATGCCTTTCGAGCTACCTGGAGGAGCTCTTTGCGCTCCTCGCGGGTGAGCAGGAAGGTCTCGGCGTTGGTGCCTAGGATGACGAGACCGGCGAGCCCCGACTTGGACAGGTAGGAGTAGTATGTCGCCTGTGACTCCGGGTCTAGCGTGTCGGTCTTCGGGTCAAAGAATGTGATGGCGGGAGCCCAGATTCCGCTGGGAGGTACTTTTGAAAACGTCATTATGGTAGTGGTCGGGTGAGAACTTCTTGAGTTTTTGCTGTGAATGATATTGAATACTTTACCAGGTCTCAGAATTATCACAGGCAGACGGCATATATCAAGTCGTCGATGGTCACTCGGTCGATCGGTTCGGTACAGCTCTCCCGATCTCCAAGTCTTGGCGTTCAGCTCTCGGCGTTGGATGACTCCCGGGTCGTTGCTGTGCATGCCGAATCTAGCCGATAAGGAGAGGGAGCCGTCTCAACAACCACCGTGTAGTTTACCTACGTACCTACCTAAGGTACCGTAGATAGACCAGAGTGAATAATAGCAATTGGTATTGGATGCAACCTGCAGCGTAGATGGAGTCGCTTGAGATCTCAAATCTGTATACTTGTCGCAGCACGCTGTTCCCCCGGGTCTTCCAGTTGGGCCACCTGGGCATACTCCAGTCTCCGGGGACTGCTGGCGGGGGCTTATCCTGTCTGCTTTCGCTCGAAACATCTAGACTGAGCTAGTTAGTACATCATGCAGAACTCGGGAAGAACTGCATTGCATTGCATGGGTAGATTCGTGGTCGTCTGATTGAAGACGGCGACAGTGTTCCAATGGAACTTCAAGTCAGAGGGTTTGAGGCTGATGGCGCGTGGGGCTGAGTCGAGTGAGGCTGCTTCCACGCCACACGCGCTGATTGGCGCGCACCTCGACATGGGGCGCGGGCAGTGGTGGGGTCAACGGTGAGGCTTGAGCTTCCTCCCCAGCTCTCCAGCTCTCCAGCTGGGGGAGCTTCCCTTCAGTAGTGATTGCATCTACACCTTGCCTCAAACATTTGAAGCTTCCAGTGCTGCCACAACAGAGCTTCTGCTATCCGACGAGATATCAGACTGAAGAAAAGTGTCTGGTCTTGCTGATTACGTGGCGAGATCGCTCCGGACTATGTCGTTATCGAGACCGACAGCTGCACTGGCCGAACGGCCCCACCCACGACATCATGTATAACCAGGGCAAGATCATGAGGAGGCTGCTTGGCCGCCCGAACGCTGACTCCTCTGGCGACGGAAACCTCAGCGTCACCAGCTCGCCCACGCCCCAGTCCTACCGTCCCAATGCCTCGCAGAACGCCGCATACCCCTCCGGGAACATCCCGATAGCCTGTCTCGACAGATCCCCCGACGGACGAATCGCTGTGCTCGGAGGCCGACATATCCTCAAGACCATACATGTGGATGGCATGAACATTCGGGAAGGCGTCGACGTGCGCTCTATCATTAAAGCCCAGTCCGCGAGCAGGAGCAACGCTGCGAGCTTGATATCCGACCAACTATCCATCAAGGATGCGAAATTCGCTTCTGGTCATGGTAGCGAACCCGCCCTGTTCACCGCCTGCGCCAACGGCAAGATATTCATGTACGATGTCAGTCGCCTGGGGTCTGGCATGGGGCTCGAATTTGTGCAGACGTGCGAGGGTTCGCGACAAGTCAACAAGCTAGATTTCAACCCGCACAAGGGGACCTTGATGCTTTCTGGTGGGCAGGACGGCATCGTACGCTGTTTTGATGTCAAGACACCCGTCGCCAGCCGTAGTGGACCTACCTTTAGAACCATCCAGGCTCTTCACTGCAACGCCGATGGCATCCGCGATGTGAAGTGGTCGCCCAAGGACGGATATGTCTTTGCTTGCGCCACCGAGTCTGGCATCGTTCTTAAGTGGGACATCCGGAAACCGACCTCGCCTCTACTCAAGATCAACGCCCATGACACGCAGAAGGGTGTCACGTCCATATCATGGCATCACGACGGCGCCCACCTGATAAGCTCAGGCCTTGACAGTAAATGCCACGTATGGGATCTGTCACCCAGTGCCGAGAAGAGACAGAAGCCGATGTGGTCCATCAATGCGCCAGCACCTGTTACATCTGTTTCATGGCGCCCGGGCTTGTGGTCCGCCACCGCACAGGGTCGAAGAGCTGCTCAGATTGCTGTATCGTATGATGAAGGCGGTAACCTAAAGAAGCACGGCATCAGCTCGGTGCATATCTGGGATCTCGCACGCCCGACCATGCCGTACAAAGAGCTCGACATATTCGAAAAGTCCCCTAACGACCTGCTCTGGCATGATCAGGATCTCTTGTGGACTGCCGGCCCAGATGGTTTCAAGCAATGTGATGTTGCATTTGCCCCTAAAGTCATGGACCGTCAACCGCTGTCCAGCCTCGACTTCTCTGCTCGAGGCGACGTTCTTATGTTTCTAGAAGAGAGGGCTCATTCACGGCTGCGACCCACCTTATCGACCCATGAAAGACTTCCAGCCTCACCCTATAGCTCTAGCCCTATCCCTCAAATGCTCAGCATCAGCCGCAGCGACTCCGAGGAAGATGTGATTGGCAGCTTTCTGGGTCCCAAGCGACGGGCGAGTGGGAAGCGTCGAATTAAGCGACAATCACAGTCGCTGAGCACCACGCCCCCTTCTGGCAATGGTGTAGAAGACCAGGTGATTCCCTTGGACCAGGCGATCAAGTTGACTAGTCCATTCAGGCCCCAGCAGGTGATGGCTATTGGCCATATCCCTGCGGCTACGAAAATGCATACGATCCAATTTCTTTCCCGGCAGTACCTCGAGATTATCGAACGTGACCTTCCGTTCTCCGATGCAGCAGGCCCGTTGAACGAGAGGGTCTCGGGAATTTTGGAGAAATATGCCCGTGCTGCTGAAAGCGTGAGCCAGTTTCGTCTCGCTCAGACATGGCGAATCCTGTCTTATGCAATGGGCATGTTGCTCACGGGGAGATCGCAATATCACCTAGAGCTTCGCTCAGATCGAAGCGGGAAGAAGAAGTGGGCGAAGCAAAGGGACGAGGATACGGGGTCGAATTTTCTCAAGCCCGGCTTGTCCCCACGGTTTGGCGTGGGTGGCGAGGACACACCGAGGAAGTCCCCGTCAGTGTCGTCGCTAGATAGTCGCCACATTCTAGGCAAGTCATTATTGACTGAGGAGATCGACAGCGAATCTAACCTGCCCACGCCGCTTGCTCGGCCTTTTAGAGAGAGCGTTTCCGAGTCTGAAGGAGGAGCTGGTGGCGGAAAATTGGCACCCGTGCAAGAAATGGAGAGTTTCACTTTACCTCCAGCCGTACACTCGGCAAGGCCCAGCCCACGGACGAGGCTTGACTCCACCCAGTTGTCCATCATGAGCCAGGAGAGCCAGTTATCTAGTACAGAAGGCTACGACTTTTATGACTTGGAGGCTGTCGAGGCCTTACCAAAAGCTATCGATGTGCCAAAGAAGAAGGAGCCGTTGACACTCGACTACATGGGACCGTCAACTCCCAACAGCCGGAGAAGGCACATTGCTAGGCATGATTCTGATGACAGCTTCGCCCAGATATTCCCGTTATCGGAAGCCAGCCGTCAGGCCTCAGTGCTGACAAGCTCATCTGGGGGAAGTACACGTCAAACTGCTGGCCGAACCCAGCTCAAGAGTTCTACTGCCGAAAACGTGGAAACAGAATATGGTAGTAGGATCAGAGGGAAGGAGATCGGTGGATCGACTGATCAAGAGAAGCATGCAATCCGGCATCCTCCTGTACGACACGACTCTGGCAATCTTACGGACGATTTCGTCGTATCTCAGACTACCACCGATACCTTCGAGAGTGGCCGGTCTTATGTGGACGAGACCCATTCTACAGTACGACTGGAAATCAAGGAGCCACCTTACCAACAGGAACTATCCCAGAATGGGACACCTGCACAGCGGCCGGAAGATAACACTTCACTCACTATTACTGAGACCGATTTCCTTCCATGGGAAGATGATCCCCCGTATCCTCATCCGGTAGCCTCTGACACAGGCCCGAAAAGGGGCACGCCGCCCATCAATCCGTACGACATCCTCGCAAAAGCTATGACATTCGAAAGCCAGCACGCGGCACACAATGCCTCTGCTATGATACTCCTCCTGAAGCCCCTTGTTCCGAGCGATATCATTGACTCTTATCAGGCTGCGGCCATCCTCCGGCAGCTCCATAGCCGTCTCATGGGCATGAGACTTTTTGTCGAAGCTGCGTTGCTGCGTAATCTCTGTGTCCGTGGCTGGCCTGAAGGCATCGACATATGGGGTGACAACTATGTTTCAATCTTCAGACCAGCGCAAGACCGTGTCGCGGTGGGATTCGTCTGTGCGCAATGCCACAAACCCAGAGAATTCGATCATTCTGCTACGGAAAACTCAGGCATTTGGAAATGCGAACGGTGTCTCACGATCATGGCACCGTGTGCAGTCTGCGGGCACCGGGAGGTCACAGCCGATGACAGTTCACCGACACCAGTTTCTGAAGGGCTCAAAGTCACTCCGCCTCATTCAGAAACCCCGGTGCTGTCAACCTGGTGGTACTGTCCTGGCTGTGCACACGGCGGCCATGCAAACTGCCTACAGGATTGGCACGGACCGATGACACCACTACCAGCTAAAGAACATCTGCCCCGTGCTACTTCTTCGCCTACTCTTCCCGAAGACGCGTACCCTGAGACAAACAGTGACGGTTGCTGTCCTTTCGACGGCTGCGGCCACGCCTGTCTTCCCGGCAAGTGGCAGAACGAGAACAGCGCCGCTCGCACCGAAGAGCTGGGCATAGCCGTGCGCGAGCAGACGCGCGGGACCGTCGGCGGCGGACTTAAGAAGAGCAACGACGCTTCGGCCGCCGCGACGCCTGTTACTAGCGTCAAGGGTGACGGCGTCGATGTCCCGCAGAGCAGAGCCGTCGAAAGCGTCCGGGAAGCTCTGTCTATGGGAGCCAGCGGTGGTGGCAGTGAGAAAGACTCGAAATCAGCAGCGGGCGGTCTCTTGAGTATTCTGAGTTCCAGCCCGGGTCGCGGCGGCGGCAGTGCGGGCGCAGGCGCTGGCGGAGTGCACGAAAGGGAGCGCAGGAAGAGTGTCAAGTTCGCCGGGCCATCCGAAGAGCGGCGGTAGTGGCGCCGCTCCGGGGTCCGTAGCGGACCGATCGTTGGGGTTGATAGACGGGGGGCTCTGGCGGTGCCTGTGTCGGCCCTGTCGGGCGGGAGGAGACAGGAATGGGAGCGCCATTCTGTGTGATGTGATACCCGGCCGTGAGCGAGTGAGTAATTGTGCGTGGGTGCGTGATATGGGTTTTATATTATAACTTATAGGGGCGGGTTTGTGGCATAACTTACGGGCGCGGCGTAATGGTAAAGGTCATAATAGGTGGAGTTTGGTGTATTGATACCTTACCTAGGGTGTGCAATCATAATGTCATGGTTATCGATGCTGGGATATGGATTACGATGTTTGAGTATGTTGTTTTGGTCTTTTTGATATCCTCAGGGGGTTCTACCAAACCGTGGTTCAGAATAGTAAAGTGAGATTCTGTGGCTCGGCTTGCCTTGTTGTGAGGGCGTCTTGGACATGATGGTAACTTGATCAAGTCTAGAGAGCGCGGTGCTCTCATCGACCGTACCTATAACTACTATCTAGACTGATCATCTTCTCCTTACTACTTACTTGACGGCCCAGGGCAGTCGTGGTCAACTTCTTTCTACCAGCCCAGACGGAAGTCGGGCAGGTAGGAGACATAACATAACCAGCCTCAAACAAATCACACAAAACAAATCACAACCAACCGCAGAGCCAATACGACACAGATATAGTAAATGCACTTTTATTCTGAATTCCAAGGGTATCTCAATTGATCAAGCACGCGCACCAACATTCTCCCGTAGCCCTTTTGTCCTCAAAGTCAACTTTGTACTCTCATCAAACGGCAACCTGGCAGGCGAAGACGGTCTCCCCGAACCCCCATGACCGTTCTCGCCCAGGGCCCGACTCAGCTGCTCCCGCTGCTTGTTGCCGCCCAGCACCTCGCTATCCGTGCTGCCGCGCCGGCTGCCGCCAGCACTACTGGCGCCGTCGTCGCCGGGCACCGCGAGCGAGGCGCGGCCCTTCATCCTGCCGGCCCAGAGCCCGCGGACGCCGCCGCGCTTCCGCTCCGGCACCTCGTCGCTGCCCGCGCTGCAGACGTACAGCAGGTACTTGAGGTTGGGTAGGGTGTGGCGGATATCGACGACCTTGAGCCCCGCCGCCACGCACAGCGCCTCGATGTCCTTGTTGAGCAGGAACCAGCCGTAGTCGAAGCGGTACTGCGCCGTAGCGCCGCCGCGAAGGAAGAGCGGGAACTCGCGCTGCGCGTCGGGGAGGAGGGAGATGTCGTCGCGGACGCTGCTGCGCGAGCCGAAAGGCGAGATGGGGTACGGCAGCGGGACGCAGAGGTAGTACTGCAGCACGTGCGTGAGCTGGGCGACGTAGCCGAGGCCTGCCGAGAGCGACTCCTCGGTCGAGGAGGAGGATGTGGGGTCGTAGTCGGTGTTGGGTAGCGCGATGCCGCAGATGCTGAAGGAGAGGGGCGCGCCGGCCGGGATGGGTGTGATGGGAAAGAAGTGCCCCAGGTCTTCGCAGATGCGCCGCCGCTGCCCGTGGATGCTCTCGCGCGTCGCGGCTATGAGCGATTGGGACGCTGGCAGCTTGGACCGGGCATGCTCGACGTCGTCTGCGGCTCTCGCCTGTGCGTTCTGCCCCTCCTTGATTGCGGTCCGCCGGGCATCGATGGAGGATCGTAGCTCGGCGCGCCGTGTCTGGGCTGCTTGGAGGGCTCGCTTCTGTGCCCCGACGTATTTCGAGGCTAGGTGTGCGGATTCTTGAGCTTGGGGGACCGTGTCGATGGGTGTGCGCTCGAGTATGGTGTTGATCTGTGCTGTGAGAGCTTCGCGGGTAGCTAGGGCGTCTTGGATGGAGTTGTCGAGGTTGGACAGCTTCATGAGAGCATTGTACGAGGAAGTCGGGAGAGGCGTGGTTTGCTTCGGCTCAGGTCTCTTGCTGGACAGGTCGAGGGAGTAGACGCCATCGGCAAGGTGGAAGACGAGGCAGTTCGGTGGGAAATGGTAGTTGCGCAAGCTACCCAGATAGTTCAGATCTCGAAGGTCGATGTCTTGTGTAAGCAGCAAGCACCATGACTGCTGTCTCTTGGCCCAGATCTTGACCTGCACCTGTGACATGCGCGTCACGGACGGGCCGGCCTGTGAGAGCTCGAAGAAGCGGAAGTTGAAGTTCATGGACCGCTCGCCCACCTCGCTGACGTAGACCGGGTCTTCCTCGCCCTCGCAGTGCAACGAGAAGAACACGTCGGCAGCTCTACTGTCGACAGTGTACTCCAATTGCTTCTGGCGGGCCACCGGAGTCGCATTGGCCAGGGTGGTACTGCGCCTGCGCCCCGTTGGCCGTGGCCGCAAGCTCTCGGAAGAGCGGGCATGGTGAAGCTGGGGCTGGTCCTCGTGTAGCTTGTTGGACAGGAGGTCTGCGTCGAGGTCGTCGCTAGCTCGGCCGTGGGGCTTTGCAAAGCTCAGGTTCCGTAGGTAGATGCCGTGGAGATGTCGTAGACGCCTGTTCTGAGGCAGCATGGTTCATCGAGCTGCTGCGCGGGCAGCGGGCGCGCACGGGAGATCATGAAGTTAAATGTAGTAGGTGTTCTTTGGTGGTTCGAGATGACGAAACGCGGCGCCGAATAATGAAGGATGGTGACATTATCGCGGACTTGCATCAATACAGTATAACCACTCTGGCGAGGGTCGCCCCCAAATCCGGGGTTTTCACGCCGCCGGGACACGACACTCGGGGTCATACGCCACCACGTGCACCACTTCACCAATGAAGGTGGCTGTAGCAGCATTCGTGGAAGACATTAAGGATGTTTCATTGTCTGAATTTGTCACTCGGCCAGTGTACTGTAGCTACCGATCTCTCTTGGTACATCTCGAATACCTTTGTATCCATCGGTCGCGACAATACTCAGGGGCTATTGTTCCAAGCTTTCCAATACAATAAGCAGCCAATACGTTGCCGATTGAGTGCCACTCCGAGTGATCAACAGGCACCGTAACTTCATTTACATTCCAATTCTCGTTTGCTAACTCATAGCATCACCCATCTTGAGTAACAACTCGAATGCCATGATCTTTATGAACAGCACGGTTGGCGTCGACCCCTGGGAATGATTTGGCAGCTAAGCGGGCCACGTAGTATTACCCATATCGGGGACAAGTCGAGCTTGAAAATCTACAGCCTCCAGTACGATTAGAGGAAGATGGCTTCGGTCAGGTTTCACCGAAGAAGGCTACGCTGAGGCAAGTTGGAAAGCGTGTGATGGTGAACTTGATCATTTAGGTTATCAGACTGCGTTGTCTCGTATGCATTACATGGCAACTATTGAGTCACAACTTCACTCTAACACCACTCTACATACCACATCTCGAAGGAGTTTATGATATCGAGGGTAAACGGCCGGGAGCTGAATCATGTCACGATGAGCAAGTCATAATGAGCATGTCACAAGCAAGACGTCCAAAACCACTAATCATTCATTGCAGATTCGGCTACATACCAGTGTTTCCCTCTCGTCAATGACCCGAAACTGGTTCCTGTCCCTGCCATTCGCCAGTCCGGTATCTCTGCTCCTCAACGAGCACTCCCCCATTCCCAAAAATATGCATACAAAAACAAAGCAAAAGGATCACCTATGTCCCTCCCCCCTATGACATCCTCCCACATCCCCCCTCCCCGTCACAAGCGAGCAACACGAGAGTGTCATGCCCGTCTGCACACCTGTCCTTTCAACCCTCTTGTTTCTGATGCTCCAGACGCTTCTTTGCACACCACTCGGAACCCGAACATCTCGGGCACAAGCCTACCGCAGCTATCTGCGTCGCGCAGGAGCACCCTGTGCAATGCAAATATAGGTGCCTGACCTGGAATCGACGGAATCGCCGGCCATCGTGGGTGGTTTGGTATGTTGATGCCTCGAAGGAATGACAGGGAGTTGTACTTTGGTGTCTCAAATGGCTCACTGGGAGGAGTCGTCGGTGGTAGTTTAGTGGTGGGGATCAAGTGTCTGGTTATATCGTGGTTGGTAGCGGTTCAGTGGTATGGATCAAGTGTCCGATGATTTGATGGTGGTTTGGTGGTATGGAGTACTGGTTTACTGGTTTACTGGTGGTTTGGTACTTTGGTATTTTCGTGGTTTGGCGTTAGTGGTCAAGGGGCCTGGAGGCTGGTTATTTCTTGTGGGTTGAAATGCATCGAGGAAGCGTTCTTCAGCAGGATCTGGGCAACGTTATATGTTCTTTGAGGCTTGCTATGATCGACCAATCTGTACAGTAACATCGGAGCTGCGTCTTTCCCGCAAGGCATGTGAGGTGGTCACGTGCACGATATTCATACTCACTGCACACTTCATTCACCAAACGTAAACTTGATTGATGGACTCGTTCATTCCACTTTGTAGTGAAGTTCGACGAGCTCCCACTGACTCAACAGGCAGCAAGTGAATGTTTCCCGCGCGTAGCTTGGAGATCGAGAACGCCCAGTACTACTTACGCCTTCAAGATCGATGGCGAGATTGACAAGCTGCTGGCGAGGTGCGGTAATCGAACGGTCGGAGTGTATGGACTAGGGACCCGCGGCGGAGTAAGTCACACCCTGGCGAATATGAGTACCATGAAAAATAGAGACTCAATGACGAGGAACTGGACGTCAAACACCCATGTCATCTTTCTGGGCTATTCATGTCATCTCGTGATGTCGATGATTCGGCCTGATCCACATTCCACCTGGTCTGAGGAATGGTCAGTACCAGATGACAGGAAAATCATTGGACTGAAGCGAATGATGAACGTGTCGAGGTTTGCAGATCCCAGGAGCTTGAGCGGATGAATGACGGACAATGTAGCCTCCAATCAGACGCTTTCACCTGTTCACTTAGCTGACATGGCAATAGATGCTGAGTTTCGTAGCCGAATGGCGTGCGATCATGTGCTTGTCAACTGAGCCTCCTGAAGAATGGATTGCCATCGTTCAAAGCTGGGCATTCGCTGTTCATTGCGCCATTGCATTGACCCTGGGGGATGAATACAATATATCACTCTGCCACGCCAAGAGCTTATTTGTGGCCATTGCAGGTCCTCGAGCAGCGAAGCTGGAAAAGGGGCGCGAAAATGATCATTGACGTCCGGTCAGTACCATTCATCAGACAGCAAACCTCTCCCCTCGGCGACCACACACACCCCATAGAGTCCTATTCATGAAGCTCTTCTCTGTTGTTTCCAATAATGTATTCTATTGGATCACACTTGTATTGTCAGTTCAGTCCTACCCTTAGCCCTTTTCTTATATATCTCTGGCCAAACTCCTCAGCACTTCCCCTTTTCTCCTGCTTCCCCTATCCCAAGATAGCTCAGCAGCCCCTGTGACAGCAATAACGTCATTGCTTGTGTACCTATCGCTTCCACATACTGCTTACACATTTCCATTTTCGCTTACCTGGCTTTCACCAGCTGAGCCCGCGAAGATGTGGGGTGGTTTACTAGCTACCGCCGTCCATGGGGCTCTTGGCTTTGCCCACCAGAACGGTAAGTGTCCGCTATTTGACAACACATCCAAAGACAGCTGGCCCAAGTCGCATACGCTAAAATATAACAGACCCTGCCCCTAGCTAAAATATATATATTATATGCATTACTAAAACTATGCATAGATAATGCTCCACTAGTAGCTAAACTAAACAAACTAATACTTGTATATAATGGTCAAGGTGAAGGAGACACTAAATGAAAAGGATGATTTTGAAAATTCCTTCTTACTATTTCAGTCACTTACCTTTCTTAATTAATAAGTTAAAAACATACAAAGTATATAATTATTAAATAAATTATATTATTTAATAATTTATTAAGAAATAAAATCCCATATTTTATACTCTTTAAGAAATAGGTGACTGGTTTTGCTGTACGAGATGTGGGGGTGTCCGATATGTAGGGGGGGGGATAGTACTTCGCCAACGATGAGTCCTTCTTCTGGGACAAGTGATACCATGACCACATCCCCTCTCGCCCAGACGATGCCTACGAGCCCTCTACCCACGGCCTCTTCTTCTACGGCCAGTAACGGAACCGTTATCGTTTTCCCGCCTGTGATCGTTGGTGGCGGCGGCGGCGGCGGTGGTGGTGGAGTTGTTCCAACAATACCGCCAGGTCCTCCAGGTGGTGGCGGAAGAGGTGGTGGTGGCGGAGGTGGTGTTGTCCCAACCATACCTCCAGGTCCTCCAGGTGGTGGCGGTGGTGGAGGTGGAGGTGGAGGTGGTGACCCGACACGCGGTCCCCCTCCTCCCCTGACAGGTCCCCCTCCTCCCCCGACAGGTCCCCCTCCTTCCCCGACAGGCCCTTCCCCGACGACAGGTCCTTCACCGATGGCACCGCCTCCAGGCAGCAACGATCCCACAATGGCTCCCCAATCTACCACTGCTTCTCCGTCATGTGAGCCAGTTGCCACTGAGCCCAGTACAACTGATACCTCGACATCGACCTCGACCTCGACCTCTACCTCTACCACCACTACGCAGGCGCCCGTATGCACTGGTCTTACGGATTTCTCTAGGTTGTTGGTAGAGGTCAACGGTGAGCAATACTACGTTCCCTCGACCATTAAAGCTAATTCGCTTTACCTTATCCTCGATGATGCCGCGGGCACTGAGCTCACAATCGATTCAATTATGGTTAAGGTTGGCGATTCCGCGTTCAACGTCCCGAAGGCACTGCCCGCTTCACCTTCTGTTGTTTCTCAGGGAGGAAATACGGTCACCTTCCTGCCGAGGCCATTGCCCACACCTGTGCTCAAGGACGGGGACGCAGGTAGCACTTACGGCAAACAAGTTGCCGAAGACTATATCAGCTTCAGCAAAGAAATGGCTGACCCAATCGCCAAACTGCTCTCTGCCACATTCAACTTCTTCGCCCGATACGACGCAAATGGCAACGACACGACAGTTTTAGGCTCCGACGACGTCGCTTTGGAACTCCTGCAGGTGACCGGTGGGAACGTGTCATCGAGTTTCGCCGATGCTCGTCAAGAGGCCTGGGAGGGTTTCCTACTGCAAGTGCTGAACCTTGACGAACCCGAGGATGATGATAACCCCGATGACGACACTGATGGCGATGAAAATGGCGGCGATTCTTGCGACGCCCAGGGCGGCCTTGATCTTCCACCACCCCCGCCCGACACGACTCCTCCGGCCCCCGGGGCGGCGGAGTATATCAACTCGACTTATGCCGACCTGCCGGGCATCCAGAACCTTTGCGAGCGGGCCCCGTGGAGAAATGAAAACCTGATGAACATCGCCCGGTTTCTATCGCGACCCAACAGGGCTGCTTCCTCTGCACTGATCGCACATCTCCAGAAACACAGAGGTGATTACATGAACAATATGATCTAGGGTACCGGAGATCTTTACACCATCGGCGGAGACGTAATTTCTGGAGCTGCCGGATACCAGATCACGTCAAATGTTACGATGACCGCTGTCGTCGACCTCTTCCAGACGCGCTCGTGGTACGTGAAATTCATGTCATCTAAGGTTCCCCGCTGGTATTACGATTCCGTGGCTTCGTTCATGAACCCGTTGGAACCCGAACACCACCAGATTGCTGTAGAGCCTTACGTCGACGGCATTGGGATGGGTATATTCACCAGTATGAATATGGCTCAAGGTTACCCGTTCATGAACGCGATGGATTTCAACGACGAGCTCGTAGACTTTACCATCATAAACTTCACGGAGGAAGAGTTCGAGGAGCAGAAGCCATGGCAGACCGCTATAGACGGAGAAAGGGAACCGAGACGCAAGAGGCGTCCATCGCGCCCAGCCTCGACAAACGGCACAACTGGTCACAGACTGCAGCGCCGTGCTGAAGACCCGCTCCCGCCCGCTTATTTCCACCAAAGACTCCTGTCAGCCAGGTCGGATCGACAGCTTGGGGGCCAGCCATGGGCCCATGTTGGGGACGGGGCAGGTGTCACCATATTTGTTCTTGACACTGGCTTTGATCTGAGTGGTGCGAATGTAAGTTTGGCCATCCACGTGTCTTGAAATGGCCAAGCCAGAGCTGACTTACCTTTCTCAGGCCGCCGAGTATAATATTGGGCCCTCACAGGAGAACCTAATATCTTGGCAGTACGCCGTACCAAATAGGATTGCCATCCCCGAAGATGTCAGGAACAGCAATCGCCGAGCACAGACCATGAGTGATGTAGGAGGCATGGTGAGTCACTGCGGTCTAACCTACTGGTTATCCCCAACAAGCACGGCTGGCTCCTACTCAAACTACATTTCACTGATGATCTCTTTGCAGAGTTATGATACGGATGGCGACTGTGCTGGCCATGGCACTCAGGTTGCCAGCCTGGCGATTGGCAAACATTACGGAATTGCCAACCAGGCCACCCCGTATTTTGTAAAGGCTTTCGGCTCATACAAGAATTCCCGGAACAAATGGAAGATGACAGAACTCACACCGGCAGCGCTCGATGATGCGCTCAAGAGAATCGTCGATCATGTCATGAGCAGCAGTCTACAGGGCAGGGCGATCGTAACCTCTACGGTCGGTAAGTGAACCTGCTGCATACCGTACAAGAGAATGCCCCTCGTTAACTCTTACCAGGCGCCTCACAAGTCACGGACAGACGGAGTGGGGATGCGTTCAACTCCGTGTACCACCAACACCTGAGAACATTGAATGCGTTGGGAGTGATGGTAAGTATCACCACCACAAGCCCTCTTGACCATTAGATCCTCCGATCGCATTTGGGGGACCGGTTCCAAATACCTGCTAACCTCATGTCACAGTGGGTACATTCCGCAGGGAATGACGGGTTCGCCGCCGCCCCAGTGACCTGGATTGGGCAGGCTTGGCCACAGAAGCTCAGTTCCTCCCGTGGTAATATGGTGACGGTTGGTGCCACTAGCCAAAACCGCCTTTGGTGACCCAAAACATCACCCGTGGGCTCTCCAGGTGCCAGTCGACAAGGAGAGATCAGCGTTTGGGCGATGGGGTGGGAAGTTCCCACCCTCGGACCTGACGGCGAGGAGGTCTACGAGACGGGGACCAGCTTCGCGGCACCTCAAGTGGTACGTGGCTGTCATATACACGGCCCTGCTGGTGTTTCCCTTGATCAACGCGTGTTCGAAACTGACCTCAATGTAGGCCGGTCTTGCTGCTTCCTTTATAACCAACTATCAGCAGGTTTTCGCTTTGGACCACAACAATTTCAACCCGGCGCAGGGAGATGACTTCGTCAGGAGGCTGAAGAGTTACATTACCGGCTATTCGTACCGCTGGCTGCCTCTGAGCACGCAGTTTGAAGGTCAGCTCGGGCGGGGGCTTCCGTTACCAGGAAATGTCAACGTCGCTTACAATGGGTGCTGGGGGTACCAGCAAAGTAAGTCGAACAAGCAAGCACTGGTGTCAGACAAGCCAATGCAGCAGCTGACATGAACCTAGACTGTAATGAACCTCCTGCCAGCCAAGCCGGCGGCGGCCCTGCCAGGCGCGAAGACGGGCCACCACCACCAACGGATAACTCAGATGATGGACCTGGCGGACCACCACCAGATGGCACAGATGATACACCTGGACCTGGTGCACCAAAAGGCACGTTATATAGACCGAGTGCATCTGTCATCTCAAAAGGGTCGTCGTCCCAATGAACACTGGCGTCCGTTTTATCTTCTCCAAAGTATAGCTTCATGCCCAAGGCGTTGGTAGCCAAGGTGGCGAGAACAGCCCTCCAAAAGCTCGTGGTTGACCAGATCATGTTTGCGGTCTGAACGATTGAAAAGTAGGTAAAGTTGTAGTAGAGGTGGGTTTGTTGAGGTCGATAGTATGTGTAAGTGGGCGGTGAAGTTGGAACTGATGCAAAATACTGTTCAAGGCGATACCTGCAACATTTTATAACCAGACTGGCCCAGCGAGATGAGCCAGCACCACCAGCAGATGGCACAGACGAAGGCTTACACTGTCCATGGATGCCCAAGCCGGCCAGCACTAGCTTCATGGATCAAACCACGAGCACCTTAGCTACATCGACCGTCCCAGCCACGTCGACCACCCCGACCCCGACCCCGACCCCGACACCAACCCCTACCACATCGTCTGCACCACCACCCCCACCGCCACCTCCTGCAGTTCAGTGCGTTGGGAGTAGCTATGGATACCTCATAGGTTTCGAGGTTGTTGGGACGAATACCTGGGTCACAGATGGAGGAGCGTCGCTCCAACATGAAGAGGATGGGTGCGGCGATTTCAGCGGCTGGTCGTACGACGCAAGTGCACACGATGGAACGGCACGTTTCGTTCTCGGGGGCTTCAAGGATGGCTGCAATGAGCGCGCCATCGTGAGTTCCGGTGGCCCCAAATTGCCTGTCAGATACACGACGCAGCTGCAGATGGGCTGTTGGGTTGATCTCTGGACGTCTGTACTATAAACCTGATGCACTATCTTCATGGTAGGATAGATAGCGAGCAGCAAGATATACTGCAGCAATATGTAAACCACGACTGTTTGATAATCTTACTTTGGGGCGTAACGCCCCATAACCATATCACATACTCCAGTACTTGGCTGGTGTTGAACAGACCCCCTTGGCTACATATGTAAGAAGAGTCCAGATAGCCCAAGTGGGCCGCTGAAACTATACGGACCACCTCATTTTCCAAACTTCCACAACGATTCATCGATCCCCCAGAGCCACATATCACACCATTATTAAGGCGCTTTAACAGCAGAATGAGAACGTGACGCCCCGGGTTCTCTAGCTACTTGGCCCCTGGTCATTCTTCACCTGCGTACGATCCCTCTTCCGGAGCCTCACCGACTTTAACTTGCGGGGGTTATCCTCAGGCTGGATCCGCCGCTTCAGGGCCGTCCTAGATGACGAAGAAGTAAGCATAAGCCACCTCAATACTGGATGATGATAAACACTTACACCTTGCGCATATGTTCACGCTGCTCGTCTCCGAGGGCCGCCTGCCACGCCGACGGGTTGATTAGCCCGTGAATATCACTCAGCTCCGCGGCTGGGGTCCCGTTGCATCCGGAAGAGTCTACAGACAAGCAGCGAGAAGACGATGCCGATGGGAGTGAGACTGAAGCCTCATCTTTGCTGGTAGGAAGACCCCCAGGAGTAGCGGGTTGCCGGTCATGGGACTTTGATTTGCGCTCTGAGTCTAAGGCTGGCACGTGATGCGGCGTCGCCCCAACCGCGAGCTGCTCGTGCGCCTGCACGTCACGGCGGAACCTCCATATCGGAGACGAAGCACTCCCCGCCGACGCCGGTCTCGACCCCATTGCGGCAAGCGCACCAGTGCTCAGCGTCGCTGTACTCGCAAAGGACTCGGCGTCCCTGAACGGACCCCACGACTGCGAGGGTGAACTCAAAGAGGCGGCCTTCCGTTGCTGTTGCTCGGCACTCTCGCGGTACGAGGGGATGGCACGGAGGTATCTGGCGCTGGAGTGTTAGGAGCGAAGCACGGAGACCGGATACGATGTGGAGAATGAGAATGGAATGGGAGAATGATGTTTGATATGTAGTATGGTATAAGTTAGAGGAGGACGTGGTCTTACAGCGCCCGCCCATCGTCGCCCAGGCTCACGACCGTGTCACCCGGCGAGCGGTCGCGAAAGCAGCGGTCGCTGCCGACGGCGACGTGCCGGTCCTTGCCGATGCCCTCGTATTCGATGTCGTCGAACTCGGCCATGCTTTCCATAGTGGTAGCAATCCTCACGGGTGCACGAAACGCGACCGGCCGCGGATACTGGCTTGGAACTTATCAGACAGCAGATGACGGTAGGTAGTTAGACAGGTGCAAAAGAATCGGGTGGAGGAAACACGCATGGAATTGGCAAGAGTCGGACTCGCTCCCTTTTGTGCGATGTGGTACGAGGAAAAAAGCGGTTCTGCGTTGGGGTGTAAGACCTGGGGGCACCGACTGACATTGACTGCGCGTGGGTGGTGTCCTACATATGAAATATCTCGCGCTCCTTTCGACTCGACCTGCCCGCGGACCACTGATGTACTTGAGTCTGCTGACATGGGCAGATGATATGATATGCCTCAAGACCCGACAGGCTGGCTCGCCAGCGCGCAGGGACAGCGGCCCGAGGACATGGGATGGGAAGTGGGATGTGATGAGTTGAGGTAGGATGGGACGGGCTGCAGAATGAGAATAAGAAAAAGGCGGCAGCACGCTTATGCAGTCAGCCGGGAAACAGGACCCTGTGCCCCAGCTCCAGGGATCGAGGCCCAGCCCCGACGAGACTAGTGATAGGACGGGCTCTTGGGGGAGAGGGGGGCCGAGACCCGACAGCTTGGTTTCAGTACCAGGGTCATTGTCCTGCAGCTCCAGGGGCCCGGGACATCGCCGGGGAGGAGCCGCCCCCTTGTCGCTGCTTTATGTTGGCGACGTTGGGGATCCGTCCAGCTGGGAATCAAGGCCCGACGATTTGGCTGGGCTTGGTAGTCCTAGGCGGCTGCCCAGGTTCAACTCTGGATTCATTTATCTCTCATGCACTCGCTCACGCACGGTACTTACCGTATGGTGCTGTATCGGGAGCACACTACGTGCTGGACGTGCATCAGGTGGATGGATGAACGCGAGGGGCGGTGACACGGCAGTTCAATTCCCACCCTACTGGTATTCCTTCGCATGGTCTCGTCCTTTTGTTGATATTGCTCGTGTCGCGATTAGAGCATGTCTGTGCCCATCTAGGGGATGGAGGAGAAAGGGTATGTGGGGGGTTACACCGCCGTGAGAGCTTGAGATTTTGAGTGTAACCGTCGCAGATATGATGATATCCCCTTGAGGTCGGAGACTGACCATTGTCCAAGCTTCCTCTTCGGAGCCTATCAGATTTTAAGCCAAGCTGGTTCCCGCTGTCAAACCTCGGCATGAATGTTAAGCCGCAATGGACATAAGAACACGTTATAAGTGAGTATGATACATGGCTGATATTGCAAAGAGGCAGCGAAATTGGCCGCACGGGAAAGCAAAACAAGGCGCTCGGACAATGGGCAGTTGCCGATCTCAAGGGGAAAAGCAACACGCTTAGCTCTCTACCGAGGTAAGTAAACGAAAAAGCGAATGGGCACTTTCTGTCTTGATTCACACCTGGGAAACTTGCTTAAGATGTGCGGGAGGTCGACGTGCATGTGAGGCAACCATGCCCTTCGCTCGATGTAGAAGGTCCGCCGGTAAGATGCTGGAAGGTGGCTGTTGACCGAAAGAACCGGGGATGCAGGGCTGGGGTTGATAGCGTCAAGGAAGGTGCCCGGGGTGTGGCATACCGCTCTTCGGCAATGGGGGCCGAACGATTGAAAGGGTGCTCGCCTTGGGACATCTAGGCAAGCACCTGAGAATGTAGATCACCAGACTCGAGAGGACATGGCGGTGGACTCGATCGAAGTCAAGTAGACGCCTTGGAGACTGTGCTCAACGCCATCCAATAGTAACTATACCGGGCCTTTCCGACTACCCAAGTACCAAATCACACATTCATTCACAAGGGATCAGCCAGCGTACCATATCGGAGAGTTTGTCACGGGCCTGATAGCTTCTGCCACATCAGCAACACGATGTATGTGTAATTTGGACAGGCGTTTCCCATGTAAGTGATCAAAGAACAAATATCTACTTGAGTAGCTAGTACATTGTCCGCATTGGGACCCGGCTACATATCTACATGCAGGCACCCTCGTTCGTCACTGCCCCTTATTCCCCTAGGTTCACTACCTCACCCTGTAGTGGCTTCTTCCGAGCTCCCGAACAACCTGGGTGGCACTCAAAGCCCGAGTCTCTTCGGTTTCTCTTTGCCTCCATCATAGTGGGTACCGTCTTACCAAAGTGCCAATACCTTCTAAAAAGCCATGTCGAGGTGTTGGGCTTCGGAGATAAGATATTACCTGCTCACCTAACCTCGATACGGACCAGTACAGCCACCTCTCGGGTGGTAGTCAAAGTCTCTTCGGTTTCTCTTTACCTCCAGTATGCCACGTACCGTCTTATCATGTTGAGGTGCTGGGCTTCGGAGATAAGAATTCTAAGATATTACATGCTATGCTCACCTAACCTGGATGCGAACGTACAGCCCACCCGTTCCCTCTGTACCAATGTCATCCCAAACTATCAGAGGGTGACTCAGAGCAAGATCGCAAGCAATTGAGGTGTTTAAACCCAAAAGCTTTGCTGTGCTCGGGTTTTGGCTTGAGTGGCTGCAAAGCCGTGACTGACTCGCCACAGACATGCCCTTGATTTAGAGTCTGCGGATCTAGACGTTGCAAAACGATCGAACGGTCAAGCTTATCGGGTCTCGATTGAGGCCTATGCTACGGGTAGTGAGTACGAAGGGATGTTGACAACCAGATATTCCGCTGGTCTTCTGGCGCCGGGTATATAAACATACAGGAGCCAAAAGTGATTCTCTCCCGCTGGCCTCCATCTGGGCAACTATGTTGTAGTTTCTTTCTTCTCTTAGAATCTGCTCAAACCATCTGCAAATTCTTCCTACGCCTTCCATGCTTCTATCAACCTAGTGACCCGTAACTTTGAACTCAACCCGGTGGCTTCCAATCATTCTGACCTCTCCTCCCTTTCTCCGGCGGGGATCAGAGGGCCCAGGCACATATCAAGCCACCCGGTGAAGGAAGTGACGACATTTACATAATACCTAACACCAGTAAACTTTCCAGGCGTATTAACTAAGCCAGGTCAACAATTGGGCGTCCGGCAAAAGGCCTAAATCAAATTTTCTGATTATGCACTCTCTGTGGCAAGTACAAATAGAGGGCCAGCTTCCACTCTGTTAGGATCTTCTCCCTCTCTCCTCACAGGTCGTTCGATCCCGCGGCTTCACCCTAATCTTCGACAAATCACCACACCACGACCTGTCAACCAGCTTGTTACGGACCAACAATACCACGGGCCCGTTGGCAGGCCTGAAGGAGAGGTGGCCTACGAAGAGGTCAATCGGAATAAGGACGCCACGCAGAAGGAACCCAAGGCACCAGATCACGTGATCTAGGGAATAGGAATCACATGACCAAACTCTGCTCACGTCTGCTCAGTGAGCAACGGTGAGCCAAGGAGTTACTCACGACGGCTCAGTGAGCAGCAGTGAGCACACCTCATCAGTGAGAGAGAGATTGGATATATAAGGATGGTCATTTCCTAGCTAGACTGGTAGACAGTCTCTACCTCAGTGATCAATCTAAGCATCTTAGCCAACCCTAAGGTGGGAGAAATCTCCTGACGACTCGACTATTCAGTGAACCCCGGTTCAGACCAAGCCCCAGCATCTGAGTGTCTTCTAGTTGACAGAAGCCTCTATCGTCCTTTGTGTTGACTTACCTCAGAACGTAAACCCTATAGAACCATTTAGCCTTATAGGTTAGACGGCTCGTCATACAACTTTCACCCACACAACTACTTCAATCCTCATCTAAACAACTCAGCATAGGTAAATACCCAAGACCCGATTGAACAATACGTGCAACTCCACAGGACTCGCCACATCCTGCCCCTCCACAGCACTTCACAGTTCAGCACAGAAGTGCCCACGGAACATTTCTAATCAATTTTTCTTTTTCTGTCTACCCGAGAACCAGCAACACCATCCGGTCAAGACTCATCAGCCAAGAGGTAAATCCCGTCTTCGACCCAGGAATACTCTCTTTAAGACAACCAGCGACACTCTTCGGTCAGTACTCATCAACCCAGAGACTATTCTAGTCTTCGGCCCAGTATCACTGTCTACAAGAGAGCCATTAACACCATCTGGTCAAGACTCAGCCAAGAGACTTCAATCTTCTGCCCTATAGAACTCCCTGTTTACAACAGAATCAATATCACCAACGGGTAATTCTCATCCAAGACGCAACTCCAGTCTTCAAACCAGTCTAACCCGAGCATTTACCACAGATCTTCTCGCATCAGAGAGGAAACCCGTCTCACAAATAAGACCAACAACCTAGTGGCGCAACACGCGCAACTTTAATCACGACCATGGACTCCTTTCGCCAACTCACCAACGGGCACCACCACCTCACCGCAGCTATAATCACCCTGCTGCACGACATCTCCCGCACCGTCGCCCCCGGCCCCCCAACTGCCGCGGACATCTTGAACCAAGCCGCCAACGCCGGCGCCGCAGCGGCACTCAATGCTCTAAATCAAGACGGCGTTGTCGGCCAAGCACTGATCGGATACGCCAGAAGCGGGTTCCTCAACTACCTTTCCCAGCACCGCCACCTACTCACAACCGGGGAGTTCGAGCGCGCCCGCCCTCGACATCAGCGACCGCCACCGCATCATCATGGATCCCTTGTCCGACGTGCAGAGCGCCCCTTGGAACAGAACACCGCGGACGGTTCCCAGTCCGACATGTCCGGTCTCCCGCCCGCGGACGATTCACAGTCCGGCATGTTTCCTCTCCCGCCCGCGGCCCAACCGGCGCCGCTGGACGAGGACGACGACACAACCGGCTACGACAACGAGGCCGACTTCTGGGCGGATGTCAGTGCCCACCCCCTCAACGCCGACGCCAACATCGTGCAACACAGCGTCGGCGACATAACCGGCCACGACAGCGGCTACGAAAGCGGCTATGACAGCGGGAGCGAGGAAGAAGACTCGGCGCCGGCGCCCATTTTCCTGTTTATCCCCCTACCGGCGTACTCGCAACCCGAGGTGGTGGACATCTTACTCGACTGATCACCCACGGTGCCAACGGCACAGGGGCGCGCCCAACATCGAAAGGGCGACGATAACGAGAAGGACGACGATAACGAGAAGGACGATTGAATCGACTCAGCAGGGCTGAAATCGGTGTATGAAGGAAATGTACTTGAAGAGAATGTGGTATCGGTGGTGGCTTTCATCGGTCTCGGCGAAGACTGGGTTGGCTGCCCCCATAGCGAGCGGACGGAGTGAGGGGATTTGGTTTCTGAGAGAACGGTGGTTGTGAATTGTGACAAGCGATGGAATTGTGCGGGATCGAGCTCGTCGGGGAGCATGGACGGACGGGTTGTTCTGAAATATCCATTCGAAATACTGTGTGCCCTATTCCGAGGGTTAACTCTAGTTAGTATCAAGTTATCAACGGTCAGTAGAGGGGGAGCTCGAACGTCATCTCGGGCTCCTGGGTCTGTGGTGGGCCTCCAATATCATTATAGTCGTTAGAAAGAACAAAACACATGTTCGTCCATCTGAAGTCTTCTATCATGGTGATGTTCGTATGTTCATGTTGCTTTGGGTGATGCTGTCGTCAGGTACATGCGGTGGCCGCAAGGCCGCCGGGGAGATCATAAATCGGTAGGTTGAGAAAGGCTTGCCGCTGTCAAACAATATGGCGTTCACCAGGCATGCAATTCGTGTCTCACAGCGAGTCAAGGCTTCCTTTAATCTGTGTAGCACTACTAGTAGGTCCCTTCCTGATCGACGTCATTGCAATCAGGGAAGTATGGAAGCACGATCCGAATCTGAAACCGGTCGCTACTGTGAAAACCCCATGTGCTTCCAGAGAGGTACTATGTCTGCCCGTCCCTTCTTTGGCATTGATAGAGGTGTATTCTTAATATGGCCCAGTGAGAGGGTTATGAGAAACTAAGGTGAGGGAAGGACTATGCTACGAGACGCCATCGTTCCTGAACGCGCACGGCTCGGTGAGGGGGGGGGGGGGGGGGGGGGGGGGGGGGGGTTGTGCTTCATACTGAGCCGAGCAAGGCGTTCCTGCTGAATGAGGCGTACACGAGAAATTGTGTCGAGGCCTGTCTTGATCGATGAGAGATCTACCTGGTCTACGGCAAGGCATCAGGTGGATGGTGACTTGATCTGGTCATCACGACGTCGGGCGATCGGGCGATGTCTGATTGAGGCTGTGCACTCAGCACAGCCACCTTGCCACCGCCGCATCTGTACGACAGCACCGGTCGCCTCTTGTTTCAACCGTGGTCTTCCCCCGCACCCACAACGTTCCTCCACAGATGCCAACCCGACAGCTGCCCGACCGATAAAACAAGCAACAGATGGATCGAAGCTTGTTCTGTGCCAAGCGGACGCATCCTGGTGATAGATTAGACACTAATGAAACACGGGCTTAGGCTGAGGCTGAGGGCTGGCCACTTGCAGGGCAATGCTCTCCGAAAGAGGCAATAGTGTGGAAGCCATGTAAGCTCTAGGACGGCTCGAAGGATGGGTCACATTGTCGCAGTTTACCACCTGCACTTTACCAGCTCAGCCCAGTCTAGAGGCACCTGGCACATGGAACATCTCACGTCATTCAGTCTTGTCTTACCATCGAGCCTCTGCCTTCCTTTCGTCGGTGATCGCTTTAGGGAACTGCCCTAGACATACACAGCCAAGGCATACTCTTCCATCCAGAGCTGTCCAGCTTAAAACCACGCGCATTCACAACAGTCACAATCCAAACCACTCGACCTTGACGCAGGCCACTCCAACTCCGCTTTCCGTCGACTTTGCGCTCACCTCTTCCGAGTTCCCCTCGTTCATGTCTAGCTAGATAGCATTATTAATGGACTAGCCTTACTTCCCATTTTCTCTTCTCCCCTAGACAGATATTTGATCTGGGACCGAGACCGCCGCCATGACACAAATCAATCATCCCAAGATGAGCCCGAGCGAGCCAAACGGTGCCACGCCTCCGCAGTATACCGCTGTCGACAATGGCGGACCGCCTGACTCTTCCCACGAACTGGACAGCGCTTTCTCTAAACTCACACTACCACTCGTGGCCGCAGACCTCAGCCCGGACACCTGCTTGGCACACCTCAAGGTCCTATCAGCATTCCAGACCCTCAAGGAGGATGTCGGCTATACCGACGGCCTCTGGCAGATATTCGACACTCGAGCTCTCTCGCAACATGACAGCCAGGGCCAGTCTGTCGAGAAAGGGCTCAAGCTGGAAGACGAGACTGCCAGGAACCTTGCTTCACTACGGGAGAAGCGATGGGCGCTTTTTGTCGCGAGAGCTGTCGACCGCTATGAAGCATGGTGGAACTCATTCGTTCCAACCCCACTGACCGAGGATGACATGGAGCATATTGGCTCGCCCAAATACGAGGGTTTTGTTTCCATCAGCCGACCTCTACTTTCCAAGAAGATGACACTGCCGCCACTTGGTAAGCACTGACAGAAGAGCTCACCAGCCTGCTTATACTTACCCTAAACAGATGTCTTGATGGTATGGCATGCCCACATGATCAATCCCCAGGACTACCTGGAGGACTGCATGCGCTATGGCTACGGTGATCTGTGGGCTGCTGGACTCCCTTGGCAGTTGGTCAACGACGCCATCGATCCCAGCTTCAACTACAAAGTATCGGCTAACGAGATGGCTGCATGGGAATCGCTTACGGGGAGAAAGTGGAACAACAGCGATGATTCACCTACCAAGACCCTCAAGTGCCCAGCGTGTCAGGAAACCCACCACATCCCATGGACTACGTGTGGAATGCCAGAAGACTCGAAGGGCCCAGCCCCCGCGCTACTCGGAGAAGGCTATGGAGACGGCAACTTTACTTACGTCTGCTACAAGTGTGGCACTACTCTCACTAAGGAGTTCCTCGAAGTCGCCAAGTTTGTCAAGGACGCCCAGGGGCTCCTCGCTCACAATCGCCCTATGCCTGGTACGATACTCAGCGCGCAATCGGGGTTGCCAGAACGCGCGTCAGCGTTGCAACTCCTGGTGAAAAGATCCACACGGACATTCCCGAACCGCTTGATCAAACACCACCTTCGAAGCACAGTCTTACAGCTCATTGACCCAGGGCAGCAGCAGGCATCTTCAATGAACACCGTGCGTGTCCTGGTTGAAGCATCGATTAGTGACCAGAACACCGTCAAGAAGATCGAAAACGTAACCGGACGCGAAGCATTGAAACGTTACCGACTTGGTGGGGCCGCTCGAGTACACATAAGGAAGATGATGTCAAGATATTGGGGCAACTGCACGCCTTTCGCCCTTGAAATCGGTGGAGCTGTCTTGAGGCAGGGTATATTCACCGAGAAGATGTACAAGGTCAGTTGGCAGCCTTGAACGGTGTCGTGAAATGTTCGTCTGACTCACGCGCCAACAGATCGATTGGCTTCACAGTCCGACCGCGCGAGAAACCATGTCGCGGCTTATCACCAAGTACGAGCGCTTCACCACAATCATGGCACAGAATCCCAACCACATTGTCGTTCCCACGCTCGATGTCGACTTGGCGTGGCACACGCACCAGCTGAGCCCAGCTGCCTACTTTGCGTGGATGCAGAAGAATACCGGGAAATTCATCGATCATGATGACAAGATTGACGAAGACAAGCTCTCCGGTGCTTTCGAGTGGACAAGCAGAGTCTACCAAGAGACATACAACGAGGTCTACTCGGAATGCACCTGTTGGTACTGCGAATCTGTCCGAGCAGGCCATGTTTCCAGCACCGCCAAAGTACTTCGCCTGTCGAAGAATGACAAGAGTAAGAACCCCTTCCCTTTTCCCAGAGGGCCTCCGACCATGAACCCACTACTAACTCCTCGCCCCCACCATAGTCTCGGATGCCTTCCACGAAAGCCAAGCCAAGCTCTGCCCACCGGACAACAGCGCCCATATCTCGGCCCACAACTCGGTCAGAATGCTCGAGACCGATCCCCGCAGCGAGGACGTGCGCCGCCGGCTGCAGCTGTCGCACAAGGCCCGCCTCGACGCCAACTACAAGAAGGCCCAGAAGCGCGCCAAAAAGAAGGGCCGCGAGCTCCCGCCCAGGGACGACTACTACGGCTACTACTGGGGCTATCCGTACATGATGTACGGGCCCTGGGTCTACCCGGGCTTCTACTGTCCGATATACGCTGGTGGATGTGATCCGGGCACGGCCGTCGCGGGATCGGGGGCCGCGGGTGCTTGTGCTGCTGGTACGTGCTCTGGGGGAGCGGGCGCGGGTGCTTGTGCTGGTGCTGGTGCTGGGGGCTGTGGTGGATCGGGTGGCTGTGGAGGAGGTTGCGGCGGCGGCGGTGGTGGTGGTGTAAGTCCTCTCGGAACAAATCTGTCTTAAGAGTTACTGTAGCTTGGGCTGACGCGTTACTCACAGTGCGGTGGCGGAGCTTCCGGCTCGGCTTGCGGAGGGGGAGGAGGAGGTGGTGGTGGTGGAGGCTGCGGAGGAGGAGGAGGAGGCGGAGGTGGTGGAGGCGTAAGTTCTTCTTTGCCCTGACCTACTCCATTTGATATTGATACTAACTCATTCACCAGTGCGGAGGTGGCGGCGGAGGCTGATTCTGAGTAGGGTACGGGAGGGATTGGCTACTGGCTGGGAGACCTCACGACATGACGACTTTGGAAGATTTGTTCCAGCGTACCTATCTAGGTAGTGTAGGATTACAAATCGGCATCTACTACATTAATAGCATTTGCCTACTGGTGGTTGAGGGGAATTGGATGCATTGGGCCTGGGCGTGAGCCACTCCAAGGGGCCTGGCTAGTCGTACGTCGTATATCTTGTGGCCTGCAGCCAGGCTCCTTGAAGCAGCTCATACTCACGCCCATACATGTTCATTTTTTCTTAGGAGGCACGTGGCATTGTCCAGCAACTTATGCTGAGGGATGGGAAACCCAATGAGATGAAAACCATTTCATCACAGCTTCCTCTCGTGAGATCGTGTCATACTGCGTGCTCAGTGGCGTATTTATCCTTGTTGTGGGCAGTACATGTGTCAT